CATTCTGAAACAGCGTTTTCCCAAGGTTTTCTTCCAAAAGCTTTAGCTCGTTATCCAATTCGTTTTCATTCAAGTTTTTAAGTAACTTGCTCATTGTTTCTACCATAAGTGTTTTGGGCTCATTCCACATATTTAGGAATTCTTCTTTGGCTTTTGTAGCAAGGAACGTAATCAGTGCATAAAAATCGTCAAATTCTGTGGTTAACTTTTCGAGTTCTCTTCTAGCCACAACTCTAAAAAACTGGGAATTCACCAATGGTTGCAATGCTTGAGCTGGTTTTAGGAGCGGATATGTTTCCCAAAACTTATCGTCCTGCAATTCCTTCATCTTTCTGGTACGCCAGGTTTTCTTTAGGTCATTGAGTGCCTTATTAATATTTTTGGTTCCACAAACTGTCTTATCATTTGTTATTTCCTTTCCAAAGACAATCGCGGACTTTAGAGACTGAACTTTTTTGGAAGATTCATTCAAAACGCTCATTAATTCAGTGATTTTATCCACAAAAAACTGCTCTTGCTCATCAGATACTCCGGCACATAATTTTGAAACTTTATCTTTTTCTTTGTCGAGCACTTTTATGAAATCGGTGGTTATATTGCCATTTTTAATGCGTTCTGCTAGTTCTTTGCAAATTCTTTTTCCGGGTTCATATTTTTCGGAGTCCCCATTCTTTTCTAAAAGAGATTCGAGTTTTCGTAACGATAAAACACAATTTTGCATAATAATTTGCAGAAATCCACGGGGTTTTCGGATGTTGGTGCATGATCAAGACTGTGTGCCCCGTTTCAATAATCGTGTTTAAAATCTTGTATAATATTTTAATTTGAAAATTATTTTAATTTGAAAATCCATAAACCTTAATTATTGTATGAGTTGCCGTGTAATTGGTTAAAAATGTGTAATATACGGCGGCTTTTTGCGTCAATACCGCATGTCTCCATTTCACCGTCACCATATAGTTACAATAAAAATAGTTAAATAAGTAATTTACCGTTAGTTTTCAGTAAGTTGATCCAAACATCATACCAATCGGGGATTTTTATGATATTTTCTTCATTCACTTCGCCTCTTTCAACATTTGGTACTTCTATTCTTCCCAAAATACAGAACAAAATTCTTTCGCCAACACTATATAAAGACAACAATAAGCGGTCTAGAAACAACTTTTTTTCAGATTCGGTTTTAGAATATGTTCCAAAATATTATTATGTATGATAATTTAATATACAATCTTCATGCATTGGCCTAAATCTACTCACGCGATTGGTCAAAGTCAATCACGTGGTTTCTTATTGCCTGGCGACAGATCATGGGAGTCATAATCTATTCGCAATAACCCATGAAAATCATGGTTTATTCAAAAATGACAGCCTGCAACGAAGCTTAGATTTTCAATGCAGCAATCAATCAACATTTCAAGAGGTTCAGCATATTAAAAGTGTTAGAGACATAATGTTCGTATTTTGTTACAAGTAAACGCATGCGCTAACCATAAAATGAACTCGAAATTTCGATATCTCAATATTGAAATTTCTTGTCCATTGTATGGTCAGCGTGTGCGTTTATTTGTGAATAAAACACTCACAACAGTCTCTAATTTATTTAGGAAATATATCAGTTAAGGAAATATCTATATACTTACCAAATAATTATGAAAAAGATATAGTTCTAATTAATACGCGTGCCTTAGACAAGTATTTAGCTAGCAGACATTGAAAAAAGTACGTACGTACTATTGAGAGGCTTGCCCTCTTTGGCAACAGTTTGATGTTTATAGATTTCAAATAAGATGCTTGCATCTTTGTATTTAATGCGATGATCATAAGTCCACGCACGGTGAGCTACATGCAGCAGACGTATCCAGTTTACCTTTCTTCTAGTTCGTCTTATGTTCTTTTAGACGTATTGAGAGATTTCTACCGGTCTCTCTAATGTAAACCAAACCACATTCGCATGGAATGCGGTACACACCAGGTTTCTGAAGTTCATCGACGCCATCCTTGTGCGTGTAAAGAGCGCGCGAAACAATTTGTTATTGTTTGAATGGTATATTTGTATTCTAACTTCTTTTAAAATCATAACGATTTTAAAATCCTAACGGTAAACAGACAGAGGATAGATATTCAGTGTCTTGTTTATGTCTTTAAATAAAACTATATCTTTTTCATAATTATTTGGTAAATGAAACCGTTTAAATAATGGCGCGAGTTAACAAATCACGACTAACGTGATATTTAAGTGACGTGTGAATGTGTATCATAGAAATAATAGACTATTATTTCTATGATGTGTATTCAGGTAATTGCACTGATGAAAGCCCGGGTTAACGGACCGAAAGCTTTGCAGTATTAAATAATTACGTGGTGTACCAACAAGCTTAATTACTTAATTGATCTTTTGTTTACCTTCATTGATGCTGCCTTCACAGTTGTCTGGTGTGCTTATGATTTTAATTTTAAAAACAGAAATACTCACTTGCTGCTGGACAAATTTTCTAGGAGTTTACTTGACTTTTTTATCTGCTCTGGTTTTAACATCTTCTCTACATGGGATATGTAGCACTTCTGAACAACGGGTGAACATTTTTCTATGGCACCAAAAGCTTGAAGAACGCCAAAGAAATCAGAATTTTCAAGACTTCTTTTCGCAACACTGTCAGACACTCTCCGAGCCAGTATTTCGCCAATGGAATCATTCAGGGAACATCGCATTATTGCATCAATTGATTCATAAACTGCCACAGCTTTCCCTGAGCCACCGGGTTGACTGCCTCCGTTAAGATTCATAACTCTGGTGGTAGCCCACGATTCACAAATGTTGACCTTTTCTTCAAATGGAATTTCGACCCAAACCTTTGCGAAGAGCTTATCGTCGAGTATTCTGAGAAGTACATTTTGATGAGGTAATGAAACGGAAAACTGCATAAGGATTCTAATCAACTGATGCAAACCAAGAGTCTTCAATAGAATTAATAATTTAACAAGAACACTTGTATATTCTTCAGTTAACACCTCGTCAGACTGAGCGTACTCTTGCAATAATGAGTGTACCGATTTGAGAAGCTTACCCAGAACTTTCTCTGGTAGTTTTGCGAATTCAATTAGCTTCTCTGGTAAACTTTTTTTCTTTTCGCTCACGTTCTGCGCCTCGTGAAAATAAGTTACAAAGAAATCGATAACTTCGTCTTCAGAGGCAAACAAAATGGATACATCAGAACGCTCAAACAAACTCATGGCAGCGACTAAATTTGGAGCACTTTTCATCACACAACGCAGCATTCCTTGGTGTGCAACCTGATCATCCCGATTTCCCACTTTTATAAATGAAAAAAGGGCTGTAATCATATTCTGATATTCTTTAAGGATGTCAACTCCCAAACCACCTGCATTCGGTGAAGAAGAATTGTCTGGGCGCTCAGCCATAGCTCAATCTACAATTGTGAAAGGGAGCGGTGAATTATCTCACCGAATATGAGTAAATATTCTTTCTATGGTAATAAACTTTGCTTCTAACATGGCTCGAATGCTGAGTGCCAATTTGAGTGTATAGTAGTGAGAAAAAGGTTCACGGCTGTGAAGAATACTTTCCCCATCCATCAGCTATATTTAATTTTTTCTCTTTCTACTGACGATAGTTTCCTGAAGCTGAGTTCCTCGCACCTCGCCCCCCCTCCCCTCCCCCCCCCCAATTAGGTTTCTAAGGCTACGGTCCTGACCCTGATAGCCTCTATTGATTGCAAAATACTTTAGAATAGATTTTTAAAACGTATAAAATGCTTTACGCCATCTTAAGCATGTAAAATTAGTTGAAACGTTAATATGATATTATGGCCACATTATTATTATATGCAAACATTTTTATACACAAGAAGATTGCAGTATCCAAGACCTCACAAAACTGGAATTTTAAGCGAAATGGGTTATATTTCAAGGGATTCGTATCTTCATTTATATAGTACTTCTGAAAATGAGCTTTTATACCGACTAAAGAAAGCCAAGGATATAATGTTTACATAAGCCATATAACTATATACATTGTTTTACATTATATATGACGTTTGTCCCAATTTACTATAAATGCATTGAAGCAAAATTTCGGATTGTTAGCATTGAATAGCAAAATCTGAAAGTCAGTCACTTTGTGGATAACTGTAATGGTGTTTCGCATACATAGAATCCACGATATCTTTACGATACATAAAAAATTGGTCTATGATTTCGACAAAACATACCGCGGTTAGCCGTCGACTACGAATCGAAAGCGAAACCAGCTTTTAGTGAACCAGGAATTTACCCCTAAAAACAGATACCCGCTACAAACTGTTCCTTATCTCAGCCGTAATAACCTGGAAATGAGCGAAAATAATCACCTTGCTCATATTCCTGCCCGTCATATTTTACACATACATTATAGCTCGTAGCCTCAAACAGGTAGTTCAATTCATTAATCATGCAGCAGTCATACCTTGAACTAAACTTCTTGATCGTGGGTTAAATAAGTTCAGCATGTCCGTTATAGAATGAAGCGAAGCGCATGGCCGTATAAAGTCGTTAGTCTAACATCTTGCATAATAGTAAATACCTTCGATAAATTGTAGAAGATTTATAACTATAAGATATGCATGATATGTGGAATCAACAACAACATTGTATCTACATTCTCATAAACACAGCAGGGACACCAACTTAATTTCAATATTGTATTTACTATTTAGATAACTTGCATTGCTTATTATAAAATCTGCAGTAGTTAGACTAGCATGACGTTATGTTTTTGTACAACAAATGCAAAGTTTACAGGTATAGACTTATACTAAATTTTAGAAGTTCTAATTTATACGCGATCTCGAACTTCAAAACAGAAAACCACTGCTTTCGTTTTTCGTTGATGTGCAACGTTATAACGAGGTGAAGACGCAGGGGGCTGCATATTTAATTTCAAATCTCACTCTGTTCAACATTAAGAAAAGTATTAAAAATTAAGAAAGGTTTCGCATTATTCTCGAAATTCGGCATTGACACTTCAACATTTTGTTGACAGGTGCCCGGCAGCAATAAAACTACGGGAATGAATTTCGTGCTTCGCTCTATTTCATACAAGTTATTCGTTCTTATTTCTACTCCAGTAAATTAAGGCTGCGATATTTTGCTCATGCAGGTAAATTGCAGTTTGGTCAGTGAAACATGATTTGCTATAGTTGTGGTGAAGAGAAACTTTCTAAAGAATTTCCACAGGAACATCTCACGGAGGAATGTGCTGAAGTACATCCATTGCTGCATTGTCTTAGAGTAAGTATTATCACAGCGTATTAGGCTATGTAATGTTGTTGTAGTTTCCCAGTTTCCCTGATATTGTAGCTACTGGGTGCCATACGGCTAAAAATTAATATAGTTTGAAGTGAAGCCATGAAAGCCGGCTACCACTGTACGTTGTGTATATATATAGAAACATTCTTGCCTTTGAGTAGGAGTGATTTCGGCAATGCAAGCGAACCGCAGTATTTTGCTGGGTTTAAGCTGTTAAAGAAAATCAATTGACCTGTGCATGGCAAGCCATATTGACATGAAAGAGCTTAATTTTATTTGAATAGCCTATATACGATACCAGTTCCGGTGCAAGAAAGACCAAGGGTAGGGCGAATACATCAGCAAATAACTTTGATGCTCATCAGTTTTGTTTGCATTTTCTTTCGTCTAGCATGCATGCATTCTAAATAATGCAGTATTATATTTTCCGGAACCTTCGGCTACGCCATTCGTTTTCTAGATACCTCTATAAATGCCCCTCATAATGTCACATGCTGATTGGGTAATTTAATTTATTCCTCTTGTAGTGTGTAACAGCATCGGTACGAGACCACCAAAAATGTTCCCAATGTGATTCCCGAGTTACTGAACACAATATGCAGTATACACAATATGTCCAAGCTTTGGAATTTCTTTTCCCCCCAATCGGCGCTGGTGATGACAGTAAAACAGTTCGTCAATCTCATGACGTCGCATCAAAATCTCACTTGTTTATAACCACCCTTTCTGAAGAATGCCATATAGTTGACTATGACCCAAATCAAACTATTACCGATCTGAAATTTATTGTTGAACAAAATTTAAAGACGCCTCGTAACGAACAACGGCTGTGGTATAACGACTTGGAGTTAAAGGTGCCTATGCAACAAATCATTTTATCTTAGATATTATGGGTCCGGTTGTATAAAACTCTTAACTACATTTCGCGTAGTTAAATCGTAGTTAACTCAGAAATACATAACTCTGATTGATCAATTCTGTCACTAACTCTACTTAAAAGTTAACTACGTTTTTATACAACCGGCCCCTGTGTTTATTTAGCTCAGAAAGCAAACGGACAAAATTATGTTCGGTTTTTTGCATTTTAAAATACAGTACACCTGACTTGCATATTTTTAACAATGTGGTCCGTAGTTCTATAATCGACAGTTAAATCTAGGGTGAAATTGGCGCTTGTCACTGAAACTCTTTTCTTTAATTAAGAGTACGAGCTTCAGAATGAAAACTGTTGTCAAAAAGTGTTTAGTACGATTGTCGGCAAAATGGATGATAAAATGTTGTGTAAAGTGATTCCTTGGTTTCATCTGTAAAGTAACAACAGTTGATATTATCGAGTGACCAAATCTCGGTTTTTGTTTTTGTTTTTATAGGAAACAGGGAAACACAAAAGACTTCTTAAGTTAAAAGATTACGATGTTCAGCCAAACAGCACTATATATTCTACTTGTCATTCTTCCGGAAAAGAAGATTCAACTAGTGTGACGTTTACTGCATTAAATAAAATGAAAGGTTAAGATAAGTAAAGGATATTTACGTAATTAAACAAGGCAAAGAAGTTAAACGTGCTTCTGGACATCGATAAAAAACTTACCATTGCATGCATGCAGTTGTTGCTACTAATAAAGATAACTTGTTCGAAAGACGAGAGTTGGCATTGTTTTTTATAATATAACATTTATAGTACGCGCGTGCTGATTGGTCGAGAAGCGTGTTTCTATAACTGTATAGAAACACGGGAATTTTCCCGCCGAACTTGACAAGCGAAGCGATGTAATGAGAATTTGTAATTGAATCGAATCATAATATTTGTACAAAATCTTTTTATTGAGTTATATTATAAAAGAAATAGAAAACATTTTTTCCTGTGTTTCTATACAGTTATAGAAACACTTGTGGGAGTTTGGGAGAACTCGAAATAACGTGGAAAAACTCGCCCTACGGGCTCGTTTTCCCACTGATTATTTCTCGTTCTCCCAAACTCCCACGCGTGTTTCTATAACTGTATAGAAACACGGAAAATGTTTTCTATTTCTTAAATAATCATAGGAATGCAAATTTCAGCCGCTGGATAAAATAACAAATGAAGTCTTTTCTCACTAAAATATTCATCTGTATATTGACTTCGCTTCACCAGTATGGTAACATTGCTAGCACTATCAAATGCATCCGTAAAAGAACATTTGATTCATCCGTTTTCTCGCATCGCCGTTACCCCGCAGCACAGCACCCGCAATCTAACAACCTTAATTTTTGAAGCGCGTAAGGAATTGTGGTATAGAAGAGATCACGTGTTTAGTTTCGCTTCGAGATTTCGAAAGCAACGTGTTTTTTATTATAAAACGCAAGAGAACTGCGTTTGATCAAAATTTGGACTGCAGTATACATTTCCTGACAAAACCGAAACTTTACGACGATGTCTGGGTTGGGAAACTTTGGGTTAAACTCTCAAGGATCGATGAGTATGCTAGGAACACTAGCACAGTCCGCACAAAGGCTTGATCGCTTGATGGCAGGTAATCGTGGCTCCTCAAGGCAGGAAAGCAACTATGGTCGAAATGATTCGCGAAGATCAATGGACGACGACTTCTTCGGCGGTAGGAGCACCGATCGCTCTCGCAGGCGATCTCCCTCGCCTCCTCGGGTAAATATCAAAGCCGATTTTTCGTTAAACTTGTAGATTTCTTGAGCTTATATGTTTTTTTAGCAAAATATATCGACAGGTCGGAAGCTAGGTATCCTGGTCGATGCTTGGTTTTATATTGTGTTGCCATGTGTATATTTTAGTCAGCTAAGAGAAGATCAGGGGAGAGCAAAAGCGTTGGCAAAGCATTAAAGTGTAGGCAGACATGTAGATGCTGAAAATTTTTCAGTCTCAAGTAGATTGCCACCTGTCCAGTGTCCACGTATTTCCATGAATGTCCAGTCAAATTATAGTGTCATGTAGGTCTACACTCGAAGGGGAATGCATATTAAGGACTATTTAGGCCGCTCTGGCATTCAATTGATAAAAAATAATCTGGTAATTGCTTAATTCAGCATTAAAACCTGACTGAAGAAGTAATGGATCTAGTTGCCAATAACAGTGAATGTGAAAGAAATTTAAGTTTCCATTTATAGACATGTTTTCTTTTTCCTGGTTTAAATTGACCACTTATCCACACTGCAATGTAGGTTAAGAAACTGAAAGTTAGGTGCACTTCAGAAAAGTAATTCTTTCTATAATTTGTGCTTCTGTGTAGTCCTATTTGTTAACTTGACTGAAGTAAAAATGCCAAATTAGCCAAACTTGGTGGCTCTGTTAATAAATAAAATTGACTTGGCGAAGAAGATTCACTTGGATTCATTCGAAAAACAAGTAGAATGATTTTCTTTCGTCACTACAAGTTCTTTTATTGTCAGTTGCAACATACTGAATTTCATCAGCCACAATGTTCTGTTCTCATAATTCCTCTTTAGTCATAGTTTAATTTCTTAAATTATGTTCTTTGACTTTCGTATTTTGAAAGTAGTTGTATGTTGAAGAGTACCTTAAGCTTTCTCTCGTTGCTGAGACTGCTAGACATGATTACAGACCTTTCAAAAGGTCTTTGATTGCCATATGGCTAATGCACACAGAAAACATGGCCCTGCCTGATTGGGTATATCTTGTGCTTTGGAAGTTGCAATGTTATATACAACAGGAATGTTTATTTTGCGTTTTTGTTTAAACCATTGTCCTGTCACTTGCTTCATCACATTACATTTATCCATTCTTTGTCGTTATTCCTTCCTGTCTTAATCCAGTTTTTCCTACATGATTGTATTATCTTTGAAAACCAAAAATTGACAAATACACTTCAATGAGGGAGTATTGGTCTACCTTATAATTACTGAAAATCATTGTGCTTTTTGAAGTGTCAATTATTGACAATTGATTGTTCATTTTAAATAAACTGAAATATTGAAGGTGGATTCAATGAAGAAGATATGTGAAACTGCTGTGCAATACCTCAGGACTGTGCCCACATTGCTCTCAAATACCTTCCATTAATTTACCATTGTTGGAAAATTATGAAGGGTGAATTATCAAGAGGTGTATCCACCTATATTCCATGTAAAACAGTGTTGCCACATTTGTGAAGGTGTACTTACATGAGAAATATGTATAATTTTGATCATCAAGATTCAGAAGCTCGTACTTCTGTATTTGTGTGCGCACACAGAAACTCCATGTCATGGTTTGGTAAGGGCACTCGATAAAATTGAAGTGACAATGTTATTGTACAGAAATATCCTGGAGCAAAATTTGCCCTTTTCCTTCTTCCACTCTACTCTTTAAGCACTCAATTCCACAGATGATGACTCCATCTATACTCACATCTCAACTTTACTTTTTCCAACTCATATATTTGTATTCTAACTATAACAGCGATTTAATCGTGATGACAGACGAAGTAATGATCGTCGAGACCAACGAAACCAGAGACGTGGTCAGGATGATGATGTTTTTGGATCTGGTGGAGCTGGAATTTTAGGCGCAGCCCCAAGTGGTAACAACAGGCCTGCAATATCTTCAGGTTTGCATGTTCTTATTTGAATAGTTGTAGTATATTTGTAGTTAAGATGGGTACATTTACCCTGCTGTTGCACTTTCTCTTAAGTACGTATGGTAATAATTGACCTGCACCATGTTTTTTGAAAGCTTTCTCTCCTTCACTTGATATGTCTAATTACAGATTGATTCATACCTGTATCTCTCACATTTTTCCTTCTCAACAATTCTATTGATAAGTCTTCAAACTAATAATTTCACATCTTTGTATTCTTTGTATTAATTTTTCAATCGATCTTCCTGACCTGAAATTTTTGTACCACTGCTTTGCTTTTATTTACTGTGAATGCGTTCATGTCATCCTGCAAACCTAAGAAGAACTATCTTCTCTTTTCCTATAAACCATCTATTTTAGTTAAAAGCTAGTGAATGTGTCATTTTTTTCTTTATTCTTGTTTTCTCAATTCAATGAACCATAATTTGTCTAGCAAAACTATTTTGAAAACATTTTGAGATGCAAAACTGTCAGTCATACAGATTAAGCTGTGTTCCAACAAAATCAAGAACTTTATATTCTGTGCGCCTGTAAGAAACTATATTATAAGGCTAAAGGAACCTCCATAAATATTGACTCTTGGTAAAATTTGAGACTGGCAAGTTACTCCTAAAATTTCTGTCCTTCGAGAAGTAATAAAGTTGCTTTTTTTACTGTCACTGCTAAAAACCCCTGATTTTGAGCACAATTTGGAATTGCCCATTTCTATGGCAAATTAAGTGGTATGTGTTCTTCAAACTGCCTCACTGCTTATGCATAGTTTTTCTTTATTTTCATTTTGAACTTGAACTCTAAAACAAAGGTTAACTTCTTGCTAAACATGTGCTTTGTTTCATAAGGACTTGGTGATCTAGGTAGTTCGTCATGGAATGAGAACAGTTCTGGCAGTGGTCTTAATAACCTGAATTCTCAGACACAGCAAATTTTAAACATGATGCAGACCCAGCAACTCTTGGCTGCAGTTCAAGCCCAGGCAAAGCTTGCCAATCCTGGCCCACCAAGTCTGATGGGGAATGCTCCATATGGTCGTAGTGGGGGTAGGATGATGAACCAACAAAGGGGGGGCCGGTTCAACCGAAATGATCGGCAACGCCAAGGAGGGTACAACAGAAGAGATGATAGAAAACGACGATACTCTCCTCCACCGCGACCTTTCAAAAGAGAGAGAAAAGATGGAGATGCAGCAAGGTTTATTCATTGAATTTCTTTGCCCAACCTTCACTATTTTTGCATAGGAACAAGGCAGTTGCCAACTATCATTAGCAAGAAACCTTGCTGTTGTATATTCTCTGTATAATTATGGTAGTTCCCAGTTAGTAGGTTAAGATATGTGGTGGTATTGATTCACTTGCAATTTGTACCATTTGATGTCAAATGAGTTTTAAGAATTATCCTAGCTTGAATGGAACATAATTTCTGAATGCTGCCTGAAATTGTTTAAGATTTCTAAATCACATCCATTGCTTAAAGTACATAACATCAAAAATTTGGGTTTCGGCAAAGACCAGCGCAACAATTTCTCCAAGTTAGCAGATATAATGATGTTTATTTTCCACCCTATGAATCTCATCCAGATATGTGAATACTGTACATTTACCCTATTGAGAATTTTGATGTGAAAAAATATTTTTATGATTTTTTTCAACATTTTACTTGTAATCAATGGCGTCACAAAATGATGACAATAAGTTATTGACAATAAGTTATGAAGCGAGTAAACATACTGTTTCACTAAATGCCTTTCCTCTGGTCTCAATATTGCAGAAAAGATCAAAACGTGAAGAAGACCACAACACAAACTGCCAAAGTTGTTGCAAAGAAGGATGTGAAACAGGACGCAAAAGAGACTAAGGCCAGGTCACCAACAAAAGGTTTGTTGGATGTTTACGATACCACCTTTTTACTGATTGAAATATTGAATGTGGTATAATTCCCTAAAACTTGTACTAATGCAGTTATAGAAGAATTAAGTATTTTGTTATTTTAAGTAGTGGTTTTAAACTTTAAAGGAACTGAGGGGAAAGATGCTAAAAATCAAGAAAGCGAAACGAAGTTATCAAAGAATGCTGCTGATGAAGATATCCAAGAGTTGATTAAAACAAACTATGATGGCAAACGTTACTGGTGCTCTCTCTGTAAAATTGTTTGTCTCAAGTCAAAGGTACAGTAGCAGGCGCGGATCCAGCCGAAAATCTGACCGTGTCATATTGGACTAAAAATTTTCCGGTCGGGGGGGGGGCGTATGGCGAAGGGGGAACGTTTAAAAGCGAATATTGTAAATCCCTGTACTTTCATAAAACCACTAAACCATTTTCAAAATTTTTGTTAAGGCTTATTAAGGTATTTACGGATATTTCATTCACACTCAACATAACGTGAGATTTGCATACACAAATTATTCACAGCGTAAATGCAAATTTGTATCATATGGCGCTTTCCATTAAGCGGCCAAAAAGGTCAGACCGGTCATATTTTAAATTGAAATAGAGTATTTCGTTAAGAATATAGCGGTGAAACTGCATTTCCCGTGTTAGGCAGATGTAAATAACGATACACTTTTGTCTGTACCGACTACCGAACACAACAGAACCGGTCTGGCCGTTTTTCCGTATAAAGAAGAGCGCCCATAGTTCGATTTAAAACCTAAAAGTCTTACCTTACAAGGACATTAAGTAAAGATTTTCAGTATTTGTCTCTTGGGAAATAGCAGTTTAAAAATTGTCGTTGCGATTGTATAACGCGAGCGAGCGAAGCCTTTCTTTAGTAATAATTCCATCATGTTGTAGCCTGAAGAGCGATATTTCCCCTGAAATATGCTCGCTTAGATTTGCTTTTGAGAAATTTCGACGGATTCATGTATTAATACATTCGATTCAGCCTGAATCAGCCAGGATGCAGCGAACAGACAAATTTAACGTGTTATTTATAAACTATATCCGAGTTCGAAGTCGAGAAGTGTCGAACTTTATTGTTTATCATGCTTATTGCGCAATCAAAAACAGGCCACCGTGTCGCACCGTGGCTCACGTGGCAAAAGCTTGCCCTGTGATTGGTTTGCTACACTGCACCGTGTCCGGACGTTACTATATTTAGTAACAATTGCGCAATAATCTGCACGCTGACCGTGTCAACCAGTTGCTGTGATCGCAGCTTCGAATGCACGACTAGCTTCCGGACATACTCGGCACAATTCGGCAAGCTTTCGGCGAATTTTATAGTTCAGTGTTAACTGAACAATCATAATATGAAACAAGGAATAATAATTGGGAATTTTTTCCCATTTTTAGCAGGAATTGGTAACAATATGACAACGATTACGAAAGATAGTACTCAAATTATTTGTTTTAGACATATATTTCCTTAATTTTGGTGTGATTCAAAGAATTAATATGTACTTCTAAATAATGTGTGAATATTAGATTGCAGATGGGAAAATTCTGGATGCGAAAATCTGACCGTGGCTCGAGCCACGTTCGATACGGTCTAGATCCGCGCCTGAGTAGCCCCTGAAGTAAACAATGTTTTTGTCATCTCAAAGTTTGAATAGATAGGGTCTTTTTCACTTCATTATATTCCTTTGTGTGTTCTCTTTAGAACATTTACAAGCATTTCTTGAGCGAACGTCATGTGAAAGCCTCCATTGAGAAACAAGGCAAAGTATTTGATCCTGAAATTATGAAGGTAAATATGGGAAGTTGTATTGATATTTTTATCAAAAATACATTGTCTAGAATATCCCAACAATGTAAGCAGAATGGTAATCCTTTGCATGAGCATATTTTAAGAACTGGGAGCTATTTTATAATCATATTTCCTGTCCGTTTTAGAAGCAAGAGGTCCAACAAGACCCACCAAAGGCAAGGGACATCAGCGAGCTCCTGACTTACGTTTGCAGCACAAAACAGACAGCGAGAAAGGAAAATAATGACATCTACATCTCGTCTTTGACCGACTGTACAGTCAAGATTGTAGACTTCACTACTCAGCAAGACTTCATGGGTAAATTGAATATGTTGTATTGTAGTCCAGCAACAACTTAGTGCAAACAGCTAACTTCGACTTGTTTCTCTACAACTAGGCTCCGAATTTGTGAAGGCCGTCTCTGGTTTCAAGTGTCAAATGTGCAAGAACTTCATGCGACATGGAAACGAAATTATTCAACATCTCAAAGGAAAAAAGCACAGTTCAAATTATGAAGTAAGTGACCGAGTCTTTGTAATTTGTAAGTTTGAAAATGGATTCAACCTTTTGTTTTCTAATGCTTGCTGATTCTTACAGTAAGCGGAGAAATAGCAACGTATGACTTTTCGACTTTGTTTTTGCCAGAAATATTTGAAAGACCACCCAGACTACTTGGTAAACCAACGCGATGTCAACAAGAACTTGGTGGATATGTTAAAAGAGGACGAGGGAAAAGATGTCGTCCTTCAAGAAAGCAATGGCGATGCTCGCAAAGCTGAATCCAGCCAGCAAGCAAAAGTGAGTCCATGAAAGCAGTTGAAATAAATAAATTTGTGGGAGTACTTTGAATATAAAATAGATGGCTTTTGGTGGCACGGTTCTCCGGTAAACCACAGTTAATTCGGGTTAAGCCGAATTGACTGGCAAACTAAAAGTCGGGCTTTTCTTAGGTTGCCTGGTATATAACTTAGACCAACACAATCATAATATTAATTCACTTCAATGTTGAGCCATTCACCCAATCGCTGGAATTGATCTCCTTTTTAGAGTGAGGAAGAAACAGACTTGAATATGGAGGGATTGGATAGCTCCGAAGTTGACGACAATTCCAAGATGGCGGACGAAGCCAGTTTCAACGATTCTGCTCTTCACGATTCCATTCAGGATTACTCCATCGAAGAGAATGAAAAGAAGGAAGCCGATGATGGTAAAGTGGAAGAGAGTGAAGCAAAAGAACAGATGGAAATTGAAGATGTAAATGAAGCTGAAAAGGAGGAAGGTGAGAAGAAGCAAATGGAAGATGAACAAAAAGAAAAAAATACGGGAGAAAGGGAGAAGAGGGTTTCAATGGAGGCTGACGAGGAAGAAGAAGAGGTAAGTCCTTATTTTTTCACATAAAGCAACTGTGTATCGCTAAGTCGTCATTTTACCAAAATTGACCTAGTATAAATCGAATAAAATCACATAGGAAAAGGTTACTTTGCGTTAATAACAAAGCCATAACGAAGCTGGTAATATTAATTCCTGCAATCAGGTCGATATACAGTCCTGACAACCAGGTCAGCCTAATTCTTGCTATTCGGCCTATTGCGTTTTACATTTTTAACCACAATTATGCTTTTCGGAGCCAGCCCCTTTTCCTGTCTTCACCGTTCTTAATGCCTTGGGTGATTCAAACTACATTGTTTTACATTTCATCTTTCTTGAAGTTCCCGCTTCTTGGTCCAATCAACCCAGTTCAATATGAACCAATTGAGCAGAAAGCCGAAGTTGAAGCGAAGGGCGCCAAAGTCGAGGCGAAAACCCCCGAAGTTGATGCGAAGCCAGAACAGAACGAAACTCCGGAAACCCCTAGCGAACCCGCAGTCGAATCGGAAGAAACCGAAGACTTGACGCCGAGCAGGCGTGGACGAAAAGCGCGTCGTGGACGTGGAGCCACGAAAGCCACGCGTGGAAGACGCAGGACTCCACGCGCGGCCAAGAATGTGAAAAAGCCCGTTGAAGTTGTCGAGCTAGAGGATGAGATTGCGGAGCCAGACGTTGGCACCAGCGAGCCACGCGAAGAGCTCAACTATATTCCGATAGAAACAGAGAAGGAGCCGGATACAGAAACACCACCAGCCGAAGCAGCTTCAGATCCGGTAGAAGTGGCCCCCTCCTCTCAGGAGACCGGGGAGGGGCTGGTCTCGCCACGGGGAAAAGCTGGCGATGTTGACGCCATTGATGGTTTTGAAGTTATTGACGAAATTGAAGATGGTGAAGAAGATGACTCGGAAGATGACGATTAAAAACAAATCAATAAAAGCGTTCAGACTTTTTAGTTGAAGAGGTCTTTGTTTAACACAAGTAATGGTGTGATTTTCATTAGTGCAATGTGGGGAAAGATTAAATCTCACAAAAAATCATGCCATTACTTTATTATACAAAAAGTTAGCGACACGTTTAAACTTCACCTAAATTTAAAACCACCTTAACGCACTGCTGTTAGAACATGCCATATATCACGGGTATTTTCCCCGTTAAAAGCTCTAACTTTATCGGCGCGTAACGATCACGGATACGTTGCATTGTGATAAAAAAAAATTGCACAGCTAAGAGCTAATGGTCTTAAATTTCACTGTCTCTGGTCGTTCATTGACGACTGCACAGCTAAGAGCCAATGGAATTTAAGAAACCAAACCATATCATGTATACTAGTTCGTGTAAAAATAGCGGTTTAAACCTTTTACTATTGGGATTCATTAAAGGATTCGTACGAAATCCATTGTAAAAGCAAAAAATTTAATGGACTTGAAAGCTTACGCTTAACTCTCAGATGGTATTTTTTTCGAAGCTTGTGAAATATTTTCGAGTTGCAAGATTTTGGGGTCCTGACTCCTGAAAGCTAATAAGTAAAAGGCCCTCAGATCTTGTTCTTTTTTGACATGTACGAGTACGACCCTGTCTTAGCATTAGAAACAATGAGGCCGGTGATCGAGAGTTGTCATGTAAAGTTCTGAGAGGAGTATTAAAAGTAACTTGCTCGTAGGGAGTGCCATTTTGGACTAGAAAAAGTCGTTTTGAAAGGAGCAAAATTACTAATTTTCAAGTTTAAGAAAACGTGATTTTGGAATGTTTTTAAATTATCTAATTTCTAAAAACCGCTGTAGTTGGAGAAAGATACTTGTTTTTTGACATTCGAGAAAGACACTAGAGTAGTTGTTCTTTGACTTTTTAACTTTGCATCGCTCAAGCACAGAGCACTGTATTTAAGTGAAGTCAGCTTCTCTGTGCACAAATACAACACTTGAAATTTAAGTAACAAGTTTAATGAAACATAAACAAACCTAACAAACAAGCTCGGTTTTGCAAACATATTTACAGTCCTCTGACAGTTGAAATACCCATAGTTTCATGGTTGAAATCTTGAAAGAGGAACTATATCTGAGGGTCTTTCATGAAGTATGAAGAGTTCACGTCAGCTGAGCTGACTAAACGGCAGCTCACAAGGCGCCATATTTGATTTTTATTCAAAGAAGGAAAATTTTGTCGAGAATATTTTAAAATTTTTTTTGAAATCTTATCATGCCTCTTGATTTAAGGCCACCAGAATCCGTTCGTGAAATGAAACAATTAGATCACAGTGCGTTTCAAAGGAAAATCGGTGTCCCTGGCCTGAAAGTGGATGCTAAACATTGCTCTGTCCTTTTGAAACAGCTCAACAAATGTTTGTTAAATCAACCAAAATTAAAAAACATTGTGGCTGATCCTGGAGGGGATTTGAAGAAGAAAATAGTTTTGTTAAATACAGAAGTTTTACTGAACGAAGAACAAGAGGAGTTGTTAAAAAGCTGTAATTGCGAGAGGGTAAGATATGAGTTGAGTTTGGGGTACGATTACTGGAGCTCTGATCAAATTCTCAGAGCTGTGCTGCCAGTTGATATTGGTGAAGTTACTACAGCCTTTGAAAGTGTGGGTCATATTGCACATATGAACTTGAGGGAATGTCAGTTGAGTTACAAAAAGTTAATTGGTGAGTTACTGTTTGTCTGTTTTAATAAAAGGCAAATACTGAGATTCACTATTCAATTTGTAGAATTAAATTGTAATATCATCAGTAGTTCAGTATTTTTACCATCCAAATCACCAATGTCACAATCATTACATGACAGTTACTTTATCATATCCATCATCATCGCCAGCAGTTTTTTCAGGAATAATATTAATAAAAAGTAGTGGTGGTAAAATTTTATCATCTCTGAATGCCACACCATTCTTGTGTGTGAAAGATACCATTACCCTAATTGCTAACTTCGATATTGTTCTCAATACCACCACCACAACCTACTAGTCTACGAGGTTAAAAGTGTTGCCTCTTAATAACAAGTATATTATACTGTATTCCCCACAGCTAGAAATTTCATGCTAAAATTATATAGTAAAGGTAGAATGTTTGGCTACAAATTCTAAAATGCAGAAAGTACAGCCATGGTAAATTTGAGAATTATGAATACTTTTTTACATTATAAAATGATAGATGAATGTAAATATGAATGAATTAATGAATATGCTTTTACATCTATAAGGCTACTTCTGAGTATGGAATTGAATTGCTCCAGGTCAATATTTAAGTTGTAGCGACAAAAATTGTTTTACTAGCCTAGTTGGTATAGGGTGTTCTATAGATGTACAAAGTTGCAAGCTCAAATCACACTTCTCATAATGAATATTTCCCTGTTTGTCGGAGCAGCGTGGCAGCATCTTCAAACAACTTAAGATCAATTGTGCTATAACAACTGCCTAAAATAGACAAAACATATCTCGACGTTTCGACCTGAGGGCCTTCGTCAGGATAGTAAGAAGTCATACTTGTCTATTTTAGGCAGTTGTTATACCACATTTGATATGATTTTGAGAATTCGTATTCCTGAGGATGCATGGTTTCTAATTTAAGGTCAGGTTATTTTGGACAAAAACTTGCCTCAAATCAAAACCGTTGTAAACAAGGTGAACTCTATCGACGAGACGTACAGATTCTTTCAAATGGAATTACTGGCTGGAGAAGACGACATGGTCGCCACGGTGAAGGAAAGGGGTTGTAGTTTCACTTTCGATTTCTCCAAAGTTTACTGGAACTCGCGTCTGCAAAACGAACACAAACGGCTGGTTGACATCTTCCAAAAGGATGAGGTCATTTGCGACATGTTCGCCGGGGTGGGACCGTTTGCGATTCCCGCCGCGAAAAAGGGTTGCGTGGTTTATGCTAATGACCTAAACCCCAAATCCTTTGCGGCATTGGTTAAAAATTGCCAGGTGAATCGTGTTGAGAAGTATGTGCATTGTTTCAACATGGATGCGCGGGAAATTTTGAAACATTTGCTGCAGAAAGACAGAAGATTGTGTTTTGATCATGTGATTATGAATCTCCCGGCAACCGCGGTCGAGTTTTTAGACGTTTTTAGAGGACTTTACAGGATCGTGAAACCACTAGAGGTGGGTGATGAGACTGGGACTGGAGTCGAATCTACCACAAAGCTTCCCAGGGTGCATTGTTATTGTTTTTCGAAGGCAGAAGATCCGGTTCTCGACACAAAGTTGCAGGTTTCGTCGAGGTTAGGAGTGGTGGAGTTGGAACATTGTGAGGTCCATAACGTACGGAGTGTAGCTCCGAAGAAAATGATGATGTGCGTGTCGTTTCGACTGCCGCAAGAGGTGGCATTTGATGAGCACGATTGCGGTGGAAGTGCAAGAAAGAGAGATCAGAGCGAGGAAGGTGGGTATGACCTCTATATATTAACTGGAATAATAACTCACGCGAGATTAGGGGCATTGGACCCAATGTTATTTGTTTTCCCTGGTTTTACTTTAAAGGCTCGTTTACACTTGCGATATTTGCCGCGATTTTATGTGCAATTTTCTGCTTTTGATAGATGTGAACGAGTGATTAGTCACGAATGCCCTGATCTATAAGAGTTCTTATTTGAACATCCGTAACGAATTACTCGTTCACATCTATCAAAAGAAGAAAATCGCACATAAAATAGCAGCAAAATTGCTAGTGTAAACGGGCCTGAATGCTCGTGAAAATGGCCAGTTGCTGCAGAAAATTTCATTATCAAGGAACACGGAAGCTCAGTAAACTTTTCACTTCATCAATTTTATATGACATTTTCATTATTAAACATATAGCTAGATTCTAGTCTTTTTCGCATGCGATTTCACTTTATTTCAATATTTTAATATTTTGAACTGAACGTTTTCACTACTTGATACTCAAACTCTTTATGTCTTCAAAATTTTAGCAAAATTTAAAACTGGTTGATGTTTGCTAAATAATCGTGTATGAGTCATCGAATTTGCATCGGTTAAAAACAACCTGCCATGCAATAACATCATGGACGTCCCTCTAGTCTCAAAACGGATATAAAATATTTTCAAAATATATTAACTTTCATCCCTGATATCCTTTATACAAAATTTACCCATCATAAGAATGACCTTGTGTGTATGACATTTTGAACCAACTATATAAGGGCCTATTCATATCAGACGGGCCGGGCTAGCTCGGCAGCGCTGGGATTTCGCTTCACATATTATTTCACTATATTTGTAAAATTGCATTCATATGGAACCCGGTCAGCTCGGCTCTGGTGAGATCCCGCCTGAGCAAAGCGAATTCTCGCCTTTAACGGGCTCATATGAAAACATCAAGCGGGCCAGCAAAAGCGAGCTAGGCCGGTTAAACTGGGCTGGCCCGTCTCATATGAGCTGGCCCTAAGTTGACGCGTATATATTATGCTATCGTGTTATATTGCATTAATGTTTGTTTCCAGGGTCAAACAAGGTTCATATCTTAACCCGTAGTATATTTATTATTAATAACGGAAGTTATTTTACTGAGGCACTCATATCAATGTAGCGTGCGCGAATGTTTTTCTGCGTTTTTACTAAAACATGGTTACTTGTATAGCGTGACAGCTCTTGCGTCAGTAAGCCATCGACAATACGTGCAGCAAACCCTGTTACTAATGGATGCAAATTTAGAAAAGAAAATATATCTTTCTGTGCATTTATTTATTATATACTTATTTCATTCGCCGAAGTATACATTTCATAAATTGTATTTATTAGTTATTTCTTTCATTTACGATTATTTAATTTTGGCATAAAACAAACTTTCAAACGAAAATTCTTGCCGGAAAATATTTGTCCGCCTTTTCCCGTCACCTGATTTTGGTGTTAATCTTAATAAAACTCGACCGAACGGGTTATTTAGCAGGGAAAACAAATTTCAGAATTGTTGATATAAATACTCGAAGCTGATTCCCTAAACTAAAGTGTCTTTTTTTGTTATGTGGTAACATAGTAATTACCTCTGCAAAAAGGAGTGGTTGTATTTTCGTTTCAAGCAAACAAATTGCTTAGTCATGCATTAGTTTATGACAAGATCACGTATTTCAGCACATTAAGAGGCCTCGTATGCTGATATCGAATGAATTAATCATTGTTAACTGGTACTGACGAGTGTTATATTCGTAATGTCTTGTTTTTAATGGAGGCATGATAAATTTCACTTTTCACTTAACCTTCAGTGCACTTCAGCAACGAAACGAAGACGAATAATTTTTTACAATTAGCGAACAAAGATGAATCTATGTTTGGTTATTCGATAAATTTGACAATGATGTCTTTGACAATCGTCGAAGGCTGATTGGGCATCATGGGTCTTGTAGTATATCTGTGTTCGCGCCAGTGGTCTCTATATATACTCCTGGACTCTGGAGTACGGTTGTTATCATTTCGGACTATGTATCGTTCATAATTTGAAGCGGACGGTTAAGTTCAACAGTGAAAAACTGAAAATCAACGGCCGAAGTCAGTCTTCCTGCAGTATTCTCATAAGTAAAACTTTCAGTTTCTGCCTCACTTGCACTTTAGACGCGATTTCTCACTCCAGATGTATCGCGCTCAGCGAAAAGCGCATAATAGTTACGCGATACGATTATGAGTACAAGACCCCATTACGACTGGTAAAAACTAGGTTTCGCTGCCCAAATTTTGACGCATGTTTTCCGAGCACAATGGGGCATGGGCGTACGGGACAAGGGGGGACCCGGGGGGTTCACCTGCCCCACTCAGAAAATGTGAATTTAGAAAATTAGACGGGCAAAGTTTGGAAGTATCGAGGTTCATTTAAAATCGAACAATTCGCTTGCTGAGAATCATTCGTCTGTCTCTCGTTCGCCTATTTCACTCAAGTACAACTACTATTATATGAAATCGAGTTTATATCCTGAAAACGTGGAAATAATTAATGTAATATACTCATATTGCTGTTGTACTGTAAGTGATTGAAAATCACACAACCTCGTTTCCACGGGCGGAACTTATGGAAGATCTTTAAAATAAACATTTACACGCGGATATGAAATGTTTTTCACTGCAATTTATTTGTTTTTGAAACATGTTAAAAATATTGTTTTTTTCGATGTTTGTTTTAGATCTATGTTCTATACACACAATGTTATGTTGAGATATTGCACTAATACACTTGACATTGTTACGATCGTTTGATTGGCGTGTGCTTCGTACATTCGCAAGAAACAGAAGGCATGCACAAGCCCATTTACACACGGCCCAATATTCGCTCACAAAGCAAGCAGAAAATATATTTTTAAGGAAGTATATAAAACATTATACAACCTAATTATAGCGATGCATCTTTCGGGGCGAAAATGCTTCCTCTTTGCATGATTAATTCGCCTTCGCACAAAAGACCGCGGATTTCAATCAGCAGCAAAAACAATTGTTATGTGACATTAGTCCATTGAGGACTAACTTAATCCTTTGAACGAGTTTTGTTCCCCACAAGCCGACCTATTTTCGTCAACAAAAGCATAATTCTCTGCAAGGCCGTGCAGAGAAAGATAGTGACATCTCATTATTAACATGCTCTGTTTCAGAAAGACTGAATTTCATTTTTGCAGCAAAAAACTTTATTTTGACATTGTTATCGGTTCAAATTCGCGAGGGAATTATCTTTTTGATTGAACAAGTTGTCGATGTCTCTCAAAATTTGTTCATTTTGTGCAAACATTTTTTCTTTGTTATTTAGGTGTAACAAGTGATGAATTTACGAAACGGGCGAAGGTTGTATAGGAGAGCGTATATGTATATTAATACAAGACGCAACCATAGACCCAGTTTTTTTGGAAGGGTGAGAAAAGCTTGGTGCATGGGAGTGCATTGTGAAAAAAATAACCGAGGCATGGTTCCTCCATCATCCACTAAATATATGTGATGAACAATTTTTATTTGGTACTGAATTTATGATCACTGATCTCAGTGTCTTTTTAAAGATTAGTCTTACTCCGCATTAAAGAATACTTCTGATGAACGCTGTTACTTAAGATGAATTTGATGTTAAAAAATAAACCTTCAGTATTAAAATAAAGAAAATTTTCAATAATTATTTTCCTAGTCGTAAATCCTAACAGTGCAACTCCTTGTGACCTTGCCCTTAGATCCAGTCCCACACAATGAACACGGCTTTTTAGGAGCTATTTCTTACTACATGCACGCGCGATTATTTTTTCAGCATGTATATCGGAGTTAGTTTTGAACACTTACAATAAAAGCAGTGCATTACATCATGCCTACAAATATATGATTCTTGTATACAAACCCAAGCATATGTAATTTATGTCCGCGTATATTGTTATATAATATATACAAACAGATATTGCACGCTTTTACTTCCTATAATATATCACAATATCGTGAAAGCTTTGCCTATGTGTGTATATAAAAGCTGAATGGCCTATTTACTTGTGAGAAAAGGCAAATGATAAACCGCTTTTTGATGTACTTTTTGTTTGCAAGTGCACACCTGTCGAACAGGTCTGAATAGCCTCTGTACCGAAAATCGCGCGCTGACAGAGATAATTAGCCTTCGCAAATAAGTATATATGTAAAAATCCTCCCACTGACTTAGTTCATGAAACAATGCGTCGCTTGTGTGACACTGCACACCGCTGATGCAATGCAATTGTGTCAAAACATTGATACATCAAAAATAAGATAACTTAATTAAGCACTGTTTGAGGGCTCGCTGATCCAGACTTGTGTACAAAACTTTAACAAAATAATCTCTAAGATACACTGCTTTTTATTAGCGATAATACTTTATATCCCGTATGCTTTGATAACGGTACTTTTAGAATCTATACACCGGTAAATAATTATATAATTTGAATTGAATATACAGTGTATAATTCAGGTTGTAATGATAAAGTTACTTAGTGTCAAGCTAGTATATATTTACGAACACACAACTCTGATATATCGCCTATAATTTGCTCGTATTTTCTCGATGAAGATTGTACAGCAGTTTTGAATTGCGGTTGAATGTTTATTCTCGAAATTAGCCACACGTTGTCCCCGCTTTAAATTAATATATTAGTTTTTATTGTGATGCTAGCTTGAAAGAAAAATGCTATCGCTGGTCTGAATGAAATCAAAATTGATGATCCAGAAAGTTTTTATCGAGAATTCTCTTGCAGTTTTCCTGAATGTTTTCGATAAAGTAAATTTGTCTTCATTAAAATAGCGTTTCTTCCGATGCTCTTATGCGAAATTCACGCTTGTGGAATGAATTGTTCGATGTATATAAATGGCATGCACATTCGTACCCCACGTACAATTGAACAAGCTGGAAAGAGCCTACTGTTGTGCGACAATTCGCAATGTGTACGACATATTTCTGACTGTTGGGGGACACACGAGGAGTACACATGAGTGGAAAATTAATTAAAAACTCCACAGCGTGTTGGCCTATGTTTGCACAACGTGTAATAAATCATTTCAGCACTTACGCCCAATATCAACAGTTTGTATGTCTGTTCTTTCGCTAAGTGTATTTTTGTTTGCCTTCCTAATCCCTTAAAGAAATAGGTAGGCTTGTCCGTATTTTACTGCGCTAAATACTTCTTAATAACGTCATAATAACCTTGCTGTGCACAACCTTAAGTATTGCTGTGTCATTGTTTCAAGGTTTAGAAAGCCCTTACAAGGGAGGTATATTGTTTACATCGACAAAGGCCATGACAAATCGGCCGTCAAATTTTGCCATGAACCCTCTTCTGTGCATATTCGCGTTGTTTCGCATACTCGAACACGTATTTAACAGCTTTTTACACCTTCCCTGATACACTTTGCGAGTGCGTCGTTGTAATATAAAGAATTTCTCACCTCCGTTTCTGTAACACAGCCACTTTGAAATGAATAGTGTAATTTGTCGCAATTAAGAGGCCAACTTGTGTGTTGAAAGCATGATGGCTATTGTTCGATTGTTCTAACTTTTCTTTGCAAATGCTTGTGAAGTTGTATTCTATAGCCTAATTTCAGCAATATAGACGCACAAGCACTTAAACGTTTAATGAGCTGCGTTTATAAGCGATACAAAAGGCGTCGAAGTGGGAAAATTTGCAAACCGCCGGCAAAAAGCACAGCAAGTCCGAACGCGCGGTGATATATAAATCCTGCGACTTCTCGACAAAGTCCCCGAGACCCCATCGCGCCGTACCTCGCGAAAGAAACGTGTTTATTTCCCCCGTGGCAACGCGACAAGGTTCTAAACAGTATTTTCCTTGCGTCAGTGGGGTTCCTACTTACTTACGCAAGCGCCCCGAAAACAGGTCACCAACGGATATACAGTCGATATTTTAATCACCTGCTTCGCGCTTGTTAGCTTACTTGCTGTCTCCTGCTCCTATGATCACGATGATGCCGAACGCTGAAATGCCCGCGCGAAGATCTCCCTCGGTGTTCAACGAGAACTTTAGCATACGAAAGATGCTGGACATAGACCTTGATGAAGACTTGAGCAAACCGAAAGCGGAACACGATAAGCCTGAAGTCTTCGAAGAGAATTTGCAAGAGAAGACGTCTTCAGCGTCCAAGTCCGAACGACAAACAAGCACCGAGTCAAAAGATGAACGTGCGGAGAAACCGCCTTTCTCGTACAACGCTCTCATCATGATGGCCATACGGTCTTCTCCTGAAAGAAGGTTGACCCTTAGCGGCATTTACGAGTTTATAGTCAAGGTATGTTGATTAAATATCCATAATATATTTAATACGCAACATGCAACGCCTACTTATGCATGTACTGTATTGAAATATATGTTTACATGGCGATAATGCTATTTTACGTCTTATATAGATAACATTATTTACTATTTTGAGTTTTGATCGCATTTTCAGATACAGTCGTATTTCATGACCGCAAGGCCGTTATCAGTATCATCTTCTAGTGCGATATACTTGCTTTTAGACGGCTATAAGGATAAGCGCAGATTAACTTAAATATATTGACTGCATGTATATAGTTTTTTTTCGTTCGTATATATATTTGTTTATAAAACTTGTTTCCACAACTAAGTTTATATATATAGTTAGTGATATCCTTTGATGATAAAGCTTTAATGAACGACTATATTCCTGAAACTAATAATATTGTATGCCTGTCCGGTTGAAAAGCTCTCTTAAGTTTACAAGTGCTTTGTAAATTGGCCTAAGTTGATTGTGAGCAAATTAAAATATCAAGGGTTTTATCGATTATTTTGAAGTGTTCTCAGGCGCGAAAGTTAGATTGATAACGACGTTTAAGAATTCAACTGCTTTGTTTGACAGTTCTAACAGAATTACAAGAAATTTCCGCCGTCTTAAAACCGCCGTCTTTACGCGGAGATCTTTTTTTTTATTTTTGTTGCAATAATATTATTGTGATGTGTGTTTATATTGGCTGAGCTAATCATAGCTTAAAAGTCGCTTCTTTAAAAGTGAATAAGTGAATTTTTCGTTTTCAATCTCAACCATAGGAAAACTGACCTAGAAACCTTTATGTACTTCAATGCATTTCAGCATCATTTTACAAATTTTCAGTCATTTATTAGGCTGAAAAATTCAGACCGAAACTAAACGAAATTCCATGCAGCGCCTTCTTCTTCCAACCTAATTGACAAAGTTAATTCGCTTCTAACTCTTTGAATTCATGAATTCTTCAAGTTTTTCCTCGTACGATCGATTAAATTCATGATAGACATTCAAAATGTACAATTCCTTGCAACCTATTCGCATTCTGGTGCATAGATATAAATATAATTATTTTTTCTTTTTTCACTCTATAGAATTTCCCATATTATCGTAACAACAGACAGGGCTGGCAGAACTCGATCAGACACAACTTATCTTTGAACAAATGTTTTGTGAAAGTACCTCGCCACTACGACGACCCGGGTAAGGGAAACTACTGGATGCTGGATCCGAGCAGCGACGATATAGTAATCGGTGGGACGACAGGCAAGCTGAAACGACGAACGAACCCATCCTTGAAAAACCGCTTCGCGTTGAAGCGACCCGGTGGATTTGTAGGTTTTCCAAGCTGGTATTACTCCCAGAATAGCAATTACTGGCCTTACTCTCAATACTACGGTTCGTGGGATCCATATTGGAATCGTAACGGCTTACAGGACAACCATGCCTATCTTTCGCGGTTCTCCTCGCCGGAGCAAAGCTTGTCCCATCATTTTGGACACCCGAGCTTGGACGAACTCGCCCCGAATACAGAGTACAGCTCCTCCGGCCTAACCACGTCTCGTTTTCCCTATCCAAGCCATGCGTCGACCTCGCCTCGTTCTGAAGAGAACACAGCTTTCTCCCAACGCTGTTTGTGCGATGATTCAAGAGTCGATATAACTCGCGAGCGCTCTCGTTGTTGCCAAGGTTCGACCTGCCCAAATGCATGGCAAGCCCCACAACTTAGTCCGACCCAAACCGCTTCCCAAGAACTTTCCAAACCTTTATTTTATTCGCCGTCTTTGGTCAGAAATCGATACGCTTAGATTTTAACATTTAATATAAATACATATGTGCATGTATATAATAAATTATTGGACTATTTAGAGGCCCAGCTGCAGGGTACATATTTATTATAATATATATTTAACACTGTACGCGGTACAAAATTGTAGATATTCAAGCATGTAAAAAGTTATCGGCCTGTGTATATTTGTTATTTGATGCGATATATAAATTAAACCTATGATGTAAAAAGCTTTTGTCCTTTTGTGTTTAAGTTTGTCCAACCAGTTAACTTTCTAACAGACTCGGTCCAGCGTCTGAAAAATCTCACGAAAAAACTATACTATAGGTTGATGTAGCATTCTGTTAACAAAACCAAATTTTTCGAAAAATTATCTTGAGCCTTGAACTTCATATGCCGCGCCCTTCCATGAACAAGCTATAATGCTAAAGACACGATCGCTAGCTCTTTAAACTCGGAACTTTTACTTCGGGCTAAGCATATCCAACATTTCACAAGGGGAGCTCTTGAGAGTCGAGTGTCATATTGAAATAATAAAATGGTGGTATATATATTAGCAGAAATGCATGCATGGTAACAAGTTTCTTCGACACATGTACATAACGAGTTCAGCATATTTTTATCATGTGCATGCATAATTTCAGTGTAATTTCAAACTATAGCTATATATCTATGACTATATATTACAACGATATATTATCGTTTTCAAAATATTCAAAGGACAGTCTGACGTCTTCTATATGAAAATGTAACTTCTCGATTATCGAAAGTGTTTCAGTAATTTGTTATTTTGTTTCAAGGGCGAAATGTTTTTGAAATGTTCTACAAAGTTCCTCCCGCTTTGTTTTCAAACTTTACATAATCAAGAAGTGCTTTAAAAACACTTTGTTAGCGTCTTTGGGATGTATATACCTGTTGTCGGCGGACAGGAGTCTTTTTGTTTAATAAAATTGAAGCCGAACTGTCAAAAATGTAGCCTTTATGTATAAGGGCACCCGTAATGCTGTCACATAACGTCTTGAATTTTACTGACATCCTTAAAAAAGGACGCAAAATATTTGTTCACTTTTATATAGACTGCACGCATGTGCCATTATAACAGCTATATATAGGGAGGGGAAAATTTAGAATGTTTTAGCAAAGCGAATGAGATTTTGGCAGCATACATATGCAGCATATGTAAGCCACAAAACCTGTGACCAAAGTTATAAGAATGAGATCATTTTTTAATTAAAGATGCTATTTCAAAGTTGAATTTATTTATTTCTAAGCAGCTTTCGTTGCAAGCACTTGTGTGGGCCAAGTTAACAGCTCGTTTTGTACTCGTTGTCACTGCTAAAGCTTTCTAATTGCGCCTTAAACGACCGCCAGAAATAAATTCGTTAAAAAACTCATTCGTGCAAGCTTTCTCAGACAGGCCTATATTTATGTTTCATGTTTAAATATCAATAAAAGTATTCAATATCAAATATCGCCTTTTTTTCTTCGGATATTGTAACTCTAGTGAATATAGCAACTCTATAAATATATCGTATTCACGCTCTTATTTTTAATGTAAACGAAATTGTGTATTTCAGTTTACTCATATGAATCATAATAAATAAGTTTATATGTAGAAACACAAAGAACGAATATACTGTAATTGTCCAACATAAATATTTTGGCTTCCACGAAGGAAATAAATATATACTGTTTGATGAACTATGATCAAAATTTGAATTTAACTTTGTTTAAACAGGTTGCAAAATTGCCGAGTACAACACTGTAAGCCCAAGGTGCATTTCGAGCGCGTTTTGTCCAGCCCTTGTTCTCTTGAAGTCTCCCTAGGCCACTGATCCATATATATATAAGGTGAAGTCATTTGTATAGTTTTTTATATTCCGCTCTTTCACGACGATCACCGAGGACACGCGGGCTCAAGTTGTCATGCGTTTCCAGCTATTGAGAAAGTTGAGCCGTTCTTATTTTGCAATAAAAAACTAAGTAAGACATATTTTTGTCATCCTATTCTAAATTTCAATCGTTTAAGAATAGCCTCGCTTATACTGAATAGGACAAACAGGAAACTGGCCAATATATTTATCACTCCGAGTCGAAAGAAGTCAAGCTATGGTTCACAGTTATCTCACAGCGGTCACACGAAGCAGGATAGTGCAACTGAAACAAGTTAATATAAACAGTGATATAATTATAGACCCACGGTAAATATTGTTTAAAAACTCACGTTTTTTATGAGATTTCGAGTAGGCGATTTCCGTTGAGTTGCCTGTTGACACGCACGTGAAGTTTTTGTCGCGATTTTCGGCGCGATATTCTTCTTTCCATTGATGCAAACGAGAAAATAGTTATGAATGCTTTGATGTATAAGTGCTTTTATATTTGAGCATCGGCAAAGTATCTACTTGTTAACATCTATCAGAGGACGAAAATTACATCTAAAATCCCATAGGATTTAAAATTGCGTGTATGAACGGGGCTTCGTGGCTCTGTAAACATATTGAATAATTTGGTTCTCAATACTCAGGCTGTACAGTATGGTGATGCTAGGAATAACCTTTCTTTGCAAGGCTTCTAAGCACAAATACAGGTTGACTGCATGTGAGACTCATTAGTGTCCAGTCAAGCGATACATTTTGACGTTCAACGCTCTGAAATGCAGACAACAAGGGCTGTCTGGAATCGACAAAGAGTTTTGAGGTTTTAATTTAAGGAGTAGTTTTGGTCTATAGTGGAGAGTTTTAATTAAAATATTTTCACAAAAACACAAAGACCCTAATAAACTTGCTTATTGAGTGATAATGTCTAATTAAAATAATGCAACCTGGTTTTAATATTCCACACAAAGAAGCAGACAAAACAAAAATGCTGCTGCATATGGCGCTATTTCAAAATATCTTTATGAATTCAAAGCTGTTCGCCTTTGGAGGTGCAAATAATTTTCTCAATTCATTCGTTCATCCTTTACGCAGAATGAAACTAAATTTATAAACTCGTTGAAAATCCATACCTCCGCGATGTTTCACAACTGTCAAAACAAACTATCACAAATAGTTATACTTTCTTAAAATATTTATAAGAAATTGAATATAGTGAAACAACTCCAATTTTAAATTGGTAACCTGGTGTAATTGTTCACATAAAGTAAATTAAAATGAAGTAGTTTTATTCATTATATACTTTCTCAAAACAATGATTTGTGCGACCACACGCGATGGAAGTACGTTAACAACGCTTTTATTTCTATATTTGTTAACCATTGTAGCTGCTAACCCAACGCTTGGTTAAGAAGGCATCAAACCGTGCTTGCGTAGTGCATCGTTTAACAGCTGGCCAGAGCTTCGCTCGCTGGGTGTGAACAAACACACATTTTTGCCTCCTCAAAGAAGTCTAGCAACGGGGAGAGAAACAAATATACATGCACCATTCATGTCAAAACAGAGAAGCCAAATGTTGTATTAGGTAACCTCTGTATTTAACAGATCTTGAAAAACACAGTCTGAATGTAAACATCTTGTTAGCGCATGCCAGGTTACTGAAAACAACAAAATTTCAAGTGATATTTACACATTATTTTAAAGTCATTTCAAAAGTTTGACAATGACTTTGAAAAGTTCGGGTTAAAGTCTGTTCCCACGATCCAATTTTGTTGGATCCAATTCACTTCTAATGGATGTTTTATAATCTGTTGTCTTGTAATGTGTATGAAGTACCGCTTTATCAATAAACGACTATATTCCATACGTCAGAAGTGAATTGGATCCAACAAAATTGGATCGTGTGAACAGTCGTTTAAAACGTCATCTTGAATTTTGTTGAAACTTGTGTCTTGGGTTTACAAGAAGTTTATATATTCGGAGAATGTTTTCCTATTTAGTTTGGTCTTGAACATCTTGAAAAAGGCTAAACCTAATTAATTTTGTTTTGCATCACAATTTCGTGATGAACGCCTGGTTAAGAATTATATGAACGTATTACTATAGTGTCACTATGTCGATACTTCACATGTACTGCGGAGCTTGACATTACGAGCCAGTTCATGTGATGATTGATGCCAATGAAGATGCCTCTCAAATTTAAGTAAACTAAATCACATTTCCTATCCCAATTTAATTCTTAGCCTCTTGCCTTTAATATTAATTCTAATCTATGTGTCAAGTTGGACGAAATATGGACGGTAAACCAAAGTGCTATGAATATAACATAAACAATTTAAAATAGATGATCTCTCGCATGCAATAATTTTCGGCGAAAAGTTCTAGAACAACCACGCTTGGGTTTGTTTTGGGCGAAAAAATTATAAATTATACACCTTGGGTCATTACCGATAGATGCTCTTTATTCCTGATATCAATTCTATGTTATTACTAATTTTTACTTGCTTTTTCTTCGCCGATAAATTTGTTCATTTTCGGTTGCTTTCGACCGCTTTGAATACAGAGTTGGTTGGCAAAGTTTAAAAGCTTGTTTGTGTTAAACAAACATGGATACGTTACCCGCATAGCTCATCGCTGACAACTATTTTAGGTGTTAGCCAAACAAAAGCAATTTGTTGGGAAAATTTCAGCAGTGGTGGTCGCCATTTGCAAACAATGTTTAACAGTAGGCATGCCAGCGAGGGGGCTGGAACTAAAGTGGGGTTGTAATTAGCGCTTTTCTTCTCCCCACGACTGTGACTCAAACATCGTTAAATTGATGGACCAACAGCGCGCGCGAAACAATAGCAACATAAGGGGCTTGGACACTAGGAGGAGGGACGCGCCCGCTGGGCTTTTGTTCAGCACCACGGCTAAAATACCAACATGTTGAAATTGGTCAAAACGGGAAGTGTTCTCCTGCGAAGTTATTGTGAAGGTCAAGTGTTGCACGGTAGAGCTCAGGAAGGGCGAGCAAGCATCATAAATACCTGTTTTTATAAATAGACCGTAATTTGGTGTCATGCTGTAAACTGCAACAAACATAGCTTGGACGTTGCATAAACAACGCGGGAGATGATCTGCTGGATTTTTATTGTATCAAAACTGATTATCAATCTGCAGGATTCTCAGCCACTGGTCTGAATCTAAAGCTGGATGTGTCGCATTCGGAGATTGAGGACAGCAATGTCAACAAGGACGATTAAAACAAATAAATTCGTATGAAAGATTGCAAACAAACTCTTAGCCCACTGTTAGCCTTATCGATCAATTTAATGCGTCATGGTTTAACGACAATCGGGGCTGTAATATTATGAAATGTTCTGATTTAGAGTGGAGCTCAACTATGTTAGATTTCACCGTCTTTTAACAGCAGATACTTGAGACGACGTCTTGAATGCCAGATGACTGTGTGTTAGAATTGGTTGATTCATTTTGATGTTATGAATTTCATTGTATTGTCAGTGGTCGTTGCCCCAACCTAAATCTTATGTTCGCTTATTTTAAAAGCGGCAGAAATAGCGGCAGACGGTTTCATGAAGAGGCGGCGGTTAACTTTTAACTACAGTCAGTCAAAATCACAGAATTGGCCAATCAGAATAGTTTATTTTTCGTTTAACTACGCAAATATAGTGAAAAAGACTTTTTCTACAACTGGCCCCAGAAAGTAATCAACACTTTAAAGGCCTGGTGCAAATAAGTGATAAGTTTGTATAATTATAAAATTCATCGCATAACTATCATATTTAGAAACAAGGAATCTTCTGCAAACAAACAATTTAATGCAATGAGTGCCCCAGTTAAACGTTCAACGTCGACATTCTTTGAATACATGCATATACACCTCCTATATTCAAAGTTGAAGTGTCTCAAGGACACCAATTTCTGTTTCATAGCAACTATAATCCAATATCAAAGTACATCAAATTTTATTTACAGAAGTTTTATATAGTTTGCAGCGTTGTAAATATGAGACATCAATATTGTCATCTGCTTTTCGATGTCATTTTTATTTGGCGTCTTTTGCATCAACGCGTGAACCAATCCTGGGAACTGCACGGTCTTGTAAGAGTTTTGACTGTCCAATCCAAACAAAACGTGTCTGAAGAAAAACCAAAACCTTTTCGAATGCTATCATCGAATTCTATTTCGAGGTGACTAGTAGTCAAAGTATTTGAACGAATTAAGATTGAAAGTGTTGCTGGCTTAAGAAACCTCAGGCGTCAGTTGTATACAAAACTTTTAACTGTACTTAAAGACAGAATTCGCCAATCAGAGTTGTGTATTTCGGAGTTAACTAGGATTTAACTATGCAAAATGTAGAATTATACACACTTCAAATTCAAGCCAGGAACAGTTGAAGGAAAAACGAGTCAACTGTAGGTCTTCCTGCCGGAGGATCTATGGTTGACTCATTTTCCCATCGACTGTTCCTGGCTTGAATTTGAAGTATGTATAATTCCACTCGAAATTCAGACCCTTTAAACCCCTAGAATTTACATGCATCAAGTGAAGTGCCAAAAATCACAATTGATTTATGCAAAATGTAGTTAAAGAGATTTATACAACTGGCCTCAGGTGAGTAGGTTGTCCCAGGTGAAAGTTTTAAGGCTAGAATATGTTCATTTGCTGATATGTACCTCATTCGTTGACGACCAAACACGTGCGTTCCGCTAATGAAACCTTTCTCCAATAGCATCAGCCTGTCATTGAGCATGCGCACTGTCAACACGCTGTCAAATAAGAACATGGATATATTTTTAAATGAAAGATCTTAGTTTTTACCATCGTCAACGCTACCAAAAATAATGTTGAAGAAATCACGTACTCTCGTTTATTCACTTCTTTAATTTTCTTCTGTAGTTCAACCGTTGCCATTTTAAATTCCCGTATTGCTTGTTTTAAATATCCTATGAAAAAACAATTTGAATATATTAGTCACTGTACATCTTAGACACGAGAAAGTAAGGCCTCTGTTTCGACGTCTATAAAACGAGCCTAAACTAGGTCAACACTTTATTTCTACCCTAAACTTCTACCTCTGAAGTCTATCTAAAAATCGTCCACTGTTTCAAATACAGCAGTCTTACATAAAAGGGCTGATTTGATTTCCCAGAAGCCTATTGAAACACTTGTTGTCGCAAGTTTTTCTTTCATAAGCATTCGTCTTTATATGTGCTATGAATAATTTTCTTACAGCACCTCTAAATCAGGGCCGTAGCTAGACCACTTAATTGGGGGGGTGTATATTCATATATTCATGTTAATATATCATAGGAACAATAGCATACAAAAGAAATCATTCGGGCATAAGACGAATATATGAATATGCACCCCCCTAATTAAGCTTCTAGCTACGGCCCTGCTCTAAATTGATCCAATCTACTGCATGACATCAAGAACACAATATCTTAAACAAGGTATCGCATGATTCATACCAACTGTAATGTTGAATTTCGTCAGTACTGTTCCATATTTCTCGAGAAATGCTCTCATTCCGGAACTAATTCGTTCAGCGAACTTGGTAGCGTTCAACGGCAAGAACTCGTCGTCTGCAAGCGCGAGCAAAGAGTGCGTCACGACCTGCGCAATTGCACGATGCGTGTGGAATTCTGGGTCGATGAATGTTTTTACGTAGTGAAAAGTGTCGTGCAGAGAATGATATACGGGATATCCGAAGTTGTCCTAGAAACGAGAGGCAAATTCAGTGGCAAAAAACAAGACAAGAACTTCTGCAGTAATTTCTCGTCCAATTTTTGTCGAAATTTGACTTTTATGAACGTATTATTGCCTCCCTACCCTTTTTGCCTGTGCTATATTTGACTACATGTTAAGATGGAAACATGATCTAAAAAGTGTTTCTTTGGACTTTACCAACCTTTGCGCTGACATATCTGATCTCTGCGCTGGACATGCCAACGTGTTGGCTAAATGCAACGTAATCACTTCCTGTTGCGATGTCATCCACCCTAAATAATAGCAGGTTTTATCAGTCATTTAATATATAACTTGGTTATTTTCATGAATAAATAATGAAATGAAATCCTCTTGTGTCAAAATCTATTTGAATGTGGTTCATCGATCTTTTGATGATATTTACAAAAGTAATACGACATTCTTTGTATAGATTAGTACGTTTATCTTTTACCTAGGATGATTGTTCCTAGATGGGAGATTTCTCCGCCATTGGTCGAATACCGTTTCATCGTTATTCACAGGATTCTTCACCTGACAAATGAAGGCGTTTGAATTTAGATAATATTTTAAGCGTTGGAGAAACCCTGTCTTTAGAGACCCTCTGTACCTTCTTCGCGGCATTGTAGAGCACGTCGTACAGCATAGGACTTGATTTTGCGAAGACAGAAAAATTACCTGTGAATATAAATAAATTTATACAATTTTCAGTTTATATACTATTTACTGATACGTTGCAGATATTCCTTCTTGTATTAAACATTGTTGCATCATTTCTAGCTTTCTAGGAAAATATCACAGAAACTATTGTGGAATTAACTGGAATCAAATTTGAACAGATTGGAACCGCGGCGAGAATTTTCCTTTCTCCATTCGGCTGAGTAGAGCTGATATTGTCTAGCTATAGTTGCCTTTGTGATGTACTAATCTTACCTCGTATTGGTGAGTCTATGTTCAAATACGCAACTCCCTCTTCTCGGAGACTTTGGAAGAATTCCTAGAATCGAAGTAATGAACATCTGCAGATGAGGATATTGGTTTGGAATTCTCTGGATGATTATTTGAAATGGAGCTTTGAGGTGAATGTAGTCGTGTTGGAATGTATTTCGGAGAGAATGAAGATGAGAGGAGTGCTAATTAAAAAAGAATATGATCTTGCGATATATCAAACCTCAACATATTCTGTTGATCCAATCATTCCATATTCTTCACCTCCCCAACTGGTGAGCATAATTGTTCGACGCGGTCTCCATCCTAAACGAGACCAAACACTTTGATTGCTGAACATTTCTCAGTCCACGGTTCTCCTTGCGCTTTTTATAGCTACTTTTTTGTAAACAGTGATTTGTAGGGGGCAATTCGCATGCACGTCGATGTTATTTCAAATATACACGACAAACGTCAGCTGGACGACATTAGTAAATATATTCATCATTAATTAACATCTTGCAAAAGCGAAAATCAGCTCGGCAAATGGCGTAATTGAAAGCGTAACTCGAGTGTTTCCGCCATAACTTACCGTTTTTCATTGCTAGTCCGAGTGCCCTGCCAATTTCCATCAAACATGCCGTACCTCCACTTGGATCCACTCCCCCAAATACCCATGCGTCACGATGATTCCCGAGAATCACACGGCGGTCTACGAAAACGTACATCATAATGCTCTATCTCCTATGTTGGATGGGTTTCTAATGTGTAGCATTTGAATTATAATTTCGCTAAATTTTTCGACCAAATTAATTTTGACTGTAAACACACGATGACAATAGACCACACGAGAGCTATCCTCACAAGATTGCATAGATTTAATAGACAAAGATAATAACTTTTATGTTTCATTTTGCTCTTTGTGGTAAGGCGGGTCCATTTAGCTCTAGAAGCTGCTCCATAGGTTAGTTGGATGTCAAGAAATTTCGGTTTAAATCTGGTAAATCCAGTGAACGTTATAAAGATTAGAAAGGTAACTGACGTTATCGTTCCCGTTTACATAGTATTCACTTGTTAAATCGAGCATAGAGCTCTTCGGGCAGGTTTTCATTATTCTCTACCTGGTTCTAGCTGGCCTGGTATAATCCCAATAACGTTGTAGACATCCTCCCGCCTTTCCTCATTGTAGACTTCCAGACGCACTTTCCTAAAATATCATACGCCAGGATGAGATACGGCCTCGTGTAAATTGAATACGTATGAAAAACGCTAGCTGAGTAGCTGTTCATTACCATCTCTTGTAAGCATCCTGAAATCCTGGTCCAATGTTGTAAGAAACATTCAATCCACCTTGCCAAGCACTAGGTGCAGGGATAACTTCTCGAAGTTTTCTAGGTAAACGAAGGAGGAAAATTGAAGCAACGGGGCTTAATTCACGAAGGGAAAATACTTTCAACATTCTAATATCGTACTTTTTATTACCTAGGTCAAATATAACATTTACCCGTAAATTCGACCTTCACTATTTTTTTATTACCCAGGTCTGCCAGGTCGAATATACCTTACTAACACTTAACTGAGCCTTTTCTCTTACCCAAGGAAATTCAACGCGTCACATGCCGATATTAGGTAGACTGGAATTCTTGGAAGACTTTGCTTGCTTTTATCCACTCTGTAAACGCCATCTGTATGTTTCCAAGAGAAAATAAAAAAATCATCGTATTTCTCATGTCAGACTAGAGTGCTATCTTAGATAGAAACATCGATCAGTAGCTTGATTCAAAAGCAACTATAGGGGATACGATTTCAAATCGAAAGGAAAGATGGTCTCAGATGTAAATTTTATGCATTCTGATTGGGTCATTGAAAATGTAAACAAACTTGCTGATTAGAAAGCGAAATTCCCCCGTGTTGTGGAATTTGCTAGCTAACCGCACTGTCACCAACCAGGAGAAACATTGAGTGACGAGGAAGTCCCTAATTTGAATCGGAACGCCAAATTTCCAACTCACCAATTGAGGGATATCCGGGTGTTTCGGGGTCACCGTTCGCGTTTCGAAATGCTCCTCGCTGTACTCCGGTGCACGGGAGATATTTTGTGCGCGGATAAGTGTCGGCGTTAGGGACTGGGTCACTGTAAACGACCACCCCAAGAGCTCCATAACTGTGAGCTAACCTGACCTGTGAATATCAGGGAAAAGACAAAAACACAAGTGATTAAGGTCATCATTAAGCAAGGATTTTATATCATTGCTCAAAAGCGCAGGAGATGGTAAAATTTGTGTAAATATACCGTTGTTTCAGAAAAGCTTTGGTTGACCTGCATATCAGTATGAACACATTCTGGTTGTGTTTTAAGGATTTTTAGATAGTAAATTCATGATCGCGTCAAATACTTAGCTACCTTGTCACCTCGAAAATTTTCACCGTATCGAACAATCACTATCTTCCCTTCGCAACTGACGTTGTGTTTCAACAGATATTGAAAGTCCTCGTGCCTGCCATAGTTCACGTATACCATGTCTGCCTGCAGTTTCAAACAAACAAGAATTATATTCAAGCACTAATATTTTAAAAAACGGCGAAGCCTGATCCAAATAATGCTTCGCAGTTCAGGCATAAAGTCTGACAGAAAACGATATATTAATTAACTTCCTATTTGCATCAAGTTCAAAACCAGCGGATAGCAAAAGCGAATAGCATTTCGATCAACAGGCGATTGTATCACGCTTGTCGGAACAGGCAAAGTTGTCGTTTTAGGCCGTTTCTGTTTGTCACTTACGTTATGGAAAGAGAGGAAAGTTAATGGAAGATTATAGCGCCTTCAGGCGGGGTTATTTAAGAACTGCTCAACCAAAAAAAACTCAATATTGAGTTGAATATTCCAAGCGAAAATCATGCCCTGTATTGCAAACGTTTCACCAAATTAACACCTTTGTGATCAAAATTATCAACGAGGTGAGAGCAAGCAATTCGAACTAACACATATTGATCGCAATTAAGACGTTGAAACTGCATTGCAGCAAATTTTTAAGTCCATAAATTTTACTGTAGGCCCATGCACGCTATTCCCTACCGTGATGTTCCCAGAGGGAGAATATGCCGCAAAAGGCCGTAAAATATCCTTTTGTCGTTCCGATGCTTCGAGCGCTTCTTCCGTCACCTGCGTCGTAAACGCCACCTGGTCCTGGGCATCGATCAGGTGCACTGCGCTGAGCTTGTCTTTTGATGGAAACGACAGCAAAACATTATAGCGGATCAGTTTCGACTCGATTCCATTCTCGTTCTGCCATGTGTCTCTCACGTACTCGGCAAGTTCGCGATTTCTCAGCGAACCTGCATTGTGGGGAAGTTGTGTGAGATTCCTGCAAAGTAAATTTTAAGTGAACATCATTGAGAGTTTTTCAGCGGTGCCTCCGATAAAGGAAAATAAGAAAGCCTTGCATTGTTTCATAAGTATGTTGTCTCGCAGTTTGCGAACCAGGGAACAATGTTTCCTAGCCTGGTTTCAGAATCCTTCCGGAAATGAATAAAGCAGCGAGCATTATTTAGTATTTACTACTTCATATTCGCCTCGTATTCTGTACCTACAAAACTACAAACCTCAGATTTTTCTCGATTCGTGTTCTATCAATTAGCTCGGCAATATCTTGGTGTCGAAACATCGTCTTTTTCTCTTTGATTTTATCCCTTTTCCCGCCTTTGTTTATCGCTTTTTTAAGATTACAACTCCAGAATCCTAAGCCAAGACCGGCCAGGAAAATCACCAAGAAAAAGGCCACGCCCCAGACAATAATAATTCGCTTCGAGTTCGCTTTCTTTTTATTCGAATCTGTTTCAACTCTACATTGCAACGTTTCGTGATGATCAAGAACGTGTTGTCGAGGCTGATGAAAGAACATTTCATCCATTACTGCTTTCAAATTTTTGCCGTAAATATGGTTATGACAAGTCTTCACGATTCTGTTGAAGCTGGGGGCATAGTTTAAACGATGAGCTGGCCTTTACTTTTATACCAGGCCCTCCTGACGGCTTGGCTCGCATCTTATGAGAGGGTGAGAAGGGCTCGCCATATTTGACAGCGTCACAAGAATTATGTTTTCATTGATGATTGTTAAGATTAGCTATACATAGAAGATCAGCTATATATAGCTACATTCGGACCCTGATTTCCACCGGGCCAAAATCTTGGCTTATTTGACCAAATTGAGCCAGAAGAACCGTATTCTGGAACCGGTTGTATCGAGACCGTTTAGCTTAAACGATCGTTCAGCTCAAAATAGAAAACAAGTCTATCGTCGATTCCAGTTGACTCATTCAAGAGAGATGTAAGAAATTTTGACTTATCCACCGTTTAAGTTAAGCCGACTTGATACAACCGGCCCCTGATGATTAGAGATTATTAAGAACTGGGCTGCGGTTTTCTCGTTAAATAAACTTTAAAAATATCCAGGCTTTTATAGACAAGAAACTCGTGGATATCAAGCAATGTTAGTCTTCATTTTATGCCACTTTGAATGTTAGCTGCGCTGTTAGCGTGCATTTGATGTCCGAAGGTTCAAAGTCAAGGATGCACATATATTTGTTTTTAATATTTCACATTATATATAATCGATCAGAAGTATACATATGGCTCTAACAATAAAACTGTAAACAATAAACTCGTGTTGAAATAAAGACTTTCCTTCAAGGTCTTTTTCCAGGTGTGTTTTAAAAGCTGACATACTATCAAAAAAAAAGATTAACACCTTTTATTGCTCATTGACCTTGTACGCTATTGTAGTTGTTCATAAACGAATGCATGGGATAGCATTTATAAATAGCAGGCGGTTGAAGTCGTTCGCCGCGGGATGGCAAATAGCGCGGGCACGTTTATAGTTTTCAGAAAAAATTTATTTCATGTGGCTGTTTCGTGTTAGCGCGGCAATCTGTGTTTTTATTCATATATTTATATGTATACGGGTTGGCATGGGTCAATTGTTGTGTTTAAAACTCAAAATGGCGGGAAAGAACTGGGACTGTTTGTCCGGCAATAAAATGCCATTTCTCGGTTGAAACGACTTAATATTTCTTAAGAAATGTACTTTACTTTGGTTTCAAATTTTACTATGTCAAAGCTTAAGTTCTTATTAAACATATAATCACTGTATTTCGAGTAGTTTCATAAAGAATAACAAAAGATATAATCGATTAAATACAGTCTGCAGAATTGATTTCTATTTTGACAACTCTTCTGAGCGCTGATTGGCTAAAATATGAGCGCGAGATCACCCGGATGATGTGGGTTGATTTTTATGCGTAAGAAAACATAGGAAAGGACAAACATAAATTCTCATTCTTTCGATTTCATTCGTAAACCAGTAGGATTTACTTTCAAATATCATTGTAACTAGTTCGTTGTCTGTAGTTTGTAAAAAAAATAATCGGGCGATTTTAAACTGAACTTTATTTTGAACTCTGCCTTTGACAAACTCTTTCTTTCCCCGTTTTCATAGGCAAAGTTAATGGCAAGTGCATGGTTATACAGAAGAAATACGGTATGATGGCCTAAAGAGTAAAGGAAATATATTTCTCAACTTGTTCTCTACAAGGTCAAAATGTTTCGACAGGTATGGTTACATGTGTTTTGTTGAATGTCAGCCGGCAAACATCGAAATATTATGTATTTTAAAACCAAACCGGCAAACGTGAGTTGGAATTAGCCATACAGTCAAACAACAGTAGCGGATGACCAAATAAATTTATATGATTCTTAAAAAATATATAGCTATAATTCATTTCGCAGACAAATTATATTAATCGCGTTGCCCGAATAAGGCTATTAATATCTATTATTTAAAAAAAACATGTTTATAACGTGTGTTATGATTGGTCGAAACTTGTTGTTTGGATCAGGTCATCCAAAAAAGGAAATTTAATTCGGTTTTTGAAATCAAACTTGGAAGGCTACCTTGTTGTTATTTTGTAAAACAATTCCTTGATGGTTTCCGCGTGTTTGGATGGCCTGATTCAAACACACGGGAATGTTGTTTGAGTTAAGAAAAGCGCGGAAACGTAAAAGTGAATGTTTATTTTGTTTTCTGTTATGTAGCAGGTGTAATAAATGTATAGCTTGCAACCTGCGCATGTTTAGCTGCCACAACCCTGTCTGTGGTTAGATGTTTGGCTAAAATATAAGACGTTTCCATAGAATGCAATTATGCAAACACAACTGATTGAAATCACGACGACAAGTCTATAGCTGTTAGTTTCGCATGAATCAGATGCTCTAGGATATCTTTAACCGTTTAAATATGCAATTGTGCTACGCCATACCGTTTCTGGTAAGTGTCTTGAGACTGTTGCCAGTGTTGGTTTACTTTTTAATGGTCTAGTTTCGATTGCCACCGTCGGCATAATGGCATGCGTATTTTGTACCAGACCGAATTTTCACTCTCCTAAGAACATCAGGATGCAATTCTCGGCTGTAGTTTTCCGAATGGAAGCTTTGGTTCTCTCTGCAAGCAGCGGCCTGAATGTATAATGTAATAATGTTTTCTATTATGTTTCATTTAGGCTATTCTTTCATACGGACCAATATCTGTATTTTCAAGTAAGGAATGTCATTTGATGTTTCAAATAACCGAAATTAGCTCTACCGTTTACTGACGCTCCTAGCTCAGCACGAACAGATGAAAAAGCAGGTTTCAGATATCGCTTCGCGTCGCGCGAATAAATTCGCCTAGTGGAAAACGGGCTTAAAGATCGTAAGAAATGTTCGCCGATATTTGACAATTTTAGATGCCTCAGGAGTAGAATTGCATTGCATGACGTCAAGCGCGCAATTTTGCATCAAAACAAGTAATAATGCCACATTTGATCGCAATTCTAAACACATTCCCGTCGACAGAATTCATTGTGCGATAGCTCAAAATGATCAGTAAAACGTGAAGAAACCGATCGTGTTAAAACCCAAATATGAAAATTTCGTTTCAGTAGCACTTTAAGGAAACCTCAATATGGGATAGGGAAGGGGTAGGCTCCAATCGCGCCCCAAACTTTTCTTCGTTTTTATATTCACAAACAATTTCCCTAGTACTCTAAATCCAAACTCTGCCAGTTAATTTTTAGCGTCGTTGGCTAATCTTGCTTTAAAGAAGCCTGTGTATGGCTCAACTAGACACGCTCAAGATACCAAGGCGACATTTGCCAACAATGGTGAAATAACCAGGCCAGATCAACAATACGTATCTAGGAGTAGTGACAAAGATCCTTTCTGGCGTGTTAATCTGCTTGACACATATGTTGTGACAACGGTAGAAATCGTCTGTCGTATGGATGGCTTCTTTGACACCAATGATCGTATCGAAATAAGAGTAGGTATGGAATCAAACTCTGGTTTTTTAACAGACAACAACAACAACAACAACAACAACAAACAACAACAACAACAACAACAACAACAACAACAACAACAAACAACAAACAACAACAAACAACAACAAACAACAAAAAACAACAACAAACAACAACAAACAACAACAACAACAACAACAAAAGCAGCAGTAACAACAACAACAACAACAACAACAACAACAACAACAACAACAACAAACAAACAACAACAACAACAACAACAAAAGAAGCAGCAACAACAACAGCAAAACTCACCAGTGATATGAATTTAATAATTGAATTATCTTTTGAAAGGCAACAGTTTTGAGAATGGCGGTAATTCCAATCCACTCTGTGGTGAACCCAAAAATTTGAACAATATTCCAAGACATACATACCGATGTCAACTTTACGGTCGTTATGTCTATGTAAAGAAATCCGATACTCCAGTGGTAAATGTTCTGGCATTACAAGAAGTGATAGTTAATAAAGAGCTAGCTAGTGAGTTTAGCGTGGGTTTTTTATTTTTGACGTTTAGGCTGTTAGGGATATTGGAAATTAGAGTGTATGTTTGTAAAATTATGAGAATGAGACGATTAGTAGATTGTCTTAAAAAGACTGATTTTCATACGTATATAATTTCCCCAAATTTGACACCAAAATTTGGCTAGCCTTTCCTGCAGGGATGTAACAATCTTTGCTTGATGAAATATTTTCCTTCAATATAAGTAAGAGATTTCAGTGTCTTAGATATTAAGAATTTGCAAAAGTTGTGACTCGTGAGCCTCAATTCTAGTAAAAATAACAAAATAAACAATGTCACCACAATTTGGCAGTTAGCTCAAATACATTTCTTCTCTTTTCCAGCAAACGTCGCTTTTAATAAAACCACAAGCCACAGCTCAAGATATCAAGTAAAAACTAGTTCTGAGAAAGCAATTGATGGAACAACTTCAGGTTTTAATTCAAAAAATGGAGTCTTCCCACACTGGTGGATGATCGATTTTGCAGCGAGTATACCCATTGTGAAAATATTTCTTCTACACATTCACTCGATAAACAGATTGGACAAGATTATTATCACCATTGGTATGTAAGATATAGCACAAATCCAAAATAATTATTCTTGCTTAGCCTTAAGCGATGCCTAAAATAATTTTAGTGCAAAGGTCAATTTCTTCCTTGCTTTTGCATAAAGTCTGGTTTCAAGTCCCTATCGGACAGAATAGTTTCTTTCATCCGTGTGCTCTCAACACAAAAGAAACCATTTTAATCGGCCTAGTTTGGAGGATAATTTGGTTGAAAACCAGTCTTATTAAATATCAAATACTTGAATGTATACCTCTTGGATTTGTTTAGACACTAGTTAATAGACCTTTTTCATAATGACGTCAAAGGCGGAAAGTCTGATGTAACACGAAGTTTGATTGGCTCGATAGTTTTGTTGAGCCAATCAAATTTCTTGTAACATCAGACTTTCCGCGTTTAACGTCATTACGCAATACTCTGTATAAGAATGATGTATGGCGTCGTGGATGGTGTTTCATGGATATATGGCGTCGTGGATGGTGTTTCGTGGATATATGGCGTCGTGGATGGTGTTTCGTGGATCATGCTTCCTGATGGTAGCACATGTTTAATGTGGGCATACATGTTCAATGATGGTAGCACATGTTCAATGTGGGCGACGTGGGCAGTGTTTCGTAATGCCTGATTCTCATATGTCACCGACGGTCGGCGATGTATTGTTTGTAGTCGTTGACGAAGAAAATTTATACAAAATAACAAAGCGCTTTATTCTCCAGTGATCATCGACAATAGCCATCGCCGACCGTCGGTGATATATGAGAATCAGGCTTAAAATAATAGTGATTTTTAGGCTGGGGGAAAAGCAGCTATCAGATTCTACCTGAGCCTGCTGTACTGTCACTCCTGGGATCAATTTTTCGATTTATATCTACAGGAAAATCTTATGCATATCCATGTCGTTTTAGGCGACAACTCAGCAGACCATGGTATGAATAATCCACGATTTGGTGGTGTATATGATTTCAGCAAGACTTACACAAGCACATTGTATGCGAAGCCACGTATGTCAGGACGTTACTCGACGATTGAGTCCTTAAAAGATGAACAAATTTCCTTTGCGGAAATTGAGTTTTATTCTGAGACTGTTCGTAAGTATTAGAAAATTGTGGTAATTAACAGCTAAAATGAAAAGCTTGAAAGCCGGATAGCGCTAATAAACGTTTGAAAACACCAAGTTGTCTGAGCAAGTTATTCACTATAGCATGTCGGAAATAAGACTACCTTTGCAATTTATGAGGTTTATCACCGACCACCTCAGTAAAATTAGATTTTCTTCTAAATTTTTGAACAGCATATATCGAAGAGCGCAGAAATGGTCTTGTTTCTCCGGCTATCTCTGTTTACGAGGGTCAGGAAACTGTTCTACCATGTCATTCGTACGCTTACCCGCCAGGCCATATAGCATGGGTAAGAGACGGTGTTGTGTTACAAAATCGAACCAGCGACCAGGATACCAATCTTGTCATCATTGCAAATGGAACAAAGGGAGAGACGAAGAAATACGAATGCTGGGCAAGCAACGTTTATGGAAGAGATCTTTATGAAATTACGACGACTAATAAAGGTTTTTCAAGTTATTTTATTACCTGATGTAATTAACTATAAAGATTTCGGAAACAAGCCAAAATAGTTTTGATCAAAATCAAAAACAATTTATCTAAATTGTAGGCCGTTACGAAATGTGCTTCAAACCAGAAGAGGTTATAGATTCATCAAGAAACAGATTTTCAAAACAAGACGAGACAAAAGAAATACAACATGATAAAGATTCCTTTGGTTTTAGTAAAATGTACAGTTTTTTCAACCCACTGAGCAGTTCGTACATGAAGGTATTCAGCCGCTATGGTTTTAGATTAGTTAATCTAATAGCTGCTATGGTTTTAGATTAGTTATTCTGATTTGTGTTGCTCAAATCTCTGGTATTAACTTCTATCCCGGACTAAATTTGCTTTTCATAATTAAATAAATGAAATAAAATAAAATGGCTTTTCATTGAATGTTCCCTTCTTTTCCCAGCTTACCACATCGTGTCCCCCACCGTCCTCTTGTGGCACCCAGGCCCCAGGCTGGCTACCAGATGGCCATCCCAAACCTGAAGACGGCGTTACCAGACGAAAAGTGTGTTTCAATTACAATGGAGATTGCTGCTACAAACATCTGTTCATCAGCGTTATAAATTGTCCTGGAATGTTCGTTTACCGCCTGGTCAACGCAGTGTTTGATTTTCCCGCAAGATTCTGTTTCGACGATGACAACAGTTGTAAGTATTTGGGCTGGGTGTGTCGCAAAGTTCAAAATAGAAAGTGCGTCCCTGCATTCATTGAACAAAGGCAAACGTTTTAAAGCCACCAGGCTCCCAAAAACAGTTTTAGAAAAGCATTCTATTTAGTAGAACTAGCTTGGTTATGTTTTTGGGTAAATAAAATATAAATTGTGGTCACCGCTCAATCATCCAAATACGATACAGAAATCACATTTTAAAAATGTAAAACTAAAGAGGGTGCAATTTCACAAAGGCAACATTGAAAAAAAGGCACTTTGTATCATTTAGCCCCTAGTCCAAGAAGAAGACCCTGGGAACGAGGTTGCCCCTAGTCACCCCACCAGCTCCGACATCTGTGAGGCCTAGCACACTGATTCAAAAACCCAGTTGATAGCCTATATCGCTATTGTCTTTGATACAGGGGAAGCATTTGCTCCATTCAGATCGGTTCCTCAGCACTTTATTGCTGTTGGTGGTTTAAATACTGCCTTGGCCAACCACCTGATCGCAAAGGATGATGGGATAGACGATACGTCACAATGTTTCATAGTATGCATGATGAACAAATGTCGATCGTTCAACTACGACCAGACAGAAAAAGTTTGCGAGGTGAATGACGCAACCAGAGACGAAAATCCGCGAGATTTGTCTGGGAAGTCTGGGTTCCGGTATTATCATCCAATGAATACACCAGTGGTTTTAAGCAACGTATACAATTAGCCTGGTCCTTCGATCGTTTATCTCAAACTGAACAAACCTCTTTGGTCTATAAAAATATTGTATTTTTTGATAATCTTTTGACAAGCTATTTATGGACTTATGGTAGTCTCCACTTGCAGAGAAGGAGTTCGCGACCGAAATATTTACATATTTTCTCATCTCAAAAGCAAATATTCAATATTTCGCAAACGAATCATATCTCTGCAAGAGGAAATCAGGGGATTTATCAGCCCATAATCAGCCTTTCTTTCGCACTATTTCGTTGGCACAAAAAGACATTTTGCACGTGTTTACTTGAAGTTTGCGCACATTTTAAGATTGGTGTAGGGTTTCCACTTTGATGGAAATTTCCATATTTAGGATATATATACATATTTATTATTGTTATAGTGTAGTTACAAAAAATTGTGTTTACATAAAGTTTACAATGCTCACCGCTAACCCGTTCACTTTCGGCTCATTTCCAACATGGTGGACAAAAATGTACAGATATTGTACAATAATGAAATAAAATTAGGAATTTCGATTGCTTGAAAATATCCTAACAGAAATTCATGGCTTTGCGCGGTCTTCTTTCAAAATATCTGTTCGGGTGCCCTTTTAAAAATATCAATTTTGCGCTAAAAACAGGTAAATATTTCACGTAGAATATGCCACTTTTGTTGTTTTGTATATACCCAATTATGTATGTTTAGCACTTAGCAGTATGTAACTTTTAATATTTATTGTATAGCACTATGGGTTAATGGATCGCTCAATTATGAAAGTGAATTCGACAGAGATTACAGATCTCGTTTTACACGTTGTAGTTTATATATGAAATGCATCATTTTAAATGTAGAATATACTATCTATACGGACTCGCTGCTTACATCGGTGTCGGCAAAAAGAACACTTGTGTGAATGCAAGAAAACGACCCTAGAGACAAATTTCCAGGCTTTTTTTGAAGTACACAGTATATGTGAGCAATGTAATATTCTGAAATTTGATTGCAGGAACAGTTGTCAACGTCAATTCCTTTCATGAATTTTCTGCAAACATTTTCAAATACAGACAACTTTCAAGTGTGACAGGTCTGTATTCAATATCTCTAAAAGTACTCAATTCCATCTGGTGAAATGCACCTTTTTGCCATATGGTGTAAAGCCTTGGGGTACTGCAGAGAGACTAGAGTTAGATTTAAGTCTATTAAATGCAGATTAGAAAACCACTAAATGGTTTGGAGTTGTGACTGTTAGAGGTCTTTGTGCCCATTTTCAGCTAATACTATGCACCTTTGCCATTAAATCAATTTGAAATTGACTTATCTGAGAACCATCAGTCATTGTACATTGTTCTACAATTGTTCTATATTCAGGTGATTATGAGAAACTTTGGGACGCCGTTACTGGTGGCCGTGGAACTGGCAGGGGAAAGAAAAAGACCAAACCTAAGGATAAAGAATCTACTCCAACTGGATTTGGTAAGGGTCTGCTAAAAAGTGTTATAATTTGGTATAAACACTGAAGTAGTATTAATTCTGAGTTCATTTGGATGGTGGTGAAATTTTCTAGGGGTGAACCCATCCCACCTCCCCTAGCTTGCACTCCTAATTCATAGACCACCACCTATACTAGGAAGTCTCAATTATTACACCAGCAAATTGGTTGTTTCTTATTACTAATCAGGTTATTATTCAAGAATGATGTCTCTTTTTATCAGGAAAATTTGGCAAGAAATGGCCAGGTCTTGACACCCCAGTGAGGGTCAAACCAGGAAAGGGTGGAAAAAAGCTGAAAGAAGGATATTTGCCCAAGCCTCAAATGTCAGAGGTCACAAGACCTAAGAAAGGATTTCCAGTTTCCAAATCATTTGTCAGCGAGAGAGAACCACGTAGGGAGATGCCTGCCTGGAAAAAAGCGTTTATTGCAGGAGAAAAAATGTACGGGCAAGATTTGTCAAGACGAGGTTGGAGTGGAAAGACGTGGCGTGGTCGGGAGTTTGGACCCCCAGAGACAGCCACTGGAGGTAGTACTAGTTTATCCAACACATGATAAAATAATTTATGGCCTTGTTTAACTTCACAATCCTAGGTCTTTCTTTAGGATAGACTGGGAATGATGTTCAATCATCTCTATCAAAGAACCCCTCCCCCCCTTCTACCTATGCATACATATAGTCATATAAAATTCAATTATTATTTTTTCCAGATTCTTTAGAAGACTTTCAATCAATTGTTTTGGAGGTAAGATGTAATTATAGATTTTTGAACATGTATGGATTTGAACTAGGGATGATTGTGCTTAACTGAACAGGAATGTTGTATGAGGGGAAGGGGGCAGATTTTAATAATATTCTTGTACTATATTTTATTAATATTCTTGTATGTTTGCATGGTGACAATCGATAAGTAATTAAGCTTGTAGGTACACCACACCCTTCTTTATTGCACTGAAGAAGGCCCGAGTTAACGGACCGAAAGCCTTGCAGTATTAAATACTTACGTGGTGTACCTACAAGCTAAATTACTGGTGCAGTTTTAATCGGCACATTTATTTGTTTCTCTGGCATTCTAGTTATTTACCTAATTTTCATGGTTATACCAAATGTTTTTTTGAATTTGCAGTTGGAATGGGGGGAGGGTGTCACCCCTGGTGATAGTTGTACTCCGGATGCACTATGCTTGCTTAGACTTAGACATAAATTTTTAGCTTCGTCGTGTGAGCAACATGACTTCAGGGGGAAGAAAGCGGTCACAACGTGCTATTGTTGTTGTTGGTAACAAGAATGGAGCTGCAGGATTTGCAGTTGGAAAGGCACAAAGTGGCATCAGCGCTTTAAAAAAGGTATATATTCAAGAACGTCTAGCCGGATTATTGTTATAGATCCCCCAACCCTGTTTGGGAAGATGGGGGGTGTTGGGCACCCTTGCATCTTACAATAAATTCATATCTGTTTGCTCAATAATTTGCCCGGGTGTCAGAACCATTGGATCAATTAAGTTTTTGTTATACCATCATCACAGGCAAAAAACAAAGCAGCAAAATACTTGTATTATGTTGATCGCTGTGAGGATCGTACAAGTGAGTTCAATATACATTTATAATGCACTAAATCTGTTAGCAAATGGCTATACTGCCAACGGACACAGGGAAGTGTTCATCTGGCCCAATTTCAACTCAAATAACTATCCCTAATTGCCCTCTTATTTATTCTGTGTTAACCCTCATATATCCCTAATTCCCCCCTCTCTTCCTATCCCCAATTTCCCCTCATTCACCCCAATTTCACTCATCATTTTGAATCGCCCCAAATCCATCCCAACTTACTCCTAAATTGTCTTATTTCTTTCTTTCCATGTTTCAGTATATCACGACTTCCTGAGCACACATCGTAAGACAAAGATCAAGTTTGAAAGAAAACCTCCAGGTTGGTGAGCATACAATATGTGACATTCGATCGTTCTTACACTCTCCCTCACAGGGGGGGGTGCAAAGAATTCAGAACGAAGTTCTGTTTGACTTTGGTATTTGAAAAAAAATTCAATTTTTCAAGTATCGCAGAAGGGTTGAAAAATCAAGTAATAAAGTTTGGTATTTCAGGATATGGTCTAAGATGCCACAGAATCATCCGTGCAGTTGCTGATTGCATTGGGATCGAGGACATGAGATGTAAGATAACAGGATCTACGACACCGATCAGTGTTGTTCGAGCTGTTTTCCAAGGCCTACTGAGTCAGGTACAAGACTATTTATTATACGAAAGTGTTAATATACGACGGTCCTCATTCATCATTCACGCTTGTCAGAGCCGTAAATTTTCCCCAGAACAGCTGGCTCGGTTTTTTAGCGGCTCACAGAAAAAGAATACAAAGTTTTGCTTTGCCCTTACTGACCTTGATTTCACATAAGATACCCACCAACAAAACTAGCTAGTACAAATGGGCGGGTGTAATCTGTATTCAGAGATGTAATTGGACAGGGGTGGGATAAAGCAAGGTGTACACCTCTTATACCTCAGTTTCCTCCCCGCCGAACGTTTTCAAACCAATTACGGCTATCGTTTATTGAACTTTTCTCAAAAAGATCATCTACTCTCCATGCGTATAGGAAACACACGAACAACTTGCAGAACGCAAAGGCCTTCACGTGGTCGAATGCCGACCGGAGAATAGCATGCGACCGATGGTTGTCGCTTCTCCGAGCCCGCAAGCCGCTAGGGCAGCGGAGAAACAAAGAACGCTCGAAGACAAGGATTACGACTTTGATGAAATTTTTGATCCGTACAAAGGCGCTCATCGACCGAGAAAAGTTAAACTTTAAAATATTGTTTTGCTTTTACTCGGGGATACACAAGATACAATATTGAAGAGGTTGTATTGTAATAAAAGGGAAAATTTATCATAGCAGAGCATGTTATCGTGATGTTCCTATTCATTAGACATTTTCCGGAATAAAACGAATTTCGAATTATGAAAATTCACCTGTTTAGCTAAAACGAGCGTAAAAGTGGCCAGTTGTATAAAAGACCAGTTGACTTTTCGTGGCAGAATGGACCAATCAGTCGTGTATTTTTGAGTGAACCGTATACGATTTAACTACACAAAATGTAGTTTATATAACCAGCCCCAGGTTATCCAAAATGGCGGGAAAAGACTGGGATTAGTTGATCAATTTGCATTCCGCGTGAAAAAGCGTTACAGCGTAAAATATCTTTTCAGGAAATGCACTATTATAGCACTCGGTGCTTCCACTGGTGCTTCCATTTACACCAATTTCAACATTACCAAACCTCCGTGAATGTCTTGTATGTTATGCCCCATCTGGCATCTATTTCGAGTCAAAAATCATAAATCCAATATGATATTGACGTATTGACTGATATACATTATATTGGTGATGTAAAGACACTTCAAGGTTTTAAGTGTCATTGGGTAAACATATAATGTAAACTCATCCCGCAATGAACGCCCCGTTTTAAACGGAAACCGCAAATTATGTTAATTTATTGTGTATTGTTTCGCCATTTGGCACCTTCTAGACACCGCACTGCGTCATAAAAGCGAACTCATAAAAGCGAAATTGTAACTGAAAGTTATAATTCGGGATAATTCGTTGCCAAGAACAAGACGTTTTAGCGCGATTGTGATTTACGAAGAAATATACGTTTATATCTTCTGACTATCATTTTGTTTTTGATAAAACAGTGATACGGGGTCATGTCGTCTCTTAAGCTCTTCCTATGCGTCGTCGTTTTGTTTTGCGCAGTCGTGTTGCCGCTTGCGTCTGGACACTTTCGTTTCAGGCTATTCAGACGAAGAGGTAAGCTTAGTTAAAGTCTTTGTCAATATATTTGTCGATATGTGTTTGATGTTTGTCTTAAAAACAGGTGAAGTTTCTCTTCGTCTGCCTGTCATTTGATATTTGAAGTGGAATGTTTAATACCGCATGATCTGATGTTTATTTTATGCTGGGTTCTCAGTTCGATTAACATCAGTTATTACATGAAGGTATTCAGACATTCCGATAAACATCTGAAGCCGGTTGTATGAAAGTTGGATAGCGCTATCCACCGGATAGTGATTTTTTCAACCGTTCTAAAAATGCTTGAAAAGCAATTAAATTTCAACTTTGGACCCAACAATTGTTAAAGAGGATCGTCAATTTAGAAATACTAAAATTTAATCAAAGTTATACCCAAAAATGGGCGATTTTAAAGCGATTGAAATTCCGGTGTATAAGTACGCAGTTTCCCTTTTCGAAACGGAAAACTGCTTAGCTGTCGACAACTAAAAATTTAGAGTTTAGTTGCCGACAACTTGCGCGACAGACTACGTTTTTTACTTGTCGATAACTTTTAGTTGTCGATCACAAATAGTTGTCGAGAACTAAATCCCTTGTCTGTGGAGGCCCTGAGTCTGAGAGATGTCAATTTGGCAACTACCAAACTTTTGCTAGATGCTCAAAAAAGATTGGACCTTACACAGTTTTTTAAATCTTAAATTACATTGCTCGCTCTTAAATTTCAGGTCATACGGGCCCGAGAGGGGCACCTGGTCCACGGGGTAGAGCCGGACCACCGGGACCTCCAGGGTCACGAGGAGCTCCTGGTTTCCGTGGCACAAAGGGCATCAGAGGGTATCCAGGGGCACCGGGTAGTCCTGGGTTAAAAGGTGAACCAGGTGGGTGTCGAGTTTTCACTTTGACCAAATAATAATATTAATCGTAACCGACCAGGAAGGGAAACATTTTGACCCACAACTAAATCAGGGGGAAAGTATGTAAAATAGATGCAAGGCAAATTGTAAACAATAAATAGAAGCCGAAGGGAGAGAAATACATCTTGGAATTCTATTTATTCTACCACGATTTGATTTGATTATCTGTTGTGTCTATATTGTGATTTTTTGTCACCGCGTCTTCAAGTGAGAACATTTGACAAAGTGTTTTGCTTGCAGGGGAACTTGGAGGACCTCCAGGACCTGCTGGAGAAAAAGGTTCAGTAGGATTCCCTGGAACGAAGGGTGATAAAGGTGACCCAGGGCGTCCTGCAGGAAGAGGTTCTCCGGGCGCAAAGGGGACACCAGGCGTAGCGGGACCACCAGGGGCCAAAGGAGAGTCAGGTATCGTATATATTTATGTCCCATAATCGAGATTTATCACATAATATGGGAGATGATCAGCACTGAGTTTCTAGATCTTATGATTCCACCTATCAGGATAAAATTCTACACAGGATAATTTCGGTGTACAATAGTATAGTACTAGAGAAATATCGCCAACAACTTCACCATCTTTTCATCTTGCTTTTCTAAGGCTTGCTTCAAAAGCTTGAATGCACTTTCTCTCAGACGCCCGGTGCCCAGCACGCATGTCCAGATCCTGAACACGTGGCTACAAGCTGTTCGTGTTACCCGTCATGCACCTCGTGGCATCTCCTCGACTCTCGCACGTGTAAGTGCGAGTGTAATGTGAACGCAACCGTAGTGGATATTGGGTATTACAAGACCGGCGCGATTTGTTGTAAAATGCAGTCTCTGCTCTCCGCTTTGTAACTGGATGGATGGTCCCGGGCGATTTTTGGTCTAATCAAAATGCACTTTCTAGTTTTTTTAATAAAGGACAAGAAATAAGTAGTCTTGTGTGTTGTGTGTGTGTGTACTTGACTGGAGAGATCCAGTCGCTTTGTTAACTTTTGGTGTTTTATGTTTTATTTTGATTAACGTCAGGAAAAATAAATGAAATGCAATTCTAACTGCCTGTGTTTGTGTTTCACGCTGATTTGCAAAATTTCCCCCAAGTACAGTTTTCCAGCGGACTTCTCGTAAAGAAATCGGATACTTCATTTTGAGCCGGCGCGGCTTTTCTGATAAACTAAGCGTGAATCTATAAACAGACCTAAAGAAGAATATAAGGTGCCCTATTGCAGACAAAGCCTACTTTATTTCATTCATAACCTATAAAATTACATAGTAGTTGTTTAGTATTTTGTCCTCTGTATTATTACCGCAAATATTGAAATGCCAAGTATACTATTTGGTCTATTTCCAATGATAACTGTCCTTATTTCATCCTTAATTTAGACAATTTGACCTCTTCATTTGATCGACGTTATTTTGACGATGCTCCTTTCTTTACTTTCGTTTCCACAAATAACACGTGTTTGTTTACTGTATGAAAACACCAACAACAGTTAATATAGTAGTTTATATTACATACATTTTTTATGTATACAATATCTTACCAACTGGATCATGCTTCATTAGGACAAGTTTCTCGGGTCTTGCTCGATTTCTCCTCATTGTGTAAAAGTATCCAGTACCAGCGGCGCTGACCAGACGTACGAGCATGCTCCTTAAAAAGCAGAACGATTTGGTAAGGTTATATAAGACTATGCCTGCCATATTGTGTTCAAATATATTGCTTAGAGTTAAACTTTTAGTATATTAAAATTATAGAAAAACAAAGCAGTCTTAATTATATACAGTTTCATAAAACAGGTTTTTTTGTAACTCAGCTTCCCTGCCTGGTCTTTGCACTTACTTTCCTTTCCCTTTAGCCACTGAAAATAAGACGAAACGTACGAATTTATTAGTGCCATTTAAATGTGCAGATTATGGGTACTTTATAGAAGCATATTCGACAAACTTATCGCGAGTATTTTACTTACTTTAATTCGTATATTCGAAAAATAGTATCTCTTCTTTTGTCTAAAAGCAGTATTCCGTCCTACAGCTCGAACATTCACACATTATTTTCGAAACATTGTTTCAATCAAATTTTCACTGCTTGGTATCCGCCATATTGGATTTGAAAAACCGGAAGTGACTTTCGGATGGTAAATTTAACCGGGAAAACAAAATTCAAAACAAAACAAAGCAAGTCGTCCCTTTAAATACGTATATTTTTATTGTTTTTAGATATTTCAAAGTGTTTTATTCCTTAAAAAAATGCTTCATATTCAGAAGTAATGTCCATGTATGCTTTAAGGAGATAAATCTCCGTTTATGAAGGCTTAGAGTATGATTCAAAGGCTAGGAAGTAATGTCATTTCAGAGCTGAGATCTGGTGTGGTGTTTTCAAGTCTTGCACATTGCGTTGAAGAAGTTGTTTTGAATTCAATCGATGCTGGATCGAGCAACATCACGGTTGATGTGGATATCTCTACGGTTTCTTTCGAAGTTAGCGACAACGGAACGGGAATGCGTCGGAGCGACTTGGACAATGTTGGACAACGATATTTCACAAGCAAATGTCGCTCGATAAAAGATTTAGAGAGTGCTGTTTCATACGGATACCGTGGCGAGGCTCTGGCAAGCTTGGGTAGAATATGTCGGAAGGTCGAAATTGTTTCACGGCATAAAACATTATGCCGCACATTCTCTAAGCTTATTAGCAAAGGTCATGATTTGGGTGTGTGTGAAAGTACCAGCTATCGACCACAGCATGGCACAACCATCAAAGCCTGTGGTGTTTTTTATAACCTTCCCGTTCGGCAGAAACTAGTATCAGAGAAAGCAGATTTGGAGCAAATTCGGAGAAAGGTTTTGGGAGTTGCCTTGATGAATCTGGGCGTGTCCATTCATGTGCGCAACAGGGAGAATGGCAGCACATTGCTTCAGGTGAAGACTTGTACTTCTACTTTGTCTGTTATAACACAAGTATTTGGCTGTGATAAAAGCAAGTCTTTTAAACCACTATGTCAAACCAGTGGGGTGTATACCATAACTGGGTGTGTTAGTCTTGAGGGCTTCTCGAACAGGCATTTGCAGTATTTCTACGTCAACAAGCGGCTGGTTTCAAAGACAAGATTTCACAATGTTGCAAACCACATCTTGACCAGAGCCATCACTGGTCTAATAATCTCAGAGCCATCCAATCAGGAGGAAGAGTCCTATTGTGTGAAGAGGCAGGACAAATATCCTGGCTTTGTTATCAATCTTGAATGTCCACGCCATGCCTATGATATTACATTTGACCCTGAGAAGACCCTGGTGGAATTTCAGAATTGGAAGGAGCCAATTTCCTGTTTGAAGGAATGCTTGAATAAATTTTTAAAGAAGGAAGGAGCTTTTAGAGAGGAATTTGACAAAGGATGCAGTCTTGTGTGTGAAAATCATGATTGGCATGGCTTATCCCTGGAAGAGTCTGAATCAAGTAACCCAGATTCAGTTGTCAATTTTGAGCATCTGACTGCCATGAAAAGGCAAATTACAGCAGCCGACTTAAGAAGGAGTATGCTGTCATCAACTGCAAAGCGAAAACGACATGAGATGGCTGGGTGCAGTGAAGACTCAACATATTCTTCTCAAGAACATTCTAGTTTAGAAGCTAAATTCAAATTGCACAAACTGAGTAATGAAGCAAGTGCTAGGAACACAGATGGAAAAAAGGCAACCGAATCAGATGAGATTGCTGATAAACCACTAACAACTAGCAATTCCAAATGGTTGCTACAATATAACCCACATACTGGGCAATCTGTGTATGTAAACCTGCGAACAGGCAACACCAGTACGGTCATCCCTGATTGCAAACCTGAGAAAACAAAATCACTGGAGACACCGCCAAAATCTACTAAAACACGGCCTTTCCGTGAATTTGCGTCCCATTTGTCGCATAATTTTACGCCATGGTTGCCAAAAAGCTCAAGCCCAAGCGAGGGTAGTGGGTCGAGAAGCGAGGAAGAACAGTCCAGCGAGATCAGTCATATGTTAGATCAGTGGATAAATCCGGTTTTTGAAAGGAGAGAAAAGGTACGATCACTCCCAGAACGAATATAGTTAAATAATATGAAAAACTCGTATTAACTCGTATTCATGCATGCATGAAATAAATTCTCAAAATAAGACAGATACGTCATCGAACTTTTTACATTCAATTTATTTCAATTTTCAAAGTGCCTTTTTTTCACAGCCTGTCGTGAATGCCTCTTTCACAGACGGTAGCAGAACAAGGTTAAAGCAACAAAACAGAGCCCAGCCGTTTAAATTTACCAAAGACCACTTTAGCAAAATGAAGGTACGCCAAAATAAAGCTTGCTGTGAAATTAGGCCGACGATTTATTTAACATGTGCCAGGATTTTGTTAACTGACCGTGAAATGGCGGTCAGAGTACTACCAGAATTTTTTGTCTCGGATATTTTAAAATCTATAGCGATCTAATTTCTGGAAGATGATTTTATTTCGGTGTTTGCAATTTTTCGTAGGTAGTTGGTCAGGTGGATAACAAATTCATCTTGTGCTATTACGAAGGTAAACCTGTTCACATATTATGCCCAATTCACTGTATTAATTTTTATCATCCCCAGCATTGGCCTGGATCATAATCCAGTTTCAATTTTCGTCCAGGTGACGGGGATAATCTGCTCATCATTGTTGATCAGCATGCCGCAGACGAACGAGTCCGTTTGGAAACCTTTACCAAAGGTAAAATTTTCTACCTGATTCAGCAGAATCGTGGCTTTTGCAGAGAACGATCTCCTTCTTTTGAAAGATGTCAACGTGACAATAGTGTATTTGAATGCCCTATTTACGTCTGCACCGTACCTAGACACATCCCCTATCCACTAGTTCACATCTATCAAAAGCGGAAGATCGTATCTAAAATCGCAGCGAAGATCACACGAAGACTAGGGTAGATGACAAACTTTCTTCAGATCTAGCTGGTATTGATTGCACGGCAAATCTCCACCACCAACCTTCATCGACGATTTACTTGAATTTTTTCAGAGTTGTACATCGATCGGGACGAACCTGACACCAAAAGGTCGCTGAAATCTTCTGTCCTTCCAACACCGTGTATATTATCGATGTCGAACCACGATGTCCATCTTCTGCAAGCGTTTAGGGCTCAATTACAGCGAGTTGGAATCACGTTCCAAGATCCACGGCCATCGTCCAGTGATGCACAAAGTTCAGTTTGTATCAAGACTGTCCCGTCGGTGTTTCTCTCCCGCGCCGCCTCAGACGATCGCGCCAAATTACGCAACGAAATAAAGGCTTGCATTGAGGTATGGTTCAGACACAAAAAACATGGTATCTTGAATGGCATTCTTTTGCTTTGCCGTTCAATGAATTGTTTCTATGCATCCCCATATTACCCCTTATCACCCTAATAATTCATTCGCTCTTAGTTAGCGTTTCTCTTCATGTACCAAAGAAACCTTTTCTATCATTACAGGACCTTGTCAAGGAGTATATCGAAGTAAGATGAAATTTGAATTTGCATGTTTTCCTTTTACCCAATTTTCCAGCGATATTGTTCATTTCACCCAATTTTCCAGGCCTTTTTGGAGCCATCTTTTTATTTTCAACTTTTTAAGATGATGATTTCAACTAAAGGAACTTCAACAGCTGCCCTGCCAAGAGCGATAACCGAAGTATTAAATTCACAGGCCTGCCATGGTGAGCATCCTTTATGTCATGACTAGCATATAACAATAAAGTTCGATATGTTTAGATTTCCTTTCACATTTTCAGGCGCAATTCGTTTTGGAGATCCACTTTCCACAGATGAATGCGTTAACCTTATGACTTCGCTCTCAAAATGCGATCTTCCTTTTCAATGTGCACATGGAAGGTAAACTCGTATGTTTCAAATGCTAGCAGAAAATGCGTGCGAATAAAAATTACTATTATACACTTCTCTGAACGCCAACACTCTTTTGTGTAGACCCTCGATGATTCCTTTAGTTGACCTGAAGTCAATTCAGAATGGGATGTCAAAGAAGGTAAGTCTTTAGGTGGTTTTAATTTTAGACTTCACTGTTTGATTTGCCCTATAAAAACTATTTATGCATATATGAAATTTGAAAGTAAATCCTAAATATACGAATTTAATCCTTGAGGTTAGAGTTAAGATTAGGATTAGATTTAGGATTAGGTTTAACCCTATTTAATCATGAACCTACTCTAAGACCTAATCCTAACCTTAATCCTAATCTAAGATTTAAACCTAACTTTAATCTTAATCTAAGACTTAATCCTAATCTCAATGATTAGATTTGTGGATTTGTGTATTTAGGATTTACTAAGCATTGAGTAGTTACCGAGTCAGCTGCTAATTTCTCGCACTCGTTGTTGGTGCCTCGGAATGACGTCATCACCGCCAGGTGGAGATATATTTTTTGTCAGATTACCATGACAACTATCGGCATCCCTATTCAAAGAATTGATAATGATTCATGCCTATGTATATACCGCGCTTCAAGCACCTTCCCGTAGCGATGGTGGCGATCGACTGGTTCGCTGTCACCGCGTGCAATATATAGTGCGACTCGCTTGCATTTAGATTAGTCAGTTTTTCGTACTGACTTAGTGTGATCGACCGCGTCTTTTCGTTACAGGCTACGAGCTTCCCAAAACTCCGGAAGATAACGGAACTCGTAAAAAAAGGAAAGTGCAAATAAAATCATCTTAATCCTACATCGTTCAGGCAGTTCATAGTTCATAGCCGTAATAGCGATAGCGGCGCTTGTGTACACGTTCTCGCTGATGAGTTATATTCTCTGTAATCCCACTCCTGCCTATCTGACGAGCATCTCGTGAAAGATTTAAGATGAAATATATCAAGCCAAATCTATAGAAACAAAACTACACAAAGGTCTTACTGGCTGCACCCAAAGTTTTCACGATCAAGGAAATTTTCCTGACAAAAGAGTCGCGGAAAACACACTCATTATATGCGAATTCAAGTAGAGAGGCCTATAATGCTATATTCATAGCATTTTGATATTACACATTCTTTTTCAATTTTTACTTGTCTCAGCTTAATTTTCCAATGCCCCATCGCCCTACGAGGTGTGTTAGATGACAGCAAACAAGTTGTGAAAACCTTTGTCCTTTTTCGGTCCTAAAACAAACCGCTCCGAAACGTGCTTGTCAAAGACAAAACATCACAATGGCCGCCATAATAAGTTAATTGGCCAGCTTCAAGACTTCAATCGTGAATTATTTAGAGAAAGTCATATTAAATCTTTTCGGGTTTCCGAAAGACATTAATCATGAATAAAAAGTCTATTTTCTGCCTTTTCGTGTCTCATTAAAAGCAATCTGTTGAAATATTTTGCCTCCAAGCATGAATAATTAAATTTGTCGAATATTTGCATCAATGGCAATGCACCTGTGTATTGTTTCTTTGTGCATAACCGTGCTCAAGAATAGACGCTGCAAAAGATCACATCAGTTGTTTAGCTGCGAGAGTTTTTTCAAATAGAACGACTATTTGGGTTTGTTGCTAAGTTATTTAGAAACATCGACAAGTATCTCTTAACAATATTATTGTTAGATCTAAAATTACCCAAAAATAGCCAAGCAACGCTGTATAATTGCCGGATATTTTTTAATGTTTTCCTGCGAGTCGGAATCTAAATCACTTAGGAATGAAATATAATTTTTGAACATGATATGTACACAGGAAAATCTTAAACGTTTTGCTAATGGGCTTGGATTATATAAAAGGTAGTGAATTATCAAATTATCGCAAAATCATTGAAACTAAACCGCCCGCAAACCATAAATGCGAATTCTTGTATAATGATTTGTTGAAAAATTGAAATATATTAAATACAAATATTTAAAATGATTCTCGAAGGCATGTTTTTACAGGTATTCTGATCAGCACAAAGCACAAAAAAGGCAATAAAAGTATGTTAATAATGTTATTGTATTTGTGGTTCGTGCCAGCTATTGCCACGGACACCCTAACCCATTCTCCCACGTCCCTCGCCTGCGTGGCACAAAAATTGGCATAAAACGCGTCCGCGTCGAATACGGTTACAAAACATCCCCGACGCGTAACCGCGAAATCCTTTTAGGGATGGTTTGTAGATAAAATATTCCTTATCAGGTTCATCGTATATATACATGTATACAAGGCATTGTCAAACTTTTAAAGGCAATCGTTCCTGCGGTTCTGTGTCGTTGTTTTGACCCCGCTTTTACCAATGTCGCGACCACCTGCGGTCATTTACATTCCAAGGACACACTACACGTAAAGGCTGTAAATTATTTAAAAGCGTATACGGAGGGAAGCTGATGCCGAGGTTTTAATAATGTGATCGCGACGAAGCTGTTTTTAAAATGTAAACAGCGCCTGTTGATGAGCAGGTTTGCAAGGGTCGCGCGACCGGCAGTTGAACGGAAGCTTTACGTCGGAGAGAAACGGATCTCGTATCCGAAGTAAACATTGAATCACGCTGGCGGCCCAGACAATTTATGAGGAAGACCAAACGAAAATGTCTGAGTCCAAAAACGAGGTTATAAAATTCGATGTTGTCATAGTTGGTTCGTGTATGACCGACCTAGTAAGGTACGTTGTAATAAAGGCTGTCTTTTTGCTTTGCTGTTCAACCGAGCGCCGTGTTGCCATAATTTTGTGATCTCGTCTTGTTTGTAGTTATGTCAGTCGTCTCCCGAAGGCTGGCGAGACCTTACATGGCAGCAAATTTACCATGGGCTTTGGCGGTAAAGGGGCGAACCAGTGCATTATGGCAGCTCGTTTGGGTTGTGACACTGCTATGGTGGCAAAGGCAAGTACACCCAAATTGTCTCCGACAAGTCAGGGCCTATTAATTAAACGTATATGTTTTCGCGAAGAAGAACTTTATATTTCTCATGCCCTATTCATGCGTGCTATATATGTTTATTCCCCAAGAAAATTCATTGAAAGTACTATAAACTGCTATATTTACGTTGCAATACATTTCTATCCGTGTGCCGTTTCTCGTTGTGCACTTATAAAAAGTTTGCATTTTAGAAACATTATAGCCCCTTCACTAACAATATGCCATTTCGCATACATGTATATATGCAAAATATTGTGTTGACAGCAATACATTCGCGTGCCCTCTTCGACGGCTCATTAATGACAAAAGTTTAAATTGAAATCTGATGTCTTTGTATTTTACGCTTTGAGGAGCCCTATAATTATTTGTAACTGCATGCATGCTTACTGTTCTGTGCCGGATACAACCGCTTGTTAGCAACATTTTTACTTTCAACTGTTTCAAATCGCAATAGGTCATGTTTAGTGACAAAATATCTAATATAGAGTCATGTTTCACAGAAACAGTCGTATTTGTAATAACAGTACTCTGCCTATTCTTTATATTATGTATTGTACATGTACAAATGTATTGTGCACATACTTATGGGTTACAGTTGTATTTAGTCTGGGGTTTGCACAACTGTACAATTATACAATTATTTCATTGTACTTCCTATATCTGAACAGAATATAATCTAATTCAATTTGGAATTCTCTGGCATTCTTATATACCCTTGGGTATTCTATTATAACCCAGCATGTTGCTAGCATAAACTGACTCTTGTGGTTGCACAAAGAATCGCTCCCTTTGCAAACACTGTGAATCAATGAATTGCATTGTTTATACTCATAGCACACAAATTCTGCTCAGCATTTTTCATTTTTGCCACAATGTAATTTATTGCCAGCTACTCCTGTTCTTTGGGATCTGGCAAAGCTCTTCAGCTATATATAAATTTGGAATCTGTGTTTGCAACCTTTGTAAAATGCATTTGATCTTGAGTCTGGAGTACTGATAAGAAGATAACAAGATTTCTGATACATAGACATGCAAGAATGCTCTGTCACTCCTATTTATTAATTCTTAACCCCAAATTGAGAGCACAGTTGTTCAAAACTGTAGTCTTATGGTGGTCTTAAAGGGTCAACATTGTTCAACTCGATTTTGCCAGCTGTTTTGACAGTGCAATAAAACTTTGACCTTTACAATTCTATTATCTTTTTTGTACATCTATATGCAATTTGCCATTTTGAAGATATGCGTAATTGCATACATCTGCCACTTTAACATTCTGTGCCAAGCAATGTTTACATTTCTGTCTGTTCATCCACAATTTCAAGATAACAATCACACATAAATATGGTCCATATGCCCTGTTTCCCAGAGGCATAAAATGACAGAATTGACGAAGATAAATCTAATTGCTCATTACTACTCATAAAACAATCAATCTTCATACAAAAGCCCCAAATATACATAATCCAACAGCCATCAATGCTATGCTGCAAAACATCTGCTTTATCCAATCTGCTGGAGAAGCAATTCATTCTAGGTTTACATCTGTTTCATAGTTCGAAGCAGGACCACACAATGTTAGGATGGAACAACTCTGCAACATACCATGATGCTTGAGTATATTAGACATTGTATCATTTCCAAAGTTGATTTGATTTTAATTATGAATCTATAATTGATCTGTTTCACATGTTGTCTGAACACCAACTGACCATACTTCCAGTCCTTCTGGCAATAGTGTCTTCACCCAAAATCATCTCTGCCATTATACAAACTAAAATCCATTGCCAGCTACAGGTTTAAAGGGAAGATGATACATAGACATGTTCCTATACATAATGATAATTGAGATAAAAATCTGTAATCCTTTATAACCATGTCAAACAAGTTGCACACTTTTCCCCTTTGAAAACTGTTAGTGGCTGCAGTGGTGTGCAGAAAAGCCATCCATGATTAAAGCAATTTTTTGACTCACCCATTATCATGTACATTTCATGTACACATGGCAAATGCCAAATGGTTTTGCATGTCACTAATAACATTGATAAGAATATCTGGTTCTTGTTAACCAATTAGTTGAGGGGAATTGAGGGGTCATCCAGACATGCCTTACTTTATAAATAGCCTCTTTCCCGAAGACAAAACAGTACATTCTAGAACTGTTTACACCTCAGGCTTAAATTTTATGCGAGTCAGTTAAAGTGAATCAAGTGATATAAACTTTCTATTAAGATGATTAGAAAACTTGACCCTTTCGTAATGAATGATGTTTTTTTTTCGTAATGAATGAAGTCTTGAAAGTTTGTTGAAATGAAAACGATTGTTTTGTGTCGACGAAGAGTGCGAGACAAGCATTTTGAGGACCTATATCCTTGGAATTGAAGAGTTTAATATATTTTCTTTTTTTAGTTGGGTAAAGACACGTTTGGTGAGAGATACATGCAGAATTTTATTGATAACGGCGTGGATGTGAGTAAGTGCAGTTTGTTATTGTCATCCGAATTCGTTGTTAGGCTTTAATTGCTAAGGATAATATAACTGAATAAAAAGATTTTGTACAAATATTATATAGTTCGATTCAATTACAAATTCTCATTACATTACTTCGCTTGTCAATTTCGGCGGGAAAAGTCCCACGATGTTCTATACATAGCACACGCTTCTCGACCAATCAGCACGCGCTTAATATAAATGTTATAATTGTGTTTCTGTTTCTCAGCTTTTGTTGGGGTCACTGACAAGGCATCCACTGGTGTTGCTCCAATTACTGTCAATGCAAATGGTAAGATCTTTAATGAGTTTGACATATCGTCGGCATCCTAAAATTGCATTGTACTGCTCGGCGTTTTCTCGATTGAACCTTTTAAACAGGTATTACCAGGTATTTTCATTAAAAGTGGCTATTTTGATAGGCGAAAATTCTATCATAATCATCAGCGGCGCCAATCTGTTGTTGACAGAAGATGACGTCAAAGCAGCGAAAGACGTGATTACGTCAGCCTCTGTCGTTATCTGTCAGTTAGAAATTAAACCTGAAGTGACACAGCTCGCCCTATCCATAGCTAAAAAGGCCGGAGGTAAGCTCAGTTGGATAATGTAGGCTATAGACTTCTGATATACACAAGTTGTATGAGACCCAACACTGCAGGGTGTAGAAAGAGCATCATAGAATTGACTAGAAATGAAATACAAGGTTTAGTTGCAAAATGTCGTATAATGTGGCTTATGTATCCCTACGAACCTTATTTGTTTTCTATTCAACTTTCCTAGATCAAAATTTAGTCTACAGCTGGAATTATTCATCACCCAACCGTTATTTATCGATCAAATTCTGCACAATTCAAATCCTCACTTAAATGACCCGTCTTCATTTTTTAGTCACAACTATATTCAACCCAGCTCCAGCCCAGTCTTGGTTGGATACGGTTTTTTATAAAGACAGCGACGTCTTTTGCGCCAACGAGACTGAGGTAAATTTGAACTAGTCGTATTATTATTATTATTAAGTAAATCAAGTCTTCTTTCCCTACCATTTGGTAAAGAATGTTGATAAGTGCTTGGTATTCCTTAGGCTGAAATATTAACTGGAGTTACAATATCCTGCGTCGAGGACGCGTTCCATGCTCTGCCAGTGTTACTGGGTCGAGGAGCAGCAAAGATTGTGATTACCCTCGGGGAAAATGGTTCGGTGGTCGCGACACGTGAAGACCCTACGCCCCGTCACGTGCCCAGCAAGGAGGTGAAACCCTTGGATACGACGGTTGGTTTTTGTCTATGTTCATTCAACTTTGTCTTGTTTCGGCAACAAGTAGTGTGTTGTCTATTATCCACTATGTTTAACCCATGAACTATTGCATGCCAACGGTTAAGCCTACTACTAGCCTGAACAATCTAAGTAAATTCACTGTTTTCAATCATGCAGATCTCCAAACCACAGAATACCTATGAGAAAGACAACTCCATTGTTTTTTGTCAAGACAATCTCTTATTTGTTTTAAGTGTGTTTCGTCATGATTCGTCACTCAGCAAGTACCGTAAATAGAGGCAATCACTCCCCTGCCAATGTTTAAAAATAGCGTCATTTTAGATATGGACAGGGGGTGATTGCTTTTATTAACGGTACTTCCCGGGTGACGACGAATCATGACGAAGCACACTTACGCAAGAAACAATGCAGTTGTCTTTCTGAATCTGTGTCCAAACTATCATGCCAAGTTACAGTTTCAGTTTTGCAATCACGTCGGGTTTAACAACTTTTCTTGACGCCATACGATAAAAAAATTGTATAATGTTTTAGGCTTTTATCCTCTGAGTTTTAGGCTTTTATCCTCTTTTATCTAACTTGATCTGGGAATGATGGCAATCCGATATCGGCGTGCTATATATACAACTTTTATGATTTTATCACATATGTGTGGTTAAGACTATATTCTGTTTACGAAAGTGTTGAAGACCCTTAGAATAGTAAAAACAGCATGTATTACCAGCCCTGATAAAGACAAAACGTTTACTTTTAGGGTGCTGGGGATGCATTTGTAGGAGCCCTGGCGTTTTATCTCTCTAAATACAAAGGACTTACATTCGTCGAAATGGTCAGAAGGGCAAACGAGATTGCAGCAATCTCAGTGTGCGGTCCTGGGACCCAGACTAGTTACCCTACTGTAGCTAAATTACCGCCTGCATTATTCGACCCGCCGGGCGTGAACTCTTGCCCGCAACGGAGCCCGAAGCCCGACACCACGATCGTACACCGTCGATCAAAGTCGGAAGAGAGAAGGCGGAGGGTAAGCTTGCCGAACGACGGCATTACGGCGCGTGACGGCAAAAGCCGAAACTCGAATGAAGTTCCGTCAAAAGGACAACGAAGAGCGAGTAACGACGATGCGCCCACGAGTACGAAGAAGACCCGAGGGTTTTTCGGGCGACGCCGAAGTGAGGGCTCCGTAGGATCTAAGAAACAAATGATTGAACAATCAGGGAAGGCGAACGGCAAAGTGACTAAGGGGGATGAAGGGGGGCATACAGAGACGAAAAAGGATAATTGTGATCGTAGGGGTAGCGTACCGCAAATACAAGGAGTGGCTTTAGCTGTTGAAAACACCCCTGCTGGTCGTGAGACCATGATAGATTTCTGACTACACAGAACACAACAGGCAATCGTGCTCACGTGTTCACCACGTGGTTAATCAGTCAGCTAAACGCATGCGCATCTAACTGGGCAAGATTACGTGTGGATAAGATTTTACAACGACCCCTTGGCCCTTTCTCAACTGCTAGACACTAAGCAAGACGTGCTATAAAGGATAGTTCTGTATTATGTAAAACAGAGCTGAATGTTTGAAGAACCGATCGTGCAGCTGAGACGAGACACGTCTGCTTTAGACAACAGTCCGATTTAAAATATGTTATTCGTTTGCGTAGCAATGAAAGCGCTTATTCAAATTAATCGAGCCGAATTAATCTAAAGGAGGAAAACTCTTGCGCGCCTCGCACAGGAAGGAGCGTCTCGATACTTCTTAGTTGTATAATTTATTTGAATATAATTTAATAATGCAAAGTCCAAGCATTTGTTTTGTTGGAAACGACATTTAGAAAAGATTTGTAGACCGTAAAATCTAAAATCCTGACCGCTTAACCAATGTCTAGGAATGTATGTGCTATATTCCTTAGATGCGAGAGCTGGTACCTGGTTCATGATGGGCTGCTTTCTATTTCTTTCTGGAAATGCGAGTTGTCTTATAATTATGATCGTAGCTGATTTCACAAATCTGGTTCTCATCCGGAACTAGGCTTTGTAATTAAATCATATCAGCGATTTATTTTCTATATTTGTCAAATCACAAGATGGATTTCATAAAGTTATCATTGAATTTCATTGATAATCATTAAAATACCATCAATATTATTGATTAGTATTGGTACTGTCCCCGACTTTGGTATTCAAATATGTAAAATCACCCCAACTAAACAACTTAAAAATAATTCCTGTCTTTTATAGAACAGAAGATATTTTGAGGCGACTATTGGGGTGCCATTTATCCCTCACCCTACAGCTCTGAAAGGTAGATTTTGTGAAATTGGCCACGTTCTTGGCCTGTACCATTTGGACTACAACCAGGAGGTGCATCCTTGAAAGTTATGACAATGTCATCGACTGCCACTTGAGATTTTCCTTGCTCGCCATATGAAGACGTTGGCCCTTTTATTGTCGCAACTATTGTGAACTCTTCTTTTGCCAGTAGAGATATTGCTTGGGACAACATGACGTCATAACCCCAAATTTTTTCGTCATTCTGTTCCGAAGTGTAGGTCCCTGTAATATTCTCGTTTTTGATCGTGAACTTGACTTCGTATTGCCCCCCACCAGAGTTACCAAACAAGCGAACACCGTGAAATAGGACTGCTTTGTTGACAGACAGGGTAAGAGCATCGGATTTATTCCCGTTGTAGCCCCAAGAACCTGATGCATTGTCAAATCTGCATAAACCGACTATACGTACCTGTTTCACCTCGTGCTGTTTCACCTCGCGCTCGGGCCATTTGAAATCGGATACATCTAATCCGTTGAATTTATGGAAAATTGAAAGACGTTCTTTCTCTGTCAGTATCTCGGATGTGGAAACATATTCTGCAAAATCGTGTTCTGACATATCCAGGAAACGAATTTCGTATCGAATATCCCCCAAGATTCTTTTTCTTGCTGTTTTGTCTTCTTTGGTGTTTATACCCTGTCTTGCACATTCGCTGTCGACCCATTTTAAAACTGCTTTGAACAATTGCACTTCAGCTATCTCGAACTTCCTTTTTTCTAACAAAGTTTTCAGTGTTCGGGTTCTGATATTACAGAACGCTTCCGAGGTTATGCATTCCTGAGTCTTCGTCTCAATAATATTCCAACACTTCGCTTCTAGCTCGTTTTGCTCGAATTTTACTGCCTGTTCCAGCACAGCAAAAACATTATCAGGCTCAATGTTCTCCTCCAAGACCTTGCTACATTTCTTAGCCAAAGACGAGATGAAATATTTCTTTGCCAAATACATGATTCCTATCGCGTTTCCAGCGGTAACTTCACAATCTTCGACGTACAAGAAACGCAAAAACTCTTCGAAGCTTTTTTCTTCTGTGTCGTTGATGCGAATTGGCGATTCTTTTTCGGCTACATGACCATAAAACATAGAAAAAAACACGGCACTGCTTGTGGCAAGAACATATTTGTGTGCATGAAATACGCGATGACCTGACTCGCCACAAACGAAAGATACGTCGCTCATCAATTCGTTATCAAACATATACTCGTTTCTTTCTATCACCGTTGTCTTACTGGATTGCCAATCCTCGTGGTATTTTAAAGCCATGGTTTGGAATAGTATTCTCGCAAAGAATTGAATATTCGTGAAAAGGCAGATGGAGTATTTTTGCATAAAACGCGGAAGTGCTATAAACAGAAGCTAGAGTTAAAACGAAACTATAGAGCCCATTGTCACTCGATGGGGCCACAAGGGACGACGATACTCCATGTTACAGAGGTATTTTGATGGTTCAAACTTCAAAACATGTCGTTACACAGTGTGCTTCAGTTATATGTTACTCAGTCTCTGGTGCTTAATCTGCGTGCCCTATTGGAGTTTACATCACCAAAATCTCGTTGCGACTATAAAAAATTCATCAGAAAAAGTTTCATCTTTTTAGATTTAATTCTAAGCTTTCTTGTTAGCCCAAACAACTTTTACCTTTGCACTTTTCTTATTGCCTTTCTTGTTTCAAACGTTCAAACTAAATACTCTGGGCGTGGTTTTAATACTTTGGGCGTGGTCTTTAACCACCTCACCTTCATGCGAATATTTTACAACACTTTTACATGAAGTACCGCAAAAATAGAAAAATGTATCAAAATGAATGATATTTACAAACTTTTATGATTTCGTTGGATTCTTACGTGGTCTCCCCACTCGCCTTCGGCTTGGCTGATAACGCTTACCTCGACCTTGATAACTCTGCATATCACAAAAACCTCATCCAATAATTGTTTATAATTTACAATGTTGAAAAGTTGGTCACAATGCTCACATGTCAGCCTAATTATTTAGCATCCAGCATTCCTAATGGATAAGGGGTAGCAAAGTTGTATTCTATAAAGTTCCTGTATTCTGTGACTCAGTTGGGTTTAATTATAGAAGTTGGTGAGTTGGTTGTAATCATGATCATGACACTTCCCAATCCCGATTTGTTTGCCACCCCCTTGAGAAAACCTGTCATATCCTGTATGTAGGTGTGTCAAAACCTATCAGAAATTGCAGACTAACATTTTTGCAACTGCTTTTTCTTGGAAACTTTTCTTTCACTTATGAATCATTACAAAGCACATGGTTTGTTGACTATATCATGCGTATTGAGCCGTACAAACAAAAGTTTACTACTTGCCTTAACATTTCGTATTAATCATTACATACATATAAAGGCCTGTGACTATTTGACGGGCAGCCGGTCACATCCCAAAATGTACTAAATGACCGGAGGGGAAAAAGTAGCCCGGAGGGGATTCGATCGAACCCGCGTGCAAGAACGCGGCAGGCGCATGCTAGCGTTTAATTCTTGAGCCACGGCACCTGCAAATCGGTACTGAAAATCAACCGTAAACAAAACATTCTTTAATATTCTTGACAGCTTTAGGTAACATAGCCTTGAAGAATTACGCCGGTTATTATGTTAAAATCGAATCTAAACTTAAGTAAAAAAGCACAAGATAAACGTTTTTAACCAAAAAAATGGCTTTTAGTTTTTAAACAAATCTAGTGCAATGTTCAACGTTGCAAACGAGGCTATCATCCACAAATGTTTTTTCCATTGCTTGTATCCCTTATCCGAAAAAATGTTATCTTTCTGTAGTATTGCTGTAGCAATTCGAAAGATCGCAACTATTAGGCATTGCCTTTGCGGCTCCTCGTATTCAGTTTGAAGTTCGTGTTTTCCTGTAGCTGATCCAGCGCGTGAATCACTCACGTATGTACACACGATTTTCTTTGCTGTCTCGTCGAGAGCGTCGCAAAGCTCCACACATTTGAGCCTTTCTCCATTTTCTTTCAAAAGAACACCTTTGACGTCGTCGCATTTAAACCCCAGCAACCCTTTTTTATGTAACCATGTAAACAATTTCATTTGGGAATTATCTTTTGTCTGGCTGAGATGGGTTATGTAACTTTGCGCGCTTTCTTCTACACTTGTCAGCCCTTCGTCCAAACCTTGCTCTTTAACTTTTAATGGACTCGGGGCTCCCTGGCCGTCGGAAGTTGGAGCGGGTATTACACCAAGCTCTTTCCAGAGTTCAGCAGAACGTCGACCTTTATGCATATTTCCATCCTTGTTTATGGAATAAGACAGCTTCCATATCACATCATTTTTACAATCTTCGATTATCTTTTTAACCTCCTCTGTAATTTGTAATTCAGCGAATACACTGCTTGTGTGGCTGTTTATCAGCTCCTTTGTCTCTTCTGGACTAAGACCACTTTTACTCATGGACGTAGAATATTGTGGTTCATGTGATTGCTGATTGGCCATGATACGTAAATCTTTCTTCTATTATAAAATAAGATCTTTCAAGCACAAGAAGTGAGTAGAGCAGACGGTTCGAATTTCTGGAATTTCAGAATATAAACAGAAGCAGGGCTCTCACATCACAATAAAATTGATGAATTCCTCGAAAATTTCTAAGAATTTCCCGAGATTTCCGAAGAATTCCTTGGACACAAATAACGTAGTAACACAACCGGGGCCGTTCGTATAAAAACGTAGTTAACTTTTAACTATAGTTAGTGACGGAATTGACCAATCAGAGTCATTTATTTCTGAGATAACTACGATTTAACTACGCAAAATGGGCATGTTGTAAAACCTGGACTGGACTCATTTGTAAAACCTGGACTGGACTCATTTGTAAAACCTGGACTGGACTCATTTGTAAAACCTGGACTGGACTCATTTGTAAAACCTGGACTGGACTCATTTGTAAAACCTGGACTTCATCCTATATAGAAATATAGTAACACAATGATTTGAAAAAATAGCTGATGCAATAGAAAATTAAATTTAATAGGACAACACGCAGTAAACTGTGTCACACAGTTTTTCTATACAATTATATATTCTATAGCTATACTGCTATAATATCAACAATTTTTATATTTGTATTTTATAATATTTTATACTTTATAATGATACTTTGGCAAGTCAATAATTAATGTTTTTTCTATATGCGCCCACTATTAATTTATATCTCTTCTATAATTTTACCATTAAAAAGACATCTAAAAGTCAATTCAACTAGTATTAGCTCTTTTAGAGTCCATTTATGCTAGTGTATGAGTGTGATATAGAGTAATTTTTACAGTGCATGATTATATTTATAATTTCTCTCCACCATGCACAAAAATTGTAAAATGTGATACAAAGTAAAATAGGCTTTATTAGAAATACACAGGGTGTAATTGTGCATATATAGGGCTAAATAGAGATAATTGAATAAGGTAGGACATCACAAAAACAAAAATAAACTAAACTACAACTGATTCTGTCAATTTTTAATTATGAGCCATCCATATATAATAAGGTGACAGAACATATGTTACATATCTGAAAAGCCAACTAAAACATTCCTTAACTAAAAGATTTATCATCTTAATTTCAAATGGTGATGAAATATTAGACTGAACAATTAACTCAACAAGTGCATATAGTATATACAAGTCAATTAATGTTGTTTCTATGCATGCACCCACTATCTATAAAAACAAACTAAACTACAACTGGTTCTATCAATTTTTGTGAGCCAGATATTAAGGTACGGAAGCCCAGATGCTACAACGATTTTTTTTTTTTGGTTTTGCATTTTCGAACTTTTACTTTACATTTTCGAACTTTACTATTTCCGTATATTAAGGTGACAGAACATATGGTACATAACTGAAAAGCCAACTAAGGGCCTGTTAGCCCTGTTTATATATATGTTCCCGTCTAGCTGGGACGGGATGTTTTAAGATGATAAATGTTTTAGTTAAGGAATGTTTTAGTTGGCTTTTCAGATATGTAACATATGTTCTGTCACCTTATTATATATGGATGGCTCATAATTAAAAATTGACAGAATCAGTTGTAGTTTAGTTTATTTTTGTTTTTGTGATGTCCTACCTTATTCAATTATCTCTATTTAGCCCTATATATATGCACAATTACACCCTGTGTATTTCTAATAAAGCCTATTTTACTTTGTATCACATTTTACAATTTTTGTGCATGCATGGTGGAGAGAAATTATAAATATAATCATGCACTGTAAAAATTACTCTATATCACACTCATACACTAGCATAAATGGACTCAATACTAGTTGAATTGACTTTTAGATGTCTTTTTAATGGTAAAATTATAGAAGAGATATAAATTAATAGTGGGTGCATATAGAAACAACATTAATTATTGACTTGCAGAAGTATCATTATAAAGTATAAAATATTATAAAACACAAATATAAAAATTGTTGATATTATAGCAGTATAGCCATAGAATATATAATTGCATAGAAAAACTGTGTGACACAGTTTACTGTGTGTTGTCCTATTAAATTTAATTTTCTACTGAATCAGCTATTTTTTCAAATCATTGTGTTACTATATTTGTATATCCACCTTTATATCTAGCTTACATACAAAACCAGCAACATTATAGGCCGTGGACTGATGGCCTAAAATCTTTCAACGCCGCTGCCCCCATCGTGAAACTAAACAATTTTCGCACAAACATACTTGTTATGGTGTCAAAATCACAAATTAACTTGGCCCCAATGGAAAAAGTTGCACAATGATGAAATATTTTACCATTAAACTTCGGCAATAATCTTGCTCACGATGTTCGAAAACGCCATTTTGTTTGTACGCGGAAAAAGGTCTAGGTACGAAATTCAGCGGCCTGCGCGTGGGCTACGTGAGGAGTTCGCCCGATTTCACGATTCACGTGATTATTACTAAGAAATTGATTGGCTAATATGCATTTTAGTAAATAAAACATGGCGACTGAAATAGAAAGGCCAAGTTATGTAAATGAACTTCATTTCGAGTCATGTTTTATGCATTTTGGAGATATTTGTGAAACGTTATTCCCTATAACGAAAGCGAGATTGGAGAAATTCATTGCTTGTCGAAAAAGATGGGTCAATTTAAAATGTGAACAGGCTGATATATGTCGTATTTCTTACGAGCATTTCTCAGATGAAAAGATATTGGATTATTTAAAAGAAAGGGACTTTGAACTGGACTGGTCTTATCACAAAACTTGTTACAAACGTTTATGTGACGAAGAGAAGATTCGCAGAGCAGAAACCAAGGCAAACTTATGTTGTAACGTGGAAAACCCGCAAACGATCAACACTAATATTGATAATAAGAGGAGGTCAACAAGGCTGGCTGAAGAATCTCCGAGAAATAGGTCCAGGAATGACCATGTATTGCCTGAACGATGTATCATATGCCAAAGAGAGAGTCCATGGTTCAAAATGGACAAGGTAAAACCTTTTTGTTCTGGCCTTTCAAATTCTAATAGGCCATATATTCTATTTAATATATGCCCCCTCCCCCTATTGTCGAGGGTATGGTCATGCAATGTGGGGGGGGGGAGTGCTCATCTTAAATTATCCTAAAGGTGTGAAGTTAGTTCGTTCCTAAAGGGTAGTTTGAGAGATTTTTTAAAGAAATGGCAAGAATTAGGTGTTTTAGTGACATATCCAAGAGGGAAAAGTGATATCCCAAAAGGAGTAACATATCTTAGCAGGTAATCTCTACAAATTGCATCCAAAGGGTTTCCAATTCTTTATATCGTAAGGGACCCCCTCAATAGGAGGGGGGGGGTGTCTGTATTAAACGGAACGGCCATCTATAGTTCAATCCCTACGCATATGCTACATAATAAAATGTCATACAACTCATTATTGACATGTAGATGTGTTTAGTATGTCACTTGTGTGTAGGGATTGAACTATAGTGGGCCATTCCATTTAATATAGGGATCGAACTATAGAGGGTAATTCCATTTACGTAATAAGGGCCATTCCATTTTTATTTTATGAGCGCTATATCAATTGTAAAATTATTATTATAATATAGAGGGTTTGTTCCTAGTTGAGGGTATTAATGTGTGAAACCAATGGTTTCCTAGTGCCTGCACACTGCGATAAACTCTATTATTTAATATGGTCAAATTGCAAACCGACTTCTTGACATCTTTTGCAAGCATTTTGCTGATTATAAGCTAGGTGGGCCCTAAGTACATTTATTAAGCAAACATACATCACACGAATTTTACCAATCTTCTAAATTAAGTTGTATTATTCGCTTATGTTATTAGAAGTCTTGTAAACGAAAGAGAGTTCCTTTGATGTTATGTGAAACCGAGAATGGAGGACTTTTACGGGAAGCTGCTGAACGGAAACAAGATGAACGAATCCTAGTGGATATAAGAGGACGTGACTGTTGTGCCATAGAAGTAAGATACCATAAAAATTGCTATGTGAACTATACAAATTTTCTGGTACACGAGAAAAATGCACCTGAAGATCAGGAATCAAAGAATTTATATCAAAAAGGCTATCAAACATTTTGTGTAGAAGTTGTGGAAAACAACCTTATTGCGAAGAAACAAATCAAATATATGACAGAACTGTTTAACCAATTTGTGCGTATAGTTGAGAAGGAAGAAGGACTTGATGCATCAAACTACAGGAGATTCAGGCTTAAAAATAGGCTGACTAAATCTTACCCTCAACTTGTGTTTCTCAAACCTAATGTGAGAACAAAAAGTGAAATGGTTTATGTTGAAAATCTGACATCAGAAGACATAGTGGATGAACATATGACCTTAAAGGAGATGGAAGATGTAGAAGATATGGATTACGAAGACTATGGAAAAACAAGTGAAGCCAATTCGAATGAGCTCCCTGTGTTATTCAATGCTGCAATGATTTTACGCAATGCATTGCAGAATGAACCTGGGCTTGTTACCACCTGGCCGCCATTGGCATCTGATCTCACCATGGAAAATTCAAAGAATGTTGTACCAGTTCATCTCTTCAACTTTCTGGCATGGATAACTGCATCTTCCAATGATGCACAGCTTGACAAACATATAGATGTTGTCGAGAATGGAAGACTTAATAAACTTATGTCTATTGCTCAAGACATAGTGCATGTGACATCAGATGGAAGGAAGCTTACACCTAAGACTATTTCACTTGCCATGTCATTGAGGCAGCTGACTGGTTCTTCCTCCATGCTGAATCTCGTAAATGCTTTAGGTCACTGTATGTCTCATAAATTTGTGCTAAGGCATGAGACAGCTTTAGCTCAGCTGAGTATCTCAGACACAGGTACTGTGCCTCCTGGATTTTCAAAGAAAGTGTCTGCGACCCTCGCATGGGATAATGATGACTTTTGCGAAGAGACAAGGTCAGGGAAAGGCACCACACATGTTACTGGAGGCATTATTCTACAGAGATCTGATGACACCAATGATCAAACTGTTGTTGGAGAAAGGAGAGATCTACCAAGGTTAGGATCCTTACCAGTTATCTCTGATGAATCTGAACCGTATATCCTTGGTCGAAGAGTCACAGTTGATCTTCGAGAAGCCATCACAAGCATACCACTTGCCAAGGAAAGTTACATGTCAATTCAAAATGACAAAAGAAAACAAGACTTGGCATTCATTATTTCCAGGACTGTAGACGCTTTTCAACCACTAATCCCAAACTGGACTGGATTCAACACCCTGCTCGAATCTGAACACATTCCATGCTGCACAAAGATTGGTTACCTGCCTATTATAAATTCTTCTCCAACAGAACTATCCACAATTAATACCATTCTAAAGAGAAGTCAAGAAATAGCAGACAAGTTAGAACTGAATTATATATGTCTTGTATTTGATGAAGCTATTTATGCTAAGATACAGCAGTTAAGATGGAAGGAGCCAATCTATTACAATAGATTCATTGTTCGTCTTGGTGAATTTCATATGGCTATGTCATTCTGTGGTGCCATCTCTAAATTGTTTAAAGATGCAGGATTAAAGGTAAATAATACCAGGCATCCTTCATTGATAAGGAAAACCTTTAACAATTGACTATGTGCTTGAAATTTTTATTAGGTGATAATGTAACGAAACGTAACTGTTTCTTCATAATGAAAATTGAGGGGGAAAAACTCTCACTCCCTGTCCACCATTTTGTTTATTACCTATTTTTTTCTATCAAATAGCGTAGCCAATCAGAAGACAGGATTTTCAATAGTACTCGAATACGTTTCTACTAAATACTATTCGTAGCTGTTGTTCAGATATTGCATGTATGTGTACTGATCCAATTTAACTTTCTTTAGGACCTAATTGTGGAGTCAGACCTTGTAGCCATTGGATCAGTAACTGGTGTGCTCACCGGGAAGCATTATAATCGGAGTGTGCGATCACACAAAGTTATCTATGAAGCATTAATGCGACTGCTCTTCCAATCATTCATTGAAACTCAGTCACCAGGGGAACAGGAGAATATTCTGTCATTTGTTGGTAAGTTATCGAGGGAGGAAAATAAGGTACCATACATGTGCTGTACATATCCATCCGTAGTTTGCACTACATGGTGTCAAAAAAGCCATCTTGAGGGGATAATTTAAATACAGTGGATTTAATTTGTATCTTTACAGAATACATGGCTGAGTCTTACCCAAATGATGAATTTTACGACTGTGTTATGTCTCCTGAGCTTGAAGAACTCTCAAAGTCCCTGGAAAATTTTACTAGATCAAAGTCTGCAATCAATCCCACATTTGCGTTTTGGTTAATGTATATCGAGATGGTCCAAATTCTGCTTCTGTTTATTCGCGCAACAAGGGAAAACAATTGGGAGTTGCACCTTTCTGCTGTCAGATCAATGCTTCCCTGGTTCTTTGTGGCTGATCGAATACATTATGCAAGATACGGGACAATGTACTGGCTGGAAATGTCTTGTTTGGAAAGCACTCATCCAGGTAAAGTGCAACTAATTGGTTGGCTGGATTTTGTAAACTTAATTTGAGTTTCAAATTTCAAACTATTTGCAAGTTGCATCAATTGCAAGTAACCAAGTTGCTTATTCAAGAACGGACGCGGTGTTCATGCATACAAAAAATATTTGAAAAAATATATTGAAAATAGCAAAAGTAATCGACGTTTCAAGCAAAGTAAGTTTGTCATGAATTAGTAGGACGACTTACATCTATATGCCATAATCATCAAGAAGGGTCATTACTTGAAACGTTGATTACTTTTGCAATTTTTCAGAGCTGGCATTTTATGGAGTAAAAAATCCTATGCTGTATTTTTCAGGATGGCATTTCATAGAGTAAAAATCCTATGCTGTATGATCATGGTCACATCTGTAATACATGATACTGTAAGCACAGTTATGAAAAATTATGATATGAAAAATTTATGCGAGCGATTGGGATCCATTGAGCTATTCTTCACACATGGGAAGCAATGCCATCGTTTTCGTGCTGGTGCAGATGGCCTGTTAGAAACAATTGACGTGCCAGAACTTTATAGCGACCACGAAGAAGCTGATACACGCATGTTGCTTCACGCAAAGCACGCTTCCCATGACTATGATAATGTTGTGATTAGAAGCCCGGATACAGACGTATTTGTTCTTGCAGTTAGCCACAAATGTTCTTTCGACGCATCATTGTACTTTGTGACCGGAACAGGTAACAGCAGCCGGATTATTGATATCAACAAAATTCAGGAAGAACTTGGGAGTGATCTTTCCTCGGCCCTCATTGGCTTCCATTCGTTTACAGGTACCGTACTAAGTAATTGTATGTACAATGAACTGTATGTGCATGTTAAGCAACTCTAGTCTTATTAGACACATTAATAATGAAATTGTTCCAATATTCATATCACCGCTAATGAAGGCACTACATAATATTGTCGAAAAGTTGGGTCAAGAGCTGCAATTTCTCTATATTCTTTTGTAGGTTGCGATAGTACAAGTGCCTTTTTTGGTAAGGGAAAATTAAAGCCATACAAATTGCTAGAAGAATCGTCTGAGTTCGTCGACACTTTTAACGTCGTCGGACAAGCGTTTTCTCACGAAAAAGAATTACTAGGAAGATGTGAGAAATTTGTTTGTCATCTGTATAACCAACCTAACACCACTGAAGTGAACAAGGCACGTTTACACCTTTTTCGTCTCAGGCATTTCAACGAAGAATCGATGCCATGCACAAAAGATGTGCTATTACAGCACCTAAGTCGTGCTAATTATCAAGCAGCAATATGGAGGAGAGCTTTACAGCCATTCATCATGGCACCGGACATTACTAACCATGGATGGGCTGTTGCGAATAATATGGTTTCCATCGTATGGATGGATTTACCTCCAGCACCGGACAGCATCTTGGAGAATGTACATTGCGGGTGCAAATCGGGATGCTCAAGCAATAGGTGCTCTTGTTTTAAAGAAAACCTTCGCTGCACGGGTCTGTGTCATTGTGAAGGATGCGCCAACCGTTCGGAATTAGCGGACGAAGACTCAGAGAATGAAGGTTACAATTACGATATGAATCATGAAGACGATAGCGAGAGCGATAATGATTATGGAGACAATTGAAAGAGGTGTAATGTCCATTCGCCGCTTTTGCAGTTTGTTTGCCTTTTGAATCATTAAAATGTATATAATTAATTGTTGCTCTCTCAATAAATATGGAGGAGAGACTCATTCTAGTAGATGCTCAAAACGAAATTTAGAGCAACAAGACCCAACATTGCAAATGGGCGTAACAGACTTTACATTACCAAAACACATAATTTTGTTCTGTTTTGTACAAAACATTGATGTCCACTCGCTTCGAAATATGATTAACTCCCACTCGGACGAGAATGAGCCTTCCATTGGTGCACAATTAGCAGGTCAAAAAAACTAACAATAGATAGGAAAATGCTGACTCATCATTTTTTTAAATATTTAGTCGGCGATAATTCAGTACTGAGTGATTGGACGAAATTGGTGTAATATACTTTATTAGTTCTTTTAACTAGCTCTATCTGATGGTGTTGTCAAAAATTGGAATTTCCAAGAAAATGAATTACTTAATTATATATGACGTCATCGCCAGTATACTGTTGATTTTGCCCTATTGTGCAAACTTTTCAAAAGGGGCCACCTTGATTGTTTGAATTTGTATGTTTCTCCGTGCTTTTATGAAAGAAATCGTTAGTTTCAAGATGGGGCAGCGAAATTCAATTTTGTGGCACATTTTAAGTCCCCAGTCCACGGCCTATTAAGGATTTTCTTGAATACGGAAGTAAATCCTTAAGATAGGGGGGTCCTAGGATAAAGTCCAGGTTTTACAAATGAGTCCAGTCCAGGTTTTACAAATGAGTCCAGTCCAGGTTTTACAAATGAGTCCAGTCCAGGTTTTACAAATGAGTCCAGTCCAGGTTTTACAAATGAGTCCAGTCCAGCTTTTACAAATGAGTCCAGTCCAGCTTTTACAAATGAGTCCAGTCCAGGTTTTACAAGTCCAGTCCAGGTTTTACAAGTCCAGTCCAGTCCAGGTTTTACAACATGCCCGCAAAATGTAGTTCAGAGGTTATACAATCGGACTGAAGTATAGCTATTGCGTTATTTACAACTTTTCAACTATTTACAAGAAAATACACTTTAATCCACTGGATTAAACACTTTAATCCTCGTGGTATTTTGAAGCCATGTTTTGGAATAGTATTCTGAAAGAAAATTGAATATTCGTGAAAAGCTTTGCAAGCAGAGGGAGCATTTTTGCACAAAACGTGGAAGTGCTATAAACAGAGGAGTTAAAACGAAACTATAGAGCCCATTGTCACTGGATGAGGCCACGAGGGACGACAATACTCCATGTTATAGAATGTTACAGAGGTATTTTGATGGTTTAAATTTCAAAACATATAGTTGCATAGTGTGCTTCAGTTAATATGTTACTCTATTACTGAATCTACGTGCCCTTTTGGAATTTACATCACCAAAATTTCGTTGCGACTATAAAAAAATCATAAGAAAAAGCTTCATACACGATATCTTTTTTAACTTTTTAAATTTCTAAGCTTTCTTGTTAGCCTAAACTACTTTTACCTTTGCACTTTTCTTACTGCCTTTCTTGTTTCAAACGTTCATTATTTTTTTCCAGCTAAATACTTTGGGCGTGGTTTTTAACTTCATGCGAATATTTTACAATACTTTTACATGAAGTACCACCATGGTTGCAAAAATAGCAAAATGTTATCAATAAAAAATCGGATATTTTCATGTTACAAACTTTTATGATTTCGTTGGATTCTTTTTCACATTACACGTTTCAGCTACAGAAATATGCTTGATACGACGTAACTGATATACTCTAGGTTTTAAATATGCCATTGTTTGACGTGATCGGTCTTGGAGGGGAAAAAGTAGCCGTGATCATTGACATTGGCGAAGCATACACCAAGTAAGAAATAAAATCATATTTATAGCTAGTTTATGATTTTTATACCATGTGAATATCAGATGGGATGCTATGTTATTTAACTGTGTTATATGCTATATAGTTAGGTCGATATATCAGGATTTATAGCACGAATAGTGTAAATAATCGTGGCATCTTGCCTGATTCATTTGAAGCTCGTGCAATATTATAATGCAACGTTACATTTTGCAGATGTGGTTTTGCAAGTGAGATTTCCCCGAGACATATTATTCAAAGTTCTGTTACAAGAAACATCAATGGCAAAGTGAGCTCTTTCATGTGACATTTGATCAGTGTTATCATAATGTTAAATCTTATACTCAAGTTATCGATTAATACTAGCTGGCATATCATGAATTTCATCTTCATATATAGATTTTTGAAGCAAGAATCTCTCCAAACGGTGTAGCAAGTACTACAGATGACACCCTGTATGGGACTCTCCGAGATTTCATACACCAGATATATTTCAGGTAATGATATGAAACTCCACTTCTTTGAAGTGGAAAAGGCTTCACTTAATATGTTTGAACTATTATTTTAGATATCTTCTTGTGAATCCAAAAGAACGACGTGTCGTCCTCTGCGAGTCCTTGCTCTGGCCAACCAAATTTAGGGAAATGTTAGCCAAAGTTTTGTTTTGTCATTTTGAGGTACTGCACAACTAATCCAATTGTTTTGATAATAATATATATGTAATTCTAATTAGCTCAATCATTTTGAAAATGCAGTAATAGCTGGGACTTGATAAGGATTTTGTTCTGTTAACTGTAGAGAAACTAATTGAGGTTGAACTAATTCAATTTTTTTTTCTTTCAATCCTCAATCAGGTTCCCTCCGTTCTCTTTGCTCCAAGTCATTTGATGTCACTTTTTACTCTTGGTATCTCAAGTGGTTTGGTCATGGAGTGTGGTTATTCTGAAACCAGTGTTCTACCTATATCCTTTTTACAAAACAAGAGTTTGACTTAAATATCCCGCTACTAATGTGAACAGCAAAGAGGGTAATATGTGATGCATATCATTTGTGTCTAAATAGCTGCTTGTTAATTCATTACCTAAAATCCAAGCATAGTAAATAGAAGTTGAACATACAGCTGTACAGCAGATTTAATTCCTTAACCTTACTGTAAATATTTGAAGGCATTCCGATGATAAATTCTATTGAATTCCTTCCTCTTGGTGCAAAAATAATCCATAAGTAAGTGCCATATAAATTCTGAGGTTTTTCATGCAATGTATATAATTTTATACAAAAAAAAGACAAAAAGCCAAGTTTTAATTTTGAGTTTCAAATACTCAAATACAGTAATAAACATTCTCAGCATGCAAGGTAGTAAGTTTTAGTTTCTCTATGTTTCATTAAATAGCTGTTTGGTTACTGCTTTTCTTTTATGATAATTTTCCAGCTTGTTCTTACTCCAGGAAAGTACTGGCCCATTTTAGCTATAGATGAAATTTGAAATTATTTAAATAGTGAAAACACCACAGCTAAAAAGAACTGATTTTAAATGCAATAAAACTTTCAAAGTTTAGTTGCAAAATGTTGTAAAATATGGACAATTTAGTTCTGTAAAGTTCACTATTATTTTGCCATATGCATAATGGTTTTATACATGGGCTGAAAATGGTTATTTTTTGTAATAGTTACTTTCACTGTGCAAATGGAATATATACAGAATATACAAGCTTTCTAGGACCATATTTTCCACATTTTACAATATTTCACAACTGAATTTTCTTGCTGTAGTTTTTTTTTCTTGCTAAGATTTGAAATTGCTGAAATCAACCATTATCAGAATGTTTATATAAATTACTATTAACAGTGGCGTAGCCAGCCTGACAATTTAGTCATGCTATGCTAATATTTTGGTGTTCATTGGCTGTTAAAACAATAAATTTGTAAAGAAATGAATAATGATAATAACATAAAATTTGCATAGCATGACTAAATCGTCAGGCTGGCTACGCCACTGGCTATTAACATTGATTGCCTGTTACTTTAATTCACTTTAATATTTACCCCAGCCGTTTGAAATCAGAGTTAATGGAGAAAGGCCTGGTTCATATTGGTACCGGTATTAAACCATTGTCTTCAATACAAGGTAAAACTCTTTTTGACTAAGTAACTTAGCATGTAGGTAAAAAACCAAAAATTTTATTAATTGATTTTAATTAATTAATAATTAATTAAACTAATAATTGAATAATTATTAATTTAATAATTGAACTAATTAAATTGACTAGCTTACAGTAAGTTGGAAAAAGGCCATTTTCTGATCGTATTGGTTTGTCGACTTTAAAGAATAAAGTTTTGGAAACACATGTTCTATGTTTTTTTAAAATTTACTCATGATAATCGACTGTTGATTTGCCTGATTTTGACCCTTTTTTATTCAACGACGTTTCTCAAAGTAAATTAATATACTAATTAATATAATGAGTCCTATAACTGTCGTGTAAAAACGTGAATAAGCAAGTCTAAAAGGATAACAGACAAAGTTTTTAAGCTTGTTAGTCCACGAGCTGCTAATTTTTTCATCAGCAGCACTGTCTTCAATTACTCCATGAAATTGCCCGCGATGGCGTTCCCTCTTTATCTTTTTTGTATCCCAAACTGTGTTTTTCGTGCGCTTGCCGTTCATTAGCCGAATGATGTCCATAGCTTCGTTATCCTGTAGAATATTGGTTGAGATAACATCTTTGGTAAATACCCCTTGAGTCATAAGCAGGAAACGGATAGAATATATTGCATTACCAAGAACCCTTCTGCGGTTTTCTGCTCTGTTGGTTTCCGGTGATAATTGACGATCAGCCCACTTTAATACAGCCTTAAATATATCTGTTTCATTGAGGTAAAGCGTATCCCTGTCCAGCAATACTTTCAATGTACTTTGCTTGATGTTTAAGAAGTGCTTTGAAGCGAAATAATCTTCTGCTAGAGCGTCTATTTTATTTAGACATATCTCAGCAAACGCTTCTGCATTTAATTCTAAAAATTTCTCAACAAACTTGAAGGCCGTTTGCGTTTCTGTGCTCCGTTTAAGTGAATTGTGGCAATCAGGATGCAAATGTACTTTGTACTTTATCATCAATTCCAGTGTATTGAAAGATTTGTCATGAATTGTCGGGCAATCGTCTTTATAAATATAGCTTAAGAACCCAGCGAGGTTGTCGCGGTCATATGATAGGCGAATGGTCTGCACAGGTTTCGCGTCTTTCCGATAGAACATGTCGTGAAACACAGGACTGCTCAGAGCCAGCACGTACTTGTGAGCGTAGAATACGTTCTCGGGCTTTTTTCCGAACGTTAATTTAATGTCGCTCATGAAGGTATTATTGTACATTTTTTCAACGTCCTTCGCTTTTATTGGTGTCCATTCGACGTTCTCGACTCTGTGTGATGCTGCGTGACTGCTCTGTTCTGCATGAACAAAACACAAAAACCCGGTTGCCAGCGTAAACACAGAAAGCCAGCAAAACATTTTACATTTTCTAATGAATTCCTTATGCTACAATCTTCTTCTCAACGTGAAACGAGAATAGTTTGGACTCGTAATGTTTCTATGTTTAATGTCGATTTCTTGTACCAAGTTTCATACTAAATTTGCCAATTTCCGGGAAAAATTCCAATCAGCTAAAGTCGTATCGACCAACCTCGTACCCAGGGTTTATTACCTGGGTACGAGGTTGTTATACGACCTGATAAAAAAAGCATACACAGATTTCTTTATCTTTTCTTTAAGCGGCCAAAATGGTCAGACCGGTCATATTTTGAATCGGAATGGAGCTGTATTTCAAAATACCAGTAATCTGTGTTTACTGAAACTTAACCGGACTGGTCTGACCTTTTTACTGCATAAAGGAAGGCGTCCTACGGCTCTCCCTTATCAGGCACAACAAAACGTTTGTTTTTGCAACCAAATAATCAGATTGCGGCATATTTAGCTCGTATATAGCAAGTTACTATAGTAAGGTATTCGAAATACGTTCCAATTTTATAGCAGCGTTTTCAAACAACTTAGCATCAAATGTCGTATAACAACTGCCTAAAATGAACAGACTTCTCGACTTTTCAAATAAGGGTTTTCGTCAGAAGAGTTGCTGGAAACGCCGGAAGATGTGTTAGGCTATTGTAGGCAGTTGATATACCACTTTTGATGTGTGTTCGAATTAATTTCCCCAATGTACTTTTTGTATAGCGGAAATAGTGAAATATTTGAGAGTAAAAAATACTTTCTGTTTAGATGATTTGCCTGAAAAAGTGTTGGAAGATATAAAAGGTATGTTACCGATAGTTAAAATAATATATTTCATTTGGTCTAATTCGATAAAATTCGTTTATAATTAACGACATTCTCTCTCTCTACAGCACGAACGTGCTTTGTTGGTCCCAAGATAAGCATTCCAGTTAACGAAGCGAGACCTCCGTCAATGGTTCATTCTGTTGACTATCCTCTGGACGGGGGGAAGCTCTTGAGAGTCGAGGGACAGATTAGGTACGATATGAAACAACCTTGCTTTGACAGTCGATTGTGTTGAAATCATGAAATGTTGGCTGTACGATACCGCTGACATGTCATTTATGAGCGCTTTCCTTCAAGCGACCAAAATGGCTTAAATCATATTTTGAAATAGAGTATTTCGCTAGAATATAGCGGTGAAACGAAGCATTTTCCGCTCTAATCAGATCTAAATAACGTTGAACTCGAATGCAAAGTTCTTGAAAAACTCTTTTAGGCTACGTTTACACGGGACAGGACGAATTTGAAACCTTGGTCGAATTCGTCCAGTTCAGGTGTTAACACAGTAAAAATGGATGAAAATTTGAAAGTTTTCCCCGGTATTGAGTCGAGTTGTTTTTCTTAACAGGGAACAGACATGCGATGTTCTTTTCGAAGGAGACGATGAAGGGAAGTCGATTGCATCTCTTATACTTGACGCCATTATTAACGTAAGTCTTTGCAGTTCTTCATTAGCGAAAAAATATTGTTTTGTGTGGATTTTCGCGATGATCCTGAAATTTCCCCCTAGTCTCCGATAGACACTCGGAAGGCCCTCGCTGAAAATATTGTTCTCATTGGTGGAACGACAATGGCTCAAGGATTCAAGTAAGTCTTCCACAAGATTCTACATTGGCGGTTTAGTTCAACCTCGTATGTAATACAGTTACTGTCATTAGTTTTTCAATTCTAAACATTTCTGTCATTTCAGGCACCGTCTTCTTCAAGAGCTCCATTCGCTTCTTCAATCAACGAAATACCAAAACCGTCTGAGCATTCAAACGGTGAAACTCCACGAACCTCCTGTGAAGGCCAACTGCGTGGCTTGGTTGGGAAGTAAGTTGCACCAGCTAATAATAGCTGGAGCCGGCTGTACGAAAGATGGATAGCACTAAACCTGCCTTTCAATTATATCGGTTTAACCTTGAGTTCTTTGATAAACCTTGATATTCTGAAATTAAGCATTCTCTTTGATAGCTTTTAATCTGTGGTTTTACTGCTTTTCAAGCGTTCAAAACAATTTACTTTTCTTTTTTGTCCACAGGTTCAATTTTCGGCTCATTGGAAGTGCTTGCTGATCGTTCTGTTGCGAGGCTGGATTACATCCGGGAACCGTCGATTCCTGATTGGTGCTCGCTCGCGTCACGAACCAATGAGAACGGCAATATTTTAACTAACGAACAGAAGCCGAAGAAATTTATCTTTGGTTCCCCCGGAAAATAGTTTTCCCTGTAAAACTTAAATGTTTTCTAAATTAATTTAGATTGCATTTGCTGTATGCGAGGGCCAATTGGGTAAAATTACAGGGATAGCAGGGAGTATATATGTTCAAGCATGGATATTAAAAACATACATTATCTATCTATGGTTTCTATTTCTATTCATATCTTTTTCCCTGATCTCAAAACCGGTCAGCCTCGTCCTTGAGTTTACCAACCTTGAACCCAGTGTCTTTTCTCGGTGCTCATGCTCCAAACAAGACTAGTCCCTAGTCCTCTTTAGCGCGCCTTGCATTCTCATGCTCTGCTGCGTCTGCAGTCACTGCCCGCGGGTTCAGTGATGACTACATCGAATTACAAGACAAAGTACTGGCGTGAGAAATCTCAACCCGCTGATTTTATGTACAGCTGTCTCGGAACAATAAAAATCCAAGATGTCTTGTAGGTAAAAAAACAAAATTATTAATTAATTAATTAAACTAATAACTAAATCATTATTAATTTAATAATTAAACTAATCAAATTCACTAGCTTACAGTGAGTCGGGAAAAGGCCATTTTCTGATCATATTGAGGGTTTTCTGATCGTATTGAGGGTTAATGCGGACCTTAAAGAATAAAGTTTTGGAAACACGTGTCCCATCAAGGTTTTTTAAATTTACTCCTGATAATTGACTGTTGTTTCGCGCGATATTGACCCTTTTTTAGTGCAAAGTTTCAAAGAAACTTTGCAGTATTGTGATAAGTGGCGAAAGTTCAAACGAGTCAGTCAGTCAGTCATAGTGTAAACTTTCCGGGGGGTAGGTTGATTTATGCTTATAGTAACTTTTTGTACATGATCAGTAATTTAAAGTTTTTAAAATCAGTTTAACTTGCTTTATTTATTAATGCACCATCTCTTCTGCTAAGTTCATCAAAATATTGGCCGTTACTGTAAATTTTGAAGCATTGCTTTTCCGTGGTTAACGTTTGGGTTTTGTTTTAAAGGGTTTTTCTACCTTTTTTTCCTATACGTCACAACTACGCATGTGCTTCTGCAACCTCGTACCCAGGGTCTTTACTTTGGTGCTTCCTAATAAATGTTCCCGATTAAAGAAACGAAGAGCGACGAGTGTTGCTTGAAACATTCCGGCCGTAAAAATCAAGCACTTGTTTGAGAATCTACGCAATTTATCAACTTATGTTATGAATTACGAGCATTCAATTCAACACAAATATAATTTGGAAGGTTTATTCCATAAATAGAGCTAAGGGGTTAGGAAGAAACGACGCTGTGTTGTTTCATGTATTTATAGATCTCTTACACGAATATATATATTATGTCGATAGCAAGTCGATACCTGGTATTCTGCATACAGTACATAATTGATAATATGCAAAACGGACATATTGTGTAGTAATCAAATTATTTTGGTGGAATACAGTATTGATTATAAGTATATTGTTTTGTATCGATTTACGCGTCGAAGTATCCACATCATAGACATAATAAGATTATATGCATCGCGGTTTATTTACATTATTTACAACGCTATTTTGGCTATTCTTATGAAATGACGAATAAATATTTGTAATATTTGACGAATAAATGTAGTCACAGTTGTTTGACGAAGAAAAGAGACTAAACTGAGAAAATCGCGCCTAGTTTACATGAGCAACTAAAATTATAATTTAATAGTGACAATATCCGCGACTAACGTACTTTGAGTAATTTCCTGTTGATTACAGGTATTACAGGGCATGGAAACTTTGCGCTATCCTTGGATCCCTGGTTAACTACTTCTTTTCGTGCAAAAATAAGTGAATAATACAATGAATGCTGTTGCTAAACATAACCTGTAAAAACGTGAATCACCAAGTGTAATCTTTTCAGCAGCAGCACTGCCTTCAATTTCTTCATGAAATTGCCCGCGAAGGCGTTCCCTCTTTATCATTTTTGAATCCCAAACTGTGTTTTTCGTGTCCTTCCCGTTCATTAGCCGAATGATGTCCATAGCTTCGTTATCCTGTAGAATATTGGTTGAGATAACATCTTTGGTAAATTCGCCTTGAGTCATAAGCAGGAAACGGATAGAATATATTGCATTACCAAGAACCCTTCTGCGGTTTTCTGCAGTGTTGATTTCCGGTGATAATTGATGATCAGCCCACTTTAATACAGCCTTAAATATATTTGTTTCATTGAGGTAAAGCGTATCCCTGTCCAACAATATTTTCAATGTACTTTGCTTGATGTTTAAGAAGTACTTTGAAGCGAAAAAGTCTTCTGCAAGAGCGTCTATTTTATTAAGGCATATCTCAGCAAACGCTTTCGCTTTTAATTCCAAAAATTTTCCAACAAACTTGAAGGCCGTTTGCGATTCTGTGCTGCGTTTAAGTGAATTGTGGCAATCAGGATGCAAATATACTTTGTACTTTATCATCAATTCCAGTGTATTGAAAGATTTGTCATGAATTGTCGGGCAATCGTCTTTATAAATATAGCTTAAGAACCCAGCAAGGTTGTCGCCGTGATATGATAGGCGAATGGTCTGGACGGGTCTCGCGTCTTTCCGATAGAACATGTCGTAAAACACAGGACTGCTCAGAGCCAGCACGTACTTGTGAGCGTAGAAAACGTTCTCGGGCTTTTTTCCGAATGTTAACCTAATGTCACTCATGAAGCTATTATTGTACATCCTGTCAACGTCCCACGCTTTTATTGGCGTCCATTCGATGCTGTTGACGCTGTGTGATTCTGCGTGACTGCTCTGTTCTGTATAAACAAAACACAAAAACCCAGTTGCCAGCGTAAACACAGGAAGCCAGTTAATTGAGAAAAACATTTTCTAATGAATTGCTTATGCTACAATCTTCTCAACGTGAAACGGGAATAGATTTCAAAATGCTTGCAATTTGTGTTTTGAGTGCTTGTTGCTATAAACAGCCATTTATACTCTGTGCTTGACGACGCTTTTGTTTGTGCCACTGTCAAAGTCATACTGCGGTCTGTGACACGCATCATCCTCGTCCCCAGGGCCTAGCTCCGTTGCTCTCCACATAGGAGAGCAACGGAGCTAGGCCCTGGGGACGAGGATGTGACACGCATTAGACCGGAAATTTGGGAAATATTACCATTTGCGTTCAAGCTTGCGCCGTGCGATTTTAAAACGTACGTCTCACGTTTCAAACGTACGTTTTGTCACGCCCCCTTTCATGTTGAGGTTATTTGTAAATACGGTTTTAAAATACTGAATGCAGCTATTTGAAAAAAGAAAACTGCGCCTATATAGGTTTACTATTTTCGCGCTTCGTGCTCATGATCCAGACAAGACTAGTCCCTAGTCCTCTTTAGCGCGCCTTGCATTCTCGTGCTCTGCGGCACTCTGCGGTCACTGTCCGCGGGTTCAGTGATGACTACATCGAATTACAAGATAAAGTACTAATGTGAGAAATCTCAACCCGCTGATTTTATGTACAGCCGTCTCAGAATCATAAAAATCCAAGATGTCTCGAGGAACAAGCACTGGTTTTGATCGACATATTACTATTTTTTCACCTGAAGGAAGGCTTTATCAAGTCGGTAAGTGCGTTGAGCGATACTAGACCATGTCACAAACCTCTTTAGTGAAGTTCCAAGTCTTCTTTATCCGTAGAATATGCATTTAAAGCTATAAACCAGGGGGGGCTCACCAGCGTTGGTGTTCGGGGAGCTGACTCAGCGGTTGTGGTGACTCAAAAGAAAGTGCCGGTAATGTATTTTAATGATTTTTTTGCTTTGGTAACTGGGGTCGTGGGTAGTTGTTACTGCTGTAGATGTGTCTTGTATGGGTGTAGAGGGGAAACTCTGGTGTGGGGGGGGACACACATGTCAATTGTCACCCACATGTCACCCCCCCAACTTTTAGAGTGAAAAGTCCCTGAATGTTATTTCTAGATCCTATGGTAAACTGCAAATATACCTGTTTATACCTGGCTGCAAACCATTAATTCCTTTCAAATTTAGTTAAAATATGATAAAAAATTTTCCTCATTTGCCCAGGAAATTTACCATTGAAATCTACCCAACAATGCATTTTAGGATAAATTGTTGGATGCCTCAACTGTGACTCATTTATTTGAAATTACGGAAAGAATAGGCTGTGTAATGACAGGCCTAATTGGTAAGAAATGAAGTAATTCTATGAATTCTCGCATTCTAAGGAATAAATAAAAGCAGCGTGCAAATATGTTTCTCTGCATTTTTTCAGCTGATTCCAGATCTCAGGTGCAACGAGCACGTCAAGAAGCCGCAGCCTGGAAGTATAAGAACGGCTATGATATTACAGTGGATATGCTGTGCAAAAGGATTGCAGATATCTCTCAAGTATACACACAGGATGCTGGAATGAGGCCTTTAGGATGCAGTAAGTAAAACATAAAAGAAAGGGGGAAGATATTATTGGAAATCCATAGAATCCAAAACAAGTTTTTAGTTCCTTTTTTTGGGCTTAGTAAGACTTTGAATTCAGAATCAACATTCTAGTGAAACTGTTTAGTATTTTAATTCATGGTCATATTGTAAAAGGGTTGCTTCAGATTTGTGTACTTCTTTTTAATATTTTTATATCCATCCATTCTTTTTGTAGCAATGATGTTGATTGGTATAGATGATGAATTGGGTCCACAGTTATATAAAACAGATCCTGCTGGCTACTACTCAGGGTTTAAGGCCTGTTCTGTTGGTGTCAAACAAACGGAAGCAAACAGTTTCTTTGAAAAGAAAATGAAAAAGAAACCAAACTGGACACAAGAAGAAACTATTCAGGTGAATGACATTTTGATTTTGTACAAAATTCGGTATATATGATTGTACATAATTGAAGCATAGTTTCCATAACAGGGTGATTCTCTGGTCACGCACTTGACAATGCTATTCTTGATTCTTCAAAATATGAAGCCTTAAGAAACAGCAATGTCACTTGTGTGCATGACCAGATAATCACCCAACAGCAATTTTAACAAATCTTTATTCTTGTTTTCTTTAGATGGGTATAAGGTGTCTTTCATCTGTTTTATCAATTGATTTTAAACCTTCAGAAATTGAGGTTGGCATCGTCACAACAGATGAACCTAGATTTAGGTAAACAATTTAAGTCACTACTCACTATGTCTATATTGTGTTGGATTTAGAGAGTTAAACTCTAAATTAAACTCTAATTTTTAGATCATGCATGGTAGTATTTAGCCAACACTATGAATTGTAGTGGTATTGAACTCAGCCAATAGCGACCAATTATGTCTTTTGTTTTTAGACCACTAAAGGAATCAGAAATTGACAGTCATCTGGTAGCAATTGCTGAAAAGGATTAGACTATGTAGAAAAAGAAATTTTGAAAACATTATAATAGCTAATATGTTGTACGTAATGAATTGTAATGTATTGTAAAAGAAGGAATACAATACTGTATGTGGCTTTGTGGTTAACAAGGTTACGGTTATAGTAGACTGATCAGACACACCTCTTTTAGTATGGTTAGTCATGGCTATTCTTGCTGGTGTTACATAGGGGTCAACGACCTGCCTCAGAAACAGATCACAAGTAATTGAGATTCAAAGTAATGTCACCTGAAGTTGTGAAAATTACCAAGTTTGTATTTGAGTGTCATCATTTAGTGCAAATTAAGCAGTTTCACCTTTTACCATTTGGCTAATAGTATTAGTTGAATAGTTGGTTAAAAAAACTTAAATGGCTATTAGTGGCCTCTAGTAAAAGCACCCCAAAAGTAGGGTGTTTAACATCAGTCATCGGTATGTTTTTAAATGTCATGAAATTATAGTATACAATATTTCTATGGCACGACCACTGTGGCAGGACTAAAAACAGGCTCTATCGACTTGTGACAGTTTACGATTCAAGTAAGTAACAGGCTATGATAGACAGTGAAATGCAAGTCATGACCAAATTGTAGTGATACACCCTGGCTTTATACTTAGATATGATTAATTGTCAGTTACTTAGATATGATTTTAATATTATGATCTACAATATTTAAATAATCTACTCGTGACATATAGAAAGTAACATAATCTTCAGCCCACTTTCTACTTAGAAACAATGGAAAATTCACTTACATGTTACATAATTTGACTGGAATTGCGGGAAAATCTTATTTTGGCGGGAATAATTAAAAAAACAAGATGGCGACGATCACAGACGAAGATTTGGAAGCAGAATTTAGTCAATTTGGTATGGAACTTGATCTGATGATTATAGAGAAAAGTAAGCGGGTTTTTTCATAAAAGATGAAATCAATTTGGCCAATCTTTTTGGCCAAGTCCTAACTTTTTAATATTTTTCTTATCGAAATGAATTATTATTGAAATGAAATATTTTTGTCAAATTACTCATGTAGTGAAGGAGATTTGTCGAGTTTATAAATTGGATGCTGAGAATTTAGTGGAGGAATGGGTTGCTTTCGCTTCTTCAAATCTCCAACCGAATCTAAAATTGATAGAAGATTTTAAAACTAAGGTATGTTATTAACTTTGTTTAAAAGTCACCATTGCAATATTCAAAGTTATTGTACTGTACGACATGTTAAGTTGCTGTTGTAGTTGTAGAAATATCGAGTGAATTATATACACTATAAGACCTGACCAGGAACAGTTGCGAAAAATATGCACCTATATAATTGTCCTCTGGCTGTTGTCCTCTCGTGACGTGCAAGTTGCAACAACACAATTTGCATACCAGACATTGGTGACAATTTCAAATTATTTGTTGTTGCTAAGGGGGGATACTTGAATGATCTGATTCTCTTCCTGAACTTGTGTGAGTGTACCCCCTCCTTATCAGTTTCTAAAATCCGGACATGATTTTTTTCTTTCAACCACAGCTAGGCATTGATCAGCGGAATAAATCGACACAATCAGTTAAACATGAAACAAGGGATGTTAAGATGTATAGCAAAGATGACCTTCCAGAATTGTATCCTTTTTTCATAAGAATTATAAAGAAATTATTTGCTTGTCAGTATTATTTCAGCTATAATCCATTTACCAAATTATATTTTTTGTTGCCCTGAATTGGAATCAACATTTGCTCGCAATTTTCTTCCCCCTTCTAACCTCCCCCCCTGCATTTTTCAGCCATGAACCACTATACTTTGGTTACCAATTCAACTGCATTTAAATCCTTAATTCAAGAAAGCCTCTCTGACGAACATGTAGATATGCTAGAAAAGTACCAGACTCCAGAAACGAAGGTATAATTCATTTCAATTGTTAGTTCACTTTTGCCTGTCTGTTCATACATTTTGCCAAGCAAGGGGAGCATTGATCATGTATTTATTTTGGAAATTTATTCATTTCAATATGTTAGAAATCATTCAAGCGTTTGCACACAACTCCAGAGTCTGGCAACAAAATGAGGCATACTTTGAATGGACGAACACCAACATCATCATTCTCACCTGCAAGCCTGCCAACTCCTAGGTTTGGATATTTTAATGATATTTTCTCAACAAATACTTTATTGTTACATGTGATTACCCTTTTTGTCATTATTTTGTTGCTCCCTGTTATCCCATTGTTATCCTTTTGTTATCTCTTTGTTGTACATTTGTTACCCCCGCATTACCTCTATTATCTCTTGTTGCCCATTTGTCTCCCTATATTGTTGTATTGCGTTTCCCCTGTTATACCTCTTGTTCCCCTTTGTTATCTTGTGTTACCTCTTTAGAGTTGTAATTTTTAACATTGCCCCTTTGTTATATCACTTATTGCCCTTTGTTACCCCTATTGTACCCGTTTTTATATCTGTGTTGCCTTTTATTACCCCTTTCTACCTCATTGTTGCTGGTAGCCATTCATGAACAATAGCCTGAATAGGACATTACTTAAGACTTCTGTATAAACGGCGTATTTCAAACAGCTCTCTAGTTGTTCGCAATTTAATAGAATTTGAGCATTTATGTCGAGCGGTTTTTGCATGATGACCTCTTTTTCGAGAATGGCTACAAACCCGACCTGTATCATTTTCAAAATATAGCGCTACTCCAGCAAAGCGCTATGAAGCGCGGGAAAATCCTGGCGAAGTTGCATTAACTTACAACCCTGGAGGGATGCCAGACAAGAACCTCGCGTGGAGTCAACGACAAACTATCAAAGTACAAAATTTAGAACTTGAACCTCTGAAGGAAAAATTCAAATACATGTTTCAGAAAATCGTCGACAAATCTCAAGGTGCAATAGATTTCATGAATGCTCAACCATTAGAATCGTGATTTATTCTCCTCAAGGCTCAACTTTTTCCAATTCGCTTTGTTTTGCAGTGTTAAACGAACACATTGATAAAATGGCTTCTCAACTTAAAGATGCCCACAAAATCGAGGAATTCGTTTCAGCTGCACTTGTTCACCAGGTTTGTCAATCCTGAATCCGTGTTGTTTAAAATACTGTTTGAATATATATACTTCAGTTCATTCGAAAAAAAATTTCAAATCGCTTTGTTTTGTTTTGTTTACGATTGAAAAAATATTTTAATAGTTTATAATTTCACTCAGTTTTTTGCCTAACTCAGTATATTTCTCGCCAGGATGATATTTCTGTTGTGGGTCGAATCTGTTGTGATACAAATGGTAAACTAAATTCAAGTTCTCTGGTTCTCCGTGAGTCTGGTACGAACTCGTTTGGAGCATCAATACCACTGAACGTGAGAGACGTCGAACAGTACAGCCTGTTTCCTGGAAAGGTGAGTTCTGGGCCCGATATTCTACGAAATTAGAGTGCAGAAACGTGTCTGTATATGTGGTAAAGTAGAAAAGGTTTCCAAGTCGTGCCGTTTGCCTGAATATATAAATGTTGGCTTTTAGGTTTTAGCTGTGAAGGGAAAAAATCCAACCGGAACCCAATTCATTGCTTCTTCATTTTACGAGGTTTGTTTTGAAAAATCTTCCTTTAACATTGCTACCCAAAACATCCATGGCCAATGCCTATTTTCTTCCTCACGTTTCTGATTTCACACAAAACAGCAACCACATTTTTCGCACGATGTTCATGGGACATCATCATATCTTAATAATTTGAATGAAGACTGACCTCGGAAATTGCAGTTTTGTAAATTTATTGAATGTTTTTCGTTTCAGGGGATACCACCGCCAAAGTCAGAATCTGGGAGCGAACAAAATGGTAGGTATTCACTGCAGTAAACTCAATATATATTTGGAGAGAGTATTAATAACACCCCCGGATATAACGAGACTTAAGTAGTCCCAACTCCTGGGATATAATAAAATGAACGAACAAACGCGTACAAACGAACGAAGATAAAGACAAATGCATCTTTGAACGTTTGGTTTAGGCAATCTATCAGTTTTCATCGCTGTTGGTCCCTTCACTACATCAGAAAGCGATTCCTACGAACCATTAATTGACTTCTTAAATCAAGTCTTGAAAGAAGAGCCTGATCTCGTTGTTATGGTAATGTTCACTTTATATTTTGTAAAATCGAGATGCTTAAATTTTCAATCTGTAAACGCGGGGCTTTGGCGACATTTTTCTAAACAAATTGAAAAGAAGACAACAACGAAATGAGTGGTAAAAACGGTGGATAATTCCTATTTTCATTTTGATTTTGTAGATGGGGCCTTTTATCGATGCAAAAAATGACCTGATTGAAGTAAGTCCATCCGTTGAAATAAAACATGATAATAAGGCATTTTGATTGGTTCCTGAGCGCACGCTAACCAATAGTAACCATCGGTCTGGTTTGGCGGGAAATTTTGAATTTTATATTAATTACTTGAAGATTATATCAGAAACATGTCTAGAAGAAATTTCGTTTCTTTTTCCTTGGTACCCAATGAAAGATGATGGATGATATTATTTTAAGAAGCAATTATTAACGGGAGCCTCTTTCGCTGCTTTTAAACTGGTCTCATTTATCACTTATTTTTCGTATAGAATTGCGAGATATCCGAAACCTTTCAACAATTGTTTGCCCGTAAAGTAAACGAAATTGGCAAATGTGCAAAAAGGTATGTCAACATTGTATTAGCATTAATAATAATCCTCGAGAACTTCATGACACGAAGTATTGCATATACGAGAAGAGATCCCGGAGAATTGGCGGGAAAATCAAGTGATATTATCACGTCATTATCTGGAACTTTAAATACGACTTAAAATCCATCTCGCTTTCAGATTATCAACTACGAAATTCTTGTTAATTCCCTCGCAAAGGGACGTTCACCATCACTCTGTTTATCCGCAACCGCCGTTCTGTTCAACTGACGTAAAGAACATCTTAAATTCGATATTTGTAAGTTAAACAAACATTGCATGGCAAGAATACAGTCGAGTGTATTTTATAGATAGATCAGTGTGAACTGATTGTTGCATTTGTAATCTGGTTGCGATTAAATCTTTCTTTCTGTTTTCAGAAAGAGAAAAACAAGAGAGAGGAAATAGAGAAGAATGTAAGTTCATCCAACACAGCACCGGCAAAGCAGCATGAATTGGATATACAATATTGGATAGTCAAAATTTGGATAGTCAATATTTTTTCACTATCAATTCTAGATATCAGCTTTGCACTTCTTCTCAGACCCCTGCACCCTCGACATAAATGGATTTACTTTCGGGATGACATCCACAGACGTCCTCTTTCACATGGGGTCGGAGGAAATCGCATAGTAAGTAAAAAAAACATTGTACTTTTTTCAGAATATTTTTATCAGCTTCATCCTTCAGTAATTTTAATATCGTTTCGTTTTAGCCCGCCAGGTTCTGCAGACAAAATGGGACGGCTTGTGAGGAACATTCTTACACAACAATGGTAAATTACCTTGGATACAATCATTGATGGGTTCAATAGACGAGTTGCATGGATTTTAACTCGCATTTTGCATCATGATTATCATAAAAATTGTCCATCTTTATAGTTATTACCCGCTGTTCCCGCCCTCAGAAGAGGTTTGTGTCGACTACGAAGTGTTTTCGGAGCATGCGCAGTTGCCATATCAACCTGACGTGTTCCTCGTTCCATCGGATCTCAGATATTTCGTCAAGGTAAGCTTTTTTCCAAGCGTTTCTTTATGATCTGTAAATCCCCAATAAAAGCGATATTCTGCTTTTGGACGTATGCGTTTTACGGGAAACACGTAGCTATGGATACCCGTTAATAGAATACAAGTGTAGATCTTGTCGTATTATGTGGAATATCGCATACGCCAGGTGGAGAATTTCTTTTAACAAACTGTTCGGCGTTTCTGTTTCAGAATGTGATGGGCTGCTTAAGTATTAATCCGGGGAGGTTAACCAAGGGTCTTGTGGGAGGCACATACACCCGGTTACTGCTGAAGAGAGAGGGGTGTCGCCCTGTGGCCGACACTTCCCTATGTCAAATAGTCAAGATATGATGAACCAAAGTATAAACAGAAAAGATAAGTGACACAAACTGTTTAATGAACATGCAAATTCTTCCAAATCCTGGAAATGGAGCATGTCATCTAAACACTGTATACAATTTTACCGCCATGTTGAATGTTGATATGATAACGCTACGTAATCACTGCATTTGTTTTTGCATTTGTTTATGCCATCTATACAATCTGTTCTACCAGTGAAATGGTAGGATAGATGTGAGTATATCGGGTTATCCCGTTCCCAGCCTAGGCGCGTCGTGTGTTCCAAGGCGGGAAAGCGCTAGGAAACATCATGCGTGTTCAGAGTAACAGAAGCAAACGAGGAACGATGTTTTTTCTGTGAAATGTTTCCGAATCCTTTTGGAGATATTTTTGCTTAAGTGAAAACAAACTTTGTTTTCGCCACAGTGTTTCCACGGGTGAGAAAACAAGGAAACATTTGAGGAAACATCGTCCGGAAACACCTGTTTTCCCTGAACTTTATTATCAGTGGAATCGTAGGATAGCCAAGGATGTATAAGAAGTCATGATATAAGCTAAAATTGCTTGAAAGTTGCGGCAATAGAAAAACCTATTAACTGCAAACCTTGCGCTAAAGCACACTCATTTACGTTGAATGCTTCAATTACATTTTTATAGAGTTTATTTCCAATGCCCTTCTTCTCTACAATGCCTTTCACTTATACTACAAAAGTTAACACATGACAACGTTTTCTACATTTTCTGACTATCTATCTCCTTGAAAAACGTCAACAAATCTTAATCGCTTAGAGACAATTTTTGCATTCATGCAAAACTTCATTTGTTAGCTTTCACGTTTTCGATGTTGCTTCGTGTAATGATGTCTAAGATTTTCTTGTGTTGTGTCTTGTGGTGGTGCTTCTTGTGTTTTTGATGATGTTTTTTGCGAAGTTCCTCCAGGTTCTCATGATGTTTCTTGTGGTGTCTATGGTGATTTTTCTTGTGGTGTTTCCTCTCGTGAGATTCATCTCGATTTTCGTCGTGATGATGATGTGGGAACGTGGCTTCTTTGGAAGAGTCTCGGACTTCATTGCCCCCTCCCAAGTTACCTCCCCCCAAGTTACCTCCCCCTTCGGGTTGGGGGTTAGGGAAATCAGTAGGTTGGGATTCTGGTTGAGGTTGGGGTTGTGGCTGGGGTTGTGGCTGAGGTTCGGGTTGAGGTTGGGGTTCGGGTTGAGGTTCGGGTGGAGGTTGGGTAGGTTGTGGTGGGGGTTGAGTAGGTTCAGGTTCTGGTGGTGGTTGGGTAGGTTCTGGCTCTGATGGTTGGGTAGGTGAGGAAGTTCCATCGATTGATCCTCCTTTGGTAGGTGTGAAGGTTGTTTGTCCTGCCCCTGGCGTAGGGGTGATAGGAGTGCGAGTTGGGGGCAAGGTTGAATAATTTGGTGGTAAAGTAGGTATAACGGGCGTGACGGTCGGTGGGTGCTCCGTGGGGGGCACTGTAGGTAAGGGCTTTCTTAGGGTGGTATATTGTAGGTAAATATAAAATGGATAGTAATAGAATGCATTTTCATAGTCTGGGTTAAGGCCAGGGGCTACTGTAACATCTTTGTATACAATACAGCTGTGTTTGCAATCTTCTCTCACGTTGTCGCTTATTTTGCACAAACCGACGCTTGCCCACGTTGGACATAGCGTGTCTTTGTCAAACCGAAGTTCACCGTCTTTATCTAGAAAACAAAAGCTCGACTAAGTTTGGCTAGATACCAACAAAAAATCTCATTTTCTTGATAAAGTTATCAAGAATAATCACAAGAATATTATTAAAGATTAACGGTCAATCTCTCGTGTGAATTTAGCCGATTAGGACAAGCTTATTTACGTTGTCGAACGGATATAGAGATTCGTAATCATAGAAACATAAACTAGATTGGACGTCTTAGGGTAATATCCATGATTGTGCTAAAACTAGTTTAGTTTTCGTGCAAAATTCTGGTTATGATGTTAGAAAGAAAAAGATTATGTCAATATAGGTTCACCTTCACCACACAGCATACAACTTGATTTACATTCTTCCCTCATGTACTGTGGAAGGCGAAGACAATCTCCATTACTGGCCCAAATCGGACACTGCCAATGTTTGTCTTCACACTTTGCGCGATGTTTTTTCATCTCTAAGGAAGATGATTTTTGAAATAATTGTAATTTTTCTATGTATGTAAATTTCCTATTGTAATCTCTTGCATAGTATCGGTATCACAGGGCGCTAATCTCTGGTAGACTAATAATCTTGGGTTCAAGGGTAGAACCACACCGAGTGTAGTGTGCTGTGTCTCACAAATTCGACCTCCAGACACGCGGCTCTTGAGGTCAGATTAGGCGTTAATCTGAAGGTAACTAAGGTAGAATACCCAGCTGAACTGAGATTATGACGTCATGGGGCGCTTCGACAAAACTGAGTTATCATGTGCCTGAGCTTATTTGTCCCTGTTCTTCCATCCAATGCTATTAAAGGGTAAAAAATTGAATTCTTATTTACAGTTCGGAAAAACAAACGTGTTTCGGCATGAAAATAATAGAATTACTTCAAATTTTCCTGTGCAGAAGTCATATGAAAGGACATGGAGCGAGTTATCCCGGCTAGGCGAGATAAAAAGCGCATCACATCAAAGGCTTAATCTGATTAGTCTTTCATTATGTGCAGTTTTCACCTCGCCTTGCCGGGATAACTCGCTCCATGTAAACAGGCCCTTACTCTTTTGTGGTGGAGCACAAAATCTGCATTCCAATGGGCAGTGATTTAGCATAAAGTAGAAATTGTAACGGCATTCTCCATTCTGGTTTCTGAGATTACAACCATGCAACTCCGAATTTCTGCATTGGCTAGGTTTGATGTTTACTACATGAAAAAAGATATCAGAGTTAGCTGGCATTATAATCTCCGCTTCGCGAGTGACACCGTCAGTGGCCAGCCTAGTCCCAGGCCTTGTAAGCGCACGCTGTGAATTATGCAGGGGGAGGAGGGGCAGCCCACGCTGAGAGGCCTAGCACAAAATGTTGAGATCTCAAAAATTGTCCCTGATTTTGACCCTAGAAAAATTTTCTTCACGCCATTTTGAATTAAGAATTAAAAACATTTTGTGCTAGTCCTCTCCCGCGCGTTCAAACCGGTGACGTTACTTTCAATGCAAGGCGCGCTAAGGAGGACTAGGGACTAGTCTGATCAGTGGCATTAGAAAGAGTAACCTGGGGATGAATTTGGGTGTATTTTGAAGGCTCACATAGAATATTACAATAACTTCAATTATAAAATAATAAAAGAAATCTTACTTTTCGACAAATCAATTGAAAAACGATGCAATTCCGTGTGCACTTCAAGTTCTGTAAGATAAAATAAATCGTTATAAACGACTCCAGATTTATTAATCTGAATCTTAATACGTTTACCAGCCTAATTGATTATCCGATAACCGCAATGGTTGCGACTTGCCTATGGCAAGTTTACTTATTAAATTAAAAGGAAAATAGCTTTTCTTACCACTATCTGCATGGGAGCTGCGGTGATGAGTTTCCTTATGCTTAAATTCACCTGTTAAGGAAAGTAAAAAACAATTTCGATGGCTGTTTGTTTAATTGATATCATAGAAAATTGGCGAAAAATTTATCGCGTTAAAATTATCACGTAAATTTGGGATGCCTATGATTGGTATAAGATGATAAGAATTTCTGACAAAGACTGCAATTTTAGCAAAAATGCTTACAAAATTATAAAATATTAAGAATATTTACTGCAAAAATTATTTAGCTTTTATTCTTTGCTAGGCGTAGTTATGAATTCTATCACACTTTATCTAATCTGCTCGGTGAGATTTAAAATGTAAGCAAAAAATAATATACTGGTATTTATTGTCGTGATATTAAACTTTATTGTTCGACTATGAATGACATTTATTCTGCGAGTAATTTTAACAACATTTTAGCAACAAAAACCTGCGGAATAATGAAAAAAAGCTTAAAGATATTTCACTTCGGAATTTTTTAAACTTGTTTGTGAAACGCAGTAAACATTCAAATGTAATCTGTGCTTTCGTTAGAATTTTGAACGGGTATTACGTAGATGATAAACACTTCTCAAAACTGATATTCACCTTCGACTTCGTCTTTTCTTGACGCGACAAAAGTCCAGCAGAAACACAGCGAAAGTATCGTCGCGAAAACTCTCATTTTTACCAAAGTTAAGTTTTCGCTATACGTTCAACAAAGAAATGAATCACATGCGTGTATTTTTAGGATGAAATTGTTACTCAACGATTTTTCACAGGGTGTTCTTTGTTTACTTGTCAGAGTTTTAACGCTTGTATAAGATTCTATTATGACAGCACCGACCTGCGTAATTTAACAATGCGACACTATTGATTAATTTACGATTTTTTCATTTCAAAATCCTCCTGAGAAAAGCCTTGGCCAAACATACAAGTGGTGATATGTATATCCATGTGAATTTTTCATTGACTGCATGAGTTGGGGTTGAAGGCTGGCGTCAGTGCTTGGTATTGCCCTACATTAAACTCCCTAAATGCGATTTTTTGAGAGTTTATTGCTAAAAGCTTAGGCCTAGGTTATACGTCGCATTTTGGTGGCGTCGAATGCAATTCAAACAATAGGTAATGAGATGATAAACCTCATTAAGATTCATCTCATTATCTGTTGTTTAAATTCCATTCGACGCGACCAAAATGCGACGTTTAACCTGGGCCTTAGTTAACCTAAGAATGAAAAAGTAAGAAAAAATTAAGACAGCAAAACAGCTATATAGTCGACGTCGAATATGTCAAAACACACACTAGCTTTAACGTTTAAATATATATTTCTTATGATTGCATGCGATCCTAGTCAATAAATATACAAATGATTATTACATTCTTGATACATATACGGAATTTTTACGATAAAATGTTTGTACTCAATTGTCATGCACATGCATATCCCTAAATATCCTAATCGAAATTTATATAAATTATCATGCACAGAATGTCCCTAAGTGTCCTAATTTTCATGCAAAGTTCCTTATTTCAAGAGTTTTGCTGCAATAAAACAAGGCAGTACAAATGCTCCGGCGAAGATGGCAAGCGCGACTGCATGGTTCTTCACGCTTTGTTCCAATGTTGTGATATTTTCTTGGATCATTTCATTTTCCTCGCCGTTTGAAATATACTCGTCGAGCTTCCAAGCTGGCCAATTTCCCAGTTCAGAGATGTCGAAATCTTCGATGTCGCTCTCAGACGTTTCACCTTAAAAATAAAGCGTATTTTAATTAGTTACTGAGGTACTATAGTTTCGTGATTTTTCCATGCACAGATCCGGTAAAAGAAGTCATTTGGTCGGTTTTCGGTTATGACGTGGATGTGCGCAAGGAAGGGTGGGGTGGGAGGAGGAGGAAACGAGGTGGGGTTGAAGGCCCGTGGAGGGTGGAAGCGGGCGTGGTAGTGAGAGGCTGCCGGGGGGGGGCGAGCTGAGATGGGGGGCAGGTGTGGGATCGTTGGATGAGGGAAGTGCTGGGTCAATACTTACTTTCGTCAGAACTGTATTCAATGTCGCTTGAAGAATATACTTCACTGTACAGACAACAATATTCGTACGCCAAACTGTCGTTAGACGATGCATAGGATGCTTTGTAGTTGTAACTTTCACCGTACACCATGGCTGGGAGTTTATCAGAGCTATAACTCAAGCAGGATGCGTTCTCCATAGGAACAGGGGTATAACAATAGCAATGAGAAGACGCGACGCTATCAACTTCACTGGCCACATCATAACCCTGACCTGACTTCACTCCGGTACTAAGAGTACCACGCTCGTCCGATTTCAAAGACTCCTGACTTGAGTTTACAGTCTCTATTTTCTCCCAGTCACCAGGACCCAACATCACGCCGATGTTTCCACCAACGCATGGGAAAACGAAAAATTCATCTGGGAATTCTTCATCACAGCTCTCGTCAGTCAAACTGTCCCAGCTGTCGGAGCACTCCCATGTTTCAGGTTCGATCGAGTGTGTTTTAGTTGATAGATTTTCAACACTGCTGGTGGAGTCCATGCGGCTATCACGTGACGAGTTCATGTTCTCGTACTGGGCAAGGATCGTTCTTTCAGATGGAGTTATCAGCAGATCGGTGGTAATGTTTTCCCCGCGTTGCAAAGATGTTACTATGACTCGTTTAGCCCGCAGGATGGTCCAGATGATAGTAATAAATGGCCTGGGAGGTAAAAAAAAGGCATTTAATCGACGCAAACTTTGATCTAGATATGCTACGAAATTAGGGCTGACCTTCTTGGAAATGAAAGAGCTTGTCTGTATAATATGGTTTAGTAATACTTTTGTAAATGGTGGAATAAATGAAATTGGATGTAAAGTCTTACCGAAAGCAAACTCCTTTGTATCTGAGGATGGCACAGAGGAAGCATAGAACAATAAGACATCTTTGGCCTTCGTTCAAGTTGTAGATTGAATTGATACATTCTATGAATACAATAGAAAATACAGAATAAGCTAAGAATTTGACGAAGTATTTTTATTTTTTGAGGATTGATCACTTAATACGGGGATTCAGGATTACCTTTGAAGAATCCAAATACATTCATGAAGCAAATAGTTTCATTGTTGCTGGATGTTTCAGCTAAAATATAAAGAAAAACCTGTTGTGAAAAACGAGAGAGTGCATATTTTTGATAAAAAACAATATGATATATTGATGTAAAAATATGTTAAAAACAAATTTAAAACGATCGTTTTAAGACAGAAATACAAAAAAATAAAATATCTAACGATTTTCCTACGTTCAAGCTATTTAAAAAATATACAGGAGTTTCAAATAAGAAAAAAAATCTAGTTAAAACTTAAAAGTTAAACCAAAGCAGAACAAATCAACACTCTCAGCCGTTCTTACCAAAAAACCGCAGATTTTCCCGCTCGGCGGTGAGATCACATTTCTTCGTTTCTTCTGTTAAATTGTAAAGATCAAACAAATCGTTCTTCTTTAAAACTGGAACACACTGCTTCGAAGTGTTGAAATATAAGAAAGGACAACTTTCAGCAAAGCTTTTAGTGATGAACTTCTGAAGCTCGCGTTGTCCTTGTTTAACATCGCTCGCGATGATGTTTTTCGCGGCGAATGAACTCACGAACCCACGTTCGGAGCTGATCGACATGTTGTCGTTGCCTGTCGCTGACAGGAAAAGTATTGAAAGTATTATTATAACTGAAATAACGTTGCAAGAAAGCATTTTTTTAACAGCGCACCATTTTATAAACCTCTTCACGAGAAAAAAAGTGCGCGAAATGATAGTTGCTTGGATACAACGTCAATTTTAATTAATTCGTCAACTAATTAATTGGCGACGTGACCTGTGACGCAACAAGCGATTGTTACGTCATGTAATTAGACGACCCGTCGCGCATGTGTTTGAAGTTTCGCGCGTGGAGTCTATTTTCCTTTACAAGTTTTCCCCACTGACCTATATTAGTTTTCCTCACTGACCTATCTAGTATAGGTCAGTGGTTTTCTCTAAACACAGTATTGAAATTGTAACAGTGGAATTATAATTGTACAAAACAATCATGAGATAAAATTTTATAATATATTTTCTTTCTATTAAATTAATAATTTCTATGCGTGTTTCTATCTTTTTTATTCGCTTTATTTTTACCATTTCTTTCCGTTTCTTTTGGTTATAGAATTCAACTTGTTGGTTTTTAACGCTGACGCCGTTGATAGTAAACAAAGTATGGGTATTGCGGTTGATTATTGGGTTGAGGTTGAGGTTGGGGTTGAGGTTGAGGTTGGGGTTGAGGTTGAGGTTGGGCTTGAGGTTGGGGTTGGGCTTGAGGTTGGGGTTGGGCTTGAGCTTGGGCTTGAGGTGGGGGTGGGGGTGGTGGTGGAGGTGGGGGTGGGGCTGGATATTGAGTTTGAGGTTGCTGTTGAGTTTGGGGTTGGGGCGGAGGTGGCGGTGCTGGAGGTGGGTATTGAGGTTGGGTTTGAGGTTGTGGTTGAGTTTGAGGTTGGGGCGGAGGTGGGGGTGGAGATGGGTATTCAGGTTGCGTTTGAGGTTGTTGTTGAGTTTGAGGTTGGGGCGGAGGTGGTGGAAGTGGGTATTCAGGTTGAGTTTCAGGGTTCGTTTCAGGTTGGGGTTGAGTTTCAGGTTGGGGTTGAGTTTCAGGGTTCGTTTCAGGTTGCGTTTGTGGCTGGTTTTGGGGTTGGCCTGGTGGTTGGGTTGGTGGGGGGTTATTCGGTAATGGATTTTCACTTGGTGATTGAGGCATTGACGGTTGAGTTGGTTGGGATGAGGGTTGAGGTTGGGGCGTAGGGCGATTTGGTGGTTGGATTGATGGCCTTGGTGTGTTTCCTGTCGGAGGTGGTCTTGGGGAAGAGTTTGGTGGGGTTGATGTTGTTCCTGGTTTTTGAGGGGGTTCGGTGGGTCTTTGGCTTGGCCTATGTCCTGCTGTTGTTAATTCCTGAGGAGGTGGGGTGGGTGTTTGGCTTGGTTTGTGCCCTGCGGTGCTTTGTTCCTGAGGAGGTGGAGTTGGTGGTTGGCTTGGTTTGTGTCCAGGGGTGGTTAGTTGCTGAGGAGGCGGGGTTGGTGTTGATCCAGGCCAGGGGGTGGAAGGTCTAAACGGGTAGGTTGGTGGTAGTGCAGTATAGTGCGGTGGTAGAGTAGGAATTAACGGCGTAACTGTCGGTGGGTATTGGGTTGGGGGAATCGTGGGTAGAGGCTGTCTTAGTGTTGTAGATTCGTAGTACATATAGAATGGCAGATAATAGAAAGCCTTTTTATAATCCGTGTTAAGTCCGTGTTTCAGTTTCCTATTTTCGTAAACATCGCAGCTGTGAGGACATATTTCTCTGACATCTTTGCTCACGGAACAGTAACCAACGCTTCCCCATGCTGGGCACAATGTGTCCCCATCGAACTTCACTGCTTTTTCAGCATCTAAACAACAATAGACATAGGATCTTGTAATGATCTTGTAATCAATCTGTGGTCATTTGAGGTCATTGCCGTGTTGCTGTCCTACAGAATGTTATTGAGATGTTCATAAAAACTACCAGTAAATAAAATAACGAGAAAAACTCAGAATAACATCATCTCGCTACTCTTTAAAGTAATCTAACGCACCTGGGTTCAGTTGTATAAAACTCTTTAACTACATTTTTGCATAGTTAAATCCTAGTTAACTCAGAAATACACGACTGTGCAAGATTGACCAATTCTGTCCTTAACTACAGTTTAAAGTTAACTAGTCTTTTATACCACTGGCTCCCAGATGCACAATTCTGGCAATGTTTCGACTAAGTTCCAAAGTCATTGTCTGTCATTGTTGGCGAAATACTAGAAAAAAATTCATTTCCCGCGCTGCAATTTCTACCAACCTTTGTCACACAACATGCAACTTGCGTTACAGTTCTGTTTCATGTAGTCTGGAAAACGAAGACAATCTCCTTGATTTGCCCAACCTGGGCACTCGTAATCTTTGTCTTCGCACTTAGCTTTCGTCTTTGCTGAAAAAGCATGTCTTTGTAAGCAAAAAATTTAAATGTAAGAAGGTAAGAGACTTTTTGCAAAGCTATCCTAATTCAAATTGACCTATTCTTGACTTTACTCTCAAACTACCGAGCTCTCCTATGGCCTCTGTTGTGATCCAAGCCACACGGTTTTAAACATGGCACAGGTGGAATGTGGGACCATGAAGCTTGAGGCTTGTCCAAAATTCAATGTCAATTTCAAAGCACGCGCCGAATTTTATTGGCTAATATTTTCGTTCGAGGTAAAGTGGAGGTAGTTGGCCTTCCCTCCCCACCCCCTTGTCCCTACCCCTGACTCCCCCCCCCATCCCCTAAAACCCATGCAAGACCGTCGGCGTTGGGGATAGGTATAACAGAGTATTATACTCACGTTCTTGTTGCTTTGCACAAAATCTGCAAGCCAGAGGGCAGTTGTCCAGCATGTTATAAAAATAATAGCTGCAGTAACTGTGTTGGCGGTTGTATTTACATTGTCCATTTGGCAAGTCGTTCACACATTCGTCTGGCTTGATATTGACTGAGATGGAAAGAGAGTACCGAATGTTGAAATAAAGAATTGGAAACTTGGTAAAAAGGGCTTGTGTAAGCCGGTAGTTATAACTGATAAAATTATATCCGTCTTTGTTCGGAAGAGGATTTTATAAGCGGAACAACTGTATGTAGCACAAAGTTTGGTTTAACTAAAGAAAACACTTTCAAAATTTTCCGACAATCTTTTTGAAACGAAGCCCATAGACTATGGTGTTTGAACCACTTGGGGAATTTCACGATGGATTTCGACCTCGTAACAACCGCGATAACTGCTCGTTCTAAAGTTCTCATCAAGGAGCTCTGAGAACACAGCATTTGTGAAACGAGCTTGCGTGTAAATTTTTTTGCCACAATGTTCTCGCTTTACGTACCCAAGCATAGCTACTTACTCTTTGAAAGATCGATGGGAAAACGATGCCAATTCGTTTCGTAAACAGCTGGTCCTATATAACACAAATTTCCAGCGAAAAAATTAGTTGTCTTTTTAACCAAGACATACTGTTGGACCTGCGCTGCCAAATGTGAAAGTAACACTCTCAACTTACGCTGTGTCGGTTGGCTCGGATAACGATTTTGAACGGGGTAGCGACTTCCACCATAGTTGTACTGATATCGAATGACTGTTAAAATAGGATTATAAATCAATCTACTTAACTGCTTTCTTTTTCTTAGCTCTAATGTTAGTTTTTTACACAATGCACTCCATTGACAGTCGATGCCATTAACGGCTTATACAAGTATGAGATCGTTTAACTTTACAAGGAGGCAGTGCATGAAATATCACATTGTATCACAGCATTTGAATCGTTTAAAACAACAACAGGCAAGTTTATCTTTCAAATTTGATATATGAAAAAAGGTTTTGGTAGCTCTACCTCCTTATATAGCTTAGGTATAACGGCTATACTCCTCTTATAAAAGGTCAGCTAGTTTCAGGTAGTATATTATTGTAATGAAAGCATAAAAACTTCATCACGAGACGGAACAGTTTATGAGCAGACATTACCTTTTGGTTGCTTTTGCTTTTTTTTGTGATGCTTTCGGGAAGCAGCGAGAGTCCAGCTGAAACTAAATAGCAAAATGAGTGCGTTGATTTTCATGTTTGCCAGAGATGATCTGAAAAGAAACTAGAGCAAACATAGGCCACAATAACCTGTCGTAAAATCCACACCAGGTTAGTTTGTGATACAAAGTGGCCTACAGGGTGCTCTTTGTTCCACTGTTTGATTGTCACTTTAACTGCTTAAAAACCTGTTTGAATCTTTTTATATGCTGTCCTGTCCTGATTCGATGTTTTAAAATAAATCCTTTCTTGATCAACCCCAAATGCTATGAGTGAACTCTAGTGAATTTATTGTCGAAATTTTGGGCAAACTGGTTTTTAGTCGAATAGGTTGAGGTTTCGAATAACAAAGTATATAGTATCAATTTCGATAACAAAGTATAGTTGCTGAGGTGGTCTACTTTTACTAAAAGCGATGTAGCTATGTTCAATTAAAAAACATTTTTGTGCATTTTTTACTTGGAAAACAAAGTAACTAACTGTAAACAAAATATGACCAATTTCTTTATATTTTTTTAAGCACAAAGGTGTCTTTGTCTTGAAAGAGAGACCTGGAAACTAGGTTGCAACAATTTTTGTAACATCTGATCCCAAATCACAAACCGCACTTGTACATATAACGGTAACGAAGGCTCGTTTCGCAAAAACTTTCCTCTATTTTTCAACCGATGCCACTCAAATAGAATTAGGGCTTATTGAGGGCTAATTTTAATATATTTGTATTCAGCTGTTTGGCAAACAAATAGGTTTTTCCTATTAGTTTTGCGACTGAATCTATTAAATATTTATAACCTAAATATGCACTGTAATGAACTCATTAATTCATCGTCGAAGATTCTGCCAGGGTTTTTAACAACACGCTACATCTTACCGTATATAGTAATGATCAATTAAAGTGTTTCACCTCAACCAAATATGAAAAATCAAGTCTACTTAATTCTAGCGAACATCGGCCCTTTATTAAGTTCGCACCCCCCCCCCCAGACCCAATCTCCCTAGAGCAATCCATTTTATATATCTCAAGTCGATATCCTTGAGCTTCGGCTCACCGCGGCAACGCACATCAACAAAGGTCGTCGTCATACACGGGTTGTCGCAACTCGCAAGAGTTTCATATATTAAGCTCTTGCCTTCCAGCAAACCTTAAGCATAAGCAAGGTAGTTCAAGGTAGTTTAATAACGAGAGCGAATTCGTGAGGGCATTCACATAATATTTAAATTGCTATCTTGAATTAAACGTTATCGTAAAATGCAAATCATTTACGGTTGGTTTGCTATGCAGATGCTGTTCGAATACCAGGCGTGGTGTGAAACAATTTAATCTCCAGCGAAGCGTGTAACAGGTCATTAATATCAGCGTAGGAAAAAATTGTATTCAGTTGACTGATCGGCCGAAATTCGCCTCAAAATGGTCTGAAAATTGCCAAGAACTTGCCATTTGGACTTCGCTATGGACTCGAAATACACTCCTGATCGAAAATATCCCGCAACGTCGCGAAATTTCGAAGGAAAGCGCTCCGAAGTGGATGGGAAACTTTCTCCGAGCAATCGAGCACTTGAACAGGATAATAATAATATAGGTCGGTATAACTTGAGATGTATATTTTATGTTTATTTTGAAGTATACGTGTTTCAAGAGATCTAGGCAAGGTGCTTAGTACAATTGTCACAGAAGCTAGTTAGTCTTTCGCCAGATATTTGAATAAGAAACACGACGTGCAAGACAACACGCTCTGTGATAGTGCTCTGTGAAAACATTTCCCATCAATGTTGAGTGCACTGAGCCGCAATATTATGACCTCGAGTCTTTCCAATCGAGCATAAGGTTATTTGACTTAGATATTTCGCGCCAACGTAAGGCACTAGATTGTAACCAATGCATGTTGGTAGTAGTTTCTTTATCAAACTAATTGAGATAGGTTTCACAAATCGCGACGGACCGTGTTTCGTGCAAGTAACCTCAGAGATGTAACCTTGTATGTACGAAAGTCGATCTTGACTTAGTAAATGTATCTATAAATGCGTGAACTGTTAAACTGAAAACATGTCATATACACTAGCTTTAAGCGAAAGTGCTCGCTTATTGGGAAATATTTTCGGCAGTGCATTGAAAATACTGCTTCGAATGTATAGCCGGGTTTGTCTTACGTGCATGAGAGTTGCGTCATGATTCCTAAAGACAGTTATATTACGCGCGTAAGAAATGACGGAATCGTTGATGATGATGATGGGAATATAGGATTGTTCGATGAATATCTTCAGTGCGTTTCCGTCAGTTTGTCACAAGTCTAGGCTAAAGATTAGTTTGGTGAAACCACAATAAATCGTGAAATCACACGATTAGTGCGCATATACGGCAAATAATTGACACACAAAGCGAAGTTTCGTCGCGTCATTCTCGTTCAATAAAGAATAAATTGAAACTTTGGTTGCTCCGCACAACATATATACGATGAGGTTAATTTGAACGGAAAGCAACGCTGTTTAAAAATACAAACATGTGTTCATGAAGACGGTATTTTTCTTGCTAACCAGTAAATAAAAGAAGATAATGTTGACATCGGTCGATGATACCTCGGGGGAGTAAAAATTGCTGCATGGCTGGATTCATGCATGAATTATTTTTTTACTGTTTGTATTATATAGTCCTTATATTTTTTCACTATACCTATGAATATCGTCATGGCGTTCTGTTCCGCGCAGATGTTTTCCACACTTTAAAATTTTTAGTATGCAGTTGTTGAAAACAATGAAATCATCAGTTCTAAGTTTGCAGAAAAAAAACGAAAGCGGTCGATCAATCAACATAGAATGTATAAACATAATGTAGCTATATATGCATGCATTTATACTTCTATATTATCAATATTAGCTATAAACAGCTACATTCATTCTTTGATCGTTCCGTTACTAAAATACACCGCCTTCATTGGCCTAATTTTCTACAGTGGCATCGAAAATATACGTACTGATTAAACGTACTGATGTAAGGGCAGAACTTGACTGAACTTGTTAGTTGTAGCCGTCTATGCGCGCTAACCATCTGCCTTCTCGCTGAAGGCCAGGGGCTGACTCGAACATTCCTGATAAATTGCACATCTCAAAATCGACAATGTACATTAATTTTTTATCGATTCAAGGCTCCCCCGCAGCGAATCATCATAAAATTACGCTGGGCTTTCGCCGAAGACGATATAGCCGAAGTAGGGAATGTTTGCATGCCGGGTATTGGGGATTGTATGCAGAGAAATTGCGTTTTCATGCATGACACGAGTTTTTATTCGTTTTAACATGCGAACAACACGAAGACCGTGAAAAACGGCCTGCATCAAGGACCAAGATTACTGACAAACTGAAGTGTTTTGTCTAAAGAATGTTATCGTTTTCCACGTTCTCTGTATTTCACATTATAGACGGCGGACAGGAGAAACAGAAGATGAAAGATGGAAATAATTCCAAGCCAAGTTTAGACTTACCCAAATGGTAGGAACAGCTTTTTATTTCGACGTTTTAACGGATGATATTTTTCAGTCTTATATCTCGTAATGATAATTTAGGGATTTTTATCCGCGCTAAATCTCCGCGCTAAATCTCTGCGCCATCTGTCAGTTAGGAAAATTTCCCACCACACGTACGGTCGAGGGGTATATATATATATATTTGCATGTGGTAGTTGTGGCAAAGTTTATGACAACTTGCAAGCCAAATACACGCACGATCAAACCTCTTTGACTTTGGCTAATATAATGTGTTTAGTTGAACAAAACCCAGGCAGTATTCCGCAACGCGTCCCGAGATTTCACTTTTAAGAAAGCAAATCAATTTAATTTTGGGAGAAATTTATGGAAGCCAATGAACACTGACGTGTCAAATGCACTTTGAGTGATATTGAGTACGTGATATTCAAGAATATTATAACAGGATCAAATTTTGCCTTGCTTCAAAAAACTACTTGAAAAACTCAAACAGAAAACGTATCGCCGGATCGCGTCGACCTTTGTGCGTGTGTTGGCGGACTTTTAGCCCGTGTGGACGGGGAATTGTGCAAATTTATAGGCTGTTTCAGTCGTGGAACTTTTCATCTGGCGAACCTAACGTTACTGTAATGAGCTAATTAAAGTCTTTGCTTCAGTTTATTTGCATTAGATTTGACACATAAAAAGTTCAACGCCTGAGGCCTTAGACAGGAGATCGTATGCGCTAACTCTGGTTTAATTTACGCCCATGACCTCCGCTCTCGTTTAGGTACAATCCTTCGGCGAATGGCGAAGACAATAAGGACTTGATGTGCGTCGTGCGACAATTCTGCCTTGATAAACCTGTAACCATAGGACCGATGACGTATTGCCACGTGAAACTATGCTAGCTTTTGGTAGATGTTTCCGTTGTACAGTTTTATATCAATTTTAGCGAGTGGGACTTGTGTTCTCATTTGTGTAGTGAATGAGATTTGTAGTGATTTAGTAGCTCTTAATAAGTAGCTCTTAGCGTTAGTAACTCTTAATAAGCTCTTAGTGATTTAGTAGGTCTTTCAAACACTGAGCTCGGTCTGGAGTAATACTGTCTCTGAAAGAGCATAAAGGTCTTTTTAGCCATGAGATGGTTCTGTTTCACGCATGCTCTCTTTTGAGCGATTGCAATTGGTGTCGTACAATATGATTCTTTTAAGGTAGTACCAGCGAATGTGTATTCTTGAATGTCGCCTTAAAGTATAAGAAATAAAGCAATTTTGTATGTTTTTCAAAAAAAGCCTAAATTTATTGATGGCTATGTGGAGAGTCAAAAGTGTGTCTTTTCATGATAAAAAGTCGATCAAAATCACATGACACACACATTGCTAACTCGTTCGCTAGTTTATTTATGATGGAGATTTATGCATGGAGATTTAGCCCAGAAAGAATCGCCCATTCGCATCCAAAACTCCGACGAAGAAAGCTTCAAAGAGTTTTTGGGTTTCTTGTGCATCGACGATTGTGAAGTTACCACTGGGAACGCGATAAGAGTCGTCTTGGTGAATATTATACACTTAATGATTGCTCCCAAGGGAAATAGTGTGTTTTGTTTTCCCAAGAGTCTGAGTCGGGAGAAACATTATTAAACTTCGCTTTCTAGTAACTAAATCAACCTGTTTTATCTTGCCCTAAATGCAGTGAGTGAGTGAAAAAGGACACTTTACGTTTATATAGAACATACATAAACGCGATGACCGATGATCATTATGACCTTGAAAAAAGTTTAAGTAAAATAGAAAACACTGACCATCATCATCCCAAGAGCGAATAGTCTAGGAGTTAAGACAGCGGTCTCGCAACGGGCAAATTGATGGTTCGAATCCTGCATGACGAAAGTGTTTTCATCGTGACCGTAAGGAAAAGATTCAGATGAGATAAAAAAGCAAAGCTGTTGGGTCCTAGGATCTGTTAGTCAAGTGGTGAAGACAATGGTCTCGCAACTTTTAAGACGGTGGTTCAAATACGGGCAAGAGTGTTTTTCATGAATTATGACATTGAAAAAAGATTAAGATAAAGTACTGAATGAGTGTGGAGCGTTGCGTTGATGGTCTAGTGGTGAAGCTAATGGTCTCACAACTCGGAAAGACTATGGTGCGAATCCTTGGAAAACTTTTTTTATGCTAATTAAAAATTTGCAGACATGCCTCGTGCATGTATAGGTGTGTATACTATCTTTAATTATCCACGCTTGTGATGTGGGCACTGTGCAAGCGGTCATTTGTGCAAAGTGCACAATTTCATGAAGCAAATAAAAATATAAATGTCCTTCATTTACCTCATTCACCAACTAAATCAACCTGTTTTAGCTTATGGTAAATGCAGCGAATGAAAAAGGACACTTTACGTTTATAAAACATGGATAAACGCGATTGGAAAACGAAAGAAACTGAAATTAAGTAGTAAAAAACGCTGCGCAATCGCAGTGAACGAGTAACAATCCCGCAATAACAACATTGAACAATCTCGTATATATATAATTATACTAAGCTTTCGAAATAAAGTTTCGATTCTAGGAGTACAGTCATCCCGATTGCGTTCGTTTGTTTGGTTGTTGTTCTTGCAACCACGAACCGAGCGCTATGGGTTTTTGTCTTTTCATATCTGACATGTTAACAAAGTTTTAGAAAATTTTGAAAACGGTCGTCAATTTTGGCAAAATGGTAAGGGGTTACGCCTGAAGGGGTTACGCCTTTGAATTTTGGTCAAAATTCACGACTTTTTCAACTGTTCAAAAACTGTCTTAAAAGGCTAAAAATGGCTTCCTAAGACTAATATCTTTCATTTTAGAGCATATTTGGTTCGCTTTTTGAACATTGAAAAAGTCGTCAATTTTGACAGAAATGGTAAGGCTTACCTCTTACCATTTTGGTCAATTTTGACGACTTTTCCAACTATTCAAAAACTGTCTTAAAATGCTAAAAATTGCTTTCTAGGACTAAAATTTTTCATTTTAGAATATATTTAGTTAGTTTTTGACACATTGAAAAAGTCGTAAAAATTGACCAAAATGGTAAGGGTTACGCCTTACCATTTTGGTCAATTTTGACAACTTTTTCAATGTTTCAAAAACCAACGAAATATGCTCTAAAATGAAAGATATTAGTTTTAGGAAGCCATTTTTAGGATTCTAAGACAATTTTTTAACAATTGAAAAAGTTGTCAAAATTGACCAAAATGGTAAGCCTTACAATTTTGACCAAAATGGTAAGGCTTACCCTTTACCATTTTGGTCAATTTTGACGACTTTTTAATCTGTTCAAAAACTGTCTTAAAATGCTAAAAATGGCTTCCTAACACTAATATCTTTAATTTTAGAGCATATTTGGTTGCTTTTTAAAACATTGAAAAAGTCGACAATTTTGACCAAAATGGTAAGGGGTAACCCTTACCATTTTGGTCAATTTTAACAACTTTTCCAACTGTTCAAAAATTGTTTTAAAATGCTAAAAATGGCTTCCTAAGACTAATCTCTTTCATTTTAGAGCATATTTGGTTGCTTTTAGAAACATTGAAAAAGTCGACAAAATTGACCAAAAGGTAGCTAAAGGGTAAGCCTTACCATTTTGGTCAATTTTGACGACTTTTTTATTTGTTCAAAAACTGTCTTAATATGCTAAAAATGGCCTACTAAGACTAATATGTTTCATTTTAGAGCATATTTCGTTGGTTTTTTGGACATTGAAAAAGTCGTCAATTTTGACCAAAATGGTAAGTCTTACCCCTTACCATTTTGGTCAATTTTGATAACTTTTTCAACTGTTCAAAAAGTGTCTTAAAATGCTAGAAATGGCTTACTAAGACTAATATCTTTCATTTTAGAGCATATTTGGTTGGTTTTGGAACATTGAAAAAGTCGTCAAAATTGACCAAAATGGTAAGGGGTAACCCTTACCATTCTGGTAAATTTTGACGACTTTTTCAACTGTTCAAAATCTGTCTTAAAATGCTAAAAATGGCTTCCTAAGACGAATATCTTTCATTTCAGAGCATTTTGAGACGGTTTTTGAACAGTTGAAAAAGTCGTCATAATTGACCAAAATGGTAAAGCTTACCCCTTACCATTTTGGTCAATTTTGACGACTTTTCAATTATTCAAAAAACTGTCTTAAAATGCTAAAAATTTCTTTCTAAGACTAATATCTTTCATTTTAGAGCATATTTGGTTGGTTTTTGGAACATTGAAAAAGTCGTCAAAAATGGTAAGTCTTACCCCTTACCATTTAGGTCAATTTTGACGACTTTTTTATTTGTTCAAAAACTGTCTTAATATGCTAAAAATGGCCTACTAAGACTAATATGTTTCATTTTAGAGCATATTTCGTTGGTTTTTTGGACATTGAAAAAGTCGTCTTAATTGACCAAAATGGTAAGTCTTACCCCTTACCATTTTGGTCAATTTTTGATAAACTTTTTCAACTGTTCAAAAAGTGTCTTAAAATGCTAGAAATGGCTTACTAAGACTAATATCTTTCATTTTAGAGCATATTTGGTTGGTTTTTGGAACATTGAAAAAGTCGTCAAAATTGACCAAAATGGTAAGGGGTAACCCTTACCATTTTGGTAAATTTTGACGTCTTTTTCAACTGTTCAAAATCTGTCTTAAAATGCTAAAAATGGCTTCCTAAGACGAATATCTTTCATTTCAGAGCATTTTGAGACAGTTTTTGAACAGTTGAAAAAGTCGTCATAATTTACCAAAATGGTAAAGCTTACTCCTTACCATTTTGGTCAATTTTGACGACTTTTTCAACTATTCAAAAACTGTCTTAAAATGCTAAAAATTGCTTTCTAAGACTAAAATTTTTCATTTTAGAATATTTAGTTAGTTTTTGACACATTGAAAAAGTCGTAAAAATTGACCAAAATGGTAAGGGTTACGCCTTACCATTTTGGTCAATTTTGACAACTTTTTCAATGTTTCAAAAACCAACGAAATATGCTCTAAAATGAAAGATATTAGTTTTAGGAAGCCATTTTTAGGATTCTAAGACAATTTTTAACAATTGAAAAAGTTGTCAAAATTGACCAAAATGGTAAGCCTTACAATTTTGACCAAAATGGTAAGGCTTACCCTTTACCATTTTGGTCAATTTTGACGACTTTTTAATCTGTTCAAAAACTGTCTTAAAATGCTAAAAATGGCTTCCTAACACTAATATCTTTAATTTTAGAGCATATTTGGTTGCTTTTTAAAACATTGAAAAAGTCGACAATTTTGACCAAAATGGTAAGGGGTAACCCTTACCATTTTGGTCAATTTTAACAACTTTTCCAACTGTTCAAAAATTGTTTTAAAATGCTAAAAATGGCTTCCTAAGACTAATCTCTTTCATTTTAGAGCATATTTGGTTGCTTTTAGAAACATTGAAAAAGTCGACAAAATTGACCAAAATGGTAGCTAAAGGGTAAGCCTTACCATTTTGGTCAATTTTGACGACTTTTTTATTTGTTCAAAAACTGTCTTAATATGCTAAAAATGGCCTACTAAGACTAATATGTTTCATTTTAGAGCATATTTCGTTGGTTTTTTGGACATTGAAAAAGTCGTCAATTTTGACCAAAATGGTAAGTCTTACCCCTTACCATTTTGGTCAATTTTGATAACTTTTTCAACTGTTCAAAAAGTGTCTTAAAATGCTAGAAATGGCTTACTAAGACTAATATCTTTCATTTTAGAGCATATTTGGTTGGTTTTTGGAACATTGAAAAGTCGTCAAAATTGACCAAAATGGTAAGGGGTAACCCTTACCATTCTGGTAAATTTTGACGACTTTTTCAACTGTTCAAAATCTGTCTTAAAATGCTAAAAATGGCTTCCTAAGACGAATATCTTTCATTTCAGAGCATTTTGAGACGGTTTTTGAACAGTTGAAAAAGTCGTCATAATTGACCAAAATGGTAAAGCTTACCCCTTACCATTTTGGTCAATTTTGACGACTTTTTCAATTATTCAAAAACTGTCTTAAAATGCTAAAAATTTCTTTCTAAGACTAATATCTTTCATTTTAGAGCATATTTGGTTGGTTTTTGGAACATTGAAAAGTCGTCAAAAATGGTAAGTCTTACCCTTACCATTTAGGTCAATTTTGACGACTTTTTTATTTGTTCAAAAACTGTCTTAATATGCTAAAAATGGCCTACTAAGACTAATATGTTTCATTTTAGAGCATATTTCGTTGGTTTTTTGGACATTGAAAAAGTCGTCTTAATTGACCAAAATGGTAAGTCTTACCCCT